GGGGATCAGGGTTAGGGCACGAGGAGAGGCTCAGGGGTGCAGGCTCCGGGCCGCTGCTTCCAGGAGCCACTTGAGGTAAGCGCTGCCATGTCCCCCCTCTGGCTCCAACGTGGAGCTGCAGCCCTGCACTGCCCTGTCTGCAGGCGCTGCCCCTGCAGCTCCCATTGGCCGCAGTTCCCAGCCAATGGGAGCTGTGGGGCAGCATGCAGAGCAGAGGCCTCTGGCTGCCCCAACATGTAGGAGCAGGAGGGGGGACCATGCCGCTGCTTCTGGGAGCCACATGGAGCGGCTCCCAACCCTGCTCCCCGGCTGGAGCGCCGGAGCGGGGCAAGCCCCAGACCCCAATCCCCAGCGGGAGCTCGAGGCCCGGCTTAAAACGGCTGGCGGGCTGGATCTAGCCCACGGGCCATAGTTTGCCTGCCCCTGGTTTACAGTCTGTATGATGAGACAACAGATGGATCCAGTCAGACAAGGGAGTACAAGGAAACAATATTGAGTTTAAGGAGGGGTGTGAAGGAGGTTATGTTAGTTTTTTTTTTTTGCGGGGGTGTACGGAGAGCTCCTCCCAAGCATGAGGGGCAGCATGGGAGAAAGCATGAAGGTGTGCCTTTGAAATTTAACAGGTGGTTTGGAAGCTGGCATTGTGCGCTGATTGGAAGCGAGTGTTGACATCTTGATAGCAAATAGTTTCACCTGGAAAGATCCCATCTCTAATACAGATATCTTAGAGGTACCTAGGGTAATATCGGCCTCTGTAGTAACTTGTCCAGGGAAATAATTGTTCTTGCTCAAGTCCTGCTTCCCTGATCTTTGATGTTTGAACTCTGAAGTCAGGATTGTCTGATGCCCTGTTCAGAATTAGTGCAGGAGTTCCTGCGTTGGTTGATTCACAGATTGTTTTCCTGCACTTAGAGGAGCGTTGAGCTGCTTTTGTTTTCGACAGTTGGCATCTTCTGCATGAGTCTCGAAACTTCTGTCTCGCAGATCATGTTTTACCGTTCCCAGTGGTGAATCCCCCTTAAAGACCAGCGAGTCAGAAAAGCACCTGGCGTGAAACCTGTCACGTGTGTGGCTCTGTATTCAGAAACAACGAGAGGAAAGCGAGCTATGGGGCTGAGATTCCAATCTCGCTCCCTGTAACTTTGGGCGGTGGCTTCATTTCTCTGTGCCTCCCTTCCCTATATGTAAAAACCTCTGATCTCCTGAGGAATTCTCCGTGTCTTGATGGCTTCCAATCAGGACTGTTTCGGCTAAAGATATGTTTTAGCCTGGCACAAGTTACTGGACTCAGGATGACTGGGTGAAACTGAACTGCTTCCGATATAATGTCATGCTAGGTGATCTAATGGTCTTTTCTGGCTTTAAACGCTCTGAACTTAACTTTGGTGCTGTCATTTGTTTCTGTTTATATATTATCACTCCCATCCCATAATACTGAGCACCTCCTGGGAAGAGATAGCTTTATCCTCTGGAAGGGAGGGAAATATGATCTTCATTTTGTGGGTGGGGAAACCGAGGCACGGACAGTTAAGTGGCTTTCCCAGAGTCAGAGCTGGGAATCTGAGTCAGACCGGAGTCTCAATCCAGAGCCTTAATCATGAGCCCGTTTGCAGAATTAGCTTCTGGCTGAGGTGGTGGTGAGTATGGGGGAGCGTCTCTCTAAGCCCCTGTTCACCAGTGCAAATGAGGCATTCCTGGTATCAGACGCCGAATGAGTGTGTCCAGAAGGTGTTAAAACAGCAGGAAAAGGGAATTGGCTCTGGATTTTGTAGTCCCTTTAAAAATATAAAAAATTTGTTGGCAGTGTTTAGCGACCCAACTGGGATGAGGGCCCCGTCCTACGGAACACAGAATATATTGTAATGCCTTTCTGGAAATCAATGGGTGGTGCCTTATCTGGAGATGACCTTAAAAAGGAGGTGGCAGAGTTAGAGGGAGTTCAGAGAAGGGCCATGAAAATGATTAATAGCCTGGGTAACCTCTCATGTGAAGAGAGATGAAAGCCGGAATGGCTCATTAGCCGTTCCTGTCAATCGCTGGCCGCCGAACCCCGCCGTCACCCCGTATTGAGCCGATGGCCTGGATTAGACTAAAGCGTTACAGCCCTCAGGAGGTTACCCTGTTGTGTGCCAGAGGCAGAGAACAGGAGCTGACGGAGTTGACACCAGTGCCCAAGGCAGGGAATTAATTAGGTGAGATGTACCCAGATGATCCTAGCAAGCAACCTGCCCCCCAAGCTGAAGAGGAAGGTGAAAGCCCCCCAGGGTCCCTGTCAGTCTAACCTGGGGGAAGATTCCTTCTCACCCCTGAAAATGGCAATCAGTTTGTTGTGGGATTGTTACCTGAGAAAAGGGATTTGTTAAGAGAACACAAGTCTGTAAAGTAATGACTGGGAAAGAGAAGGTAGAGTGGGAGTTTCTCTCTTCCCTGTGTCTCAAAACCATGGCCAGGGGACACCAAACGGAACGGTGGCAAACACAAAAATGAGCAAAGGAATTTTATTTTTTTCCACACAGCATGTGATTAGCTTGTGGAACTCGCTGCCACATGAAATTAGTAAGGCCAAGAACTTAGAGGTTTTAAGGCCAGGAGGGACATCCTGATCCAAAAAGGCAGCCCTATGTTGGACTGGATCGATTGTATGATTTTTTCTTTTTCCCCCAGAGGGTTTTACTGGAGACAAGGAAGAGCTGTTTATTCTGGTAGCACGTAGAGACGCCCAAGTGCGAGGCGTTTTAGGGACACAGTAGTCTATGCACCCGATGAAGTGAGCCGTAGCTCACGAAAGCTTATGCTCAGATAAATTGGTTGTTTTCTAAGGTGCCACAAGTACTCCTTTTCTTTTTGCGAACACAGACTAACACGGCTGTTACTCTGAAAGTAGTCTATGGTCTTGGATCTGAACCAATCCACTGGGGAACTGGCCTTGCCCCACGGTCCGTTTCCTCCTTGCTGCTCAAAAGGGGCCTTATTTTAGACTGAGCGCGTCCCTGCTTCTGCAGCAGATGGGTCTTGGGGCTTCACCGCATACTAGTGACAAACAGGCAGCTGTTGGCTGGGACCGGCAGTGGTGCGGGGACAGCACCTGTTCATCCCGTCACCGGTTGGCGAGGCATTCCTGTCCCTGGCCTCGGACTCCAAATGCGGAACAGGATTGCCTGCCCCCCACCCCCACCGCTCCTCACAGAGTCTCCTGGTTGATGCTGATGGCCGGGACTACGATCAAATAGCCCAGGACTTGGGTGCAGTATATGCGTTGGGCCCCTTGTGGTGCTCCAGGCCATGCCCCACTTGTCTCCTGTGTTAGGGGCAGCTGTGTGGCTAGTGGGTAGAAAAGGACTGAGAATCGGGCCCCTCAGAATTCTGATTTTGCTCTTCGTTGTCAGATGACAACTTCGTCTGTTTGTACAATAGGGCTCAAGGCCCCTTGGTGGTGCTGGGTTTTGTACAGGTCTCCAGCCCATATCAGGAGTAGTGCCAGGTGCTGGGTGGGCCTCCTGGCTGAGATCTGAGGGGGCTGCCCCCCATTGGGCTGGGCGGGCCTCCTGGCTGAGATCTGGGCGGGCTGCCCCCCAACTAGGCTGGGCACTCCACAGCTGCCATGAAAGACAGTCCCTGCCCCAGAAGAGCTAACGATCGAAATAGACAAAAAAGCTCTTAAATGAGGAACTGAAGGCACGTACAGTGTCAGTGGCAGACCCCGGTTTCAAGCCCAACCCTGACAACACATCCTAGGGATTCCAGCCGAAACTTTCAAGAGACTAGGAGATTTGGGGGCGAGGGAGGCCTGATTCTGCAGGAAGTCCAGCGCATCCACCAAATCTTGCCCAGCACTTCCTGAAAAGCAGGGTGCCCTGTGAGGATGCGTCAGGCGGGGAGAGGGGAAAAGCTACATATGGTAATCTAAAACCCTAAACACTGTTTGTGGGGAGGAGGGGGATGGTTATAAGTGGAGTGCTGGATTGATACCATCTAGCTCTTAGATGGCGCTTTTCCTTACTAGACCTCAAAGCTCTTTACAAGGGATGTCAGGGTTGTCGTACCCGTTTTATATATGGGGAAACCGAGGCACAAGACACACATGGTTTGTCCAAGGGGGTGAAAGGGATAGCAGCATAGGTCCCCCATATGCCCCCTAGAGATCTGGGGGACCCCAGCAGCTGGAGTGTGTCTGCATGGATGGAGCAGCAGGTCTGCTGCGCCTCCCCCTCAACACCACACAGAGCCCTCTGCTGGAATGGGGTTGGCTGTGGTTGTGGGGGCCCAGTGCTGCAGGGTTTGGAACTGATACCCCATTGAAATACATGGGACAGTTCCCCTTGCTGAGAGGGATTGGTTCAGGCTCTCTGCAGACTCAGGCAGCCTTGCTGAGTCAGTTATCCGTGGGGCAGTTCACCCTTCTCAGAGCTAGCTGTGTCTGTTACACTCAGGTCAAGTTTTCGGGTGTTTCCTCACAACCGTGAGAGCTAGAAACGTAATTTTTTTTTTAAAATAAAATCCTAGATGCTGCTAAAATCACTTGACCCCAGGAACCAGGGCTCTGGACACATGGTTGCAGTGCTGCGATCTTAATTCTGCACGTGGGTGGTGTGTGGCTGGCTGAAGATACAGCAGATTCTGCTTATTAGCAACCCCTTGGTTGCCAGGAGAAAGTTGCAATTATCCACCAATCCCTGCCACTGCCCTGCTCACAGCCTCCCCACCCGGCCCGCAGACCTTTCCCTCCAGTGTAGTCCCTGGACGCAGGCAGGTTTGCAGGGCTGGACCTCGGTACTTTCTGGGGCTGCAGCCTCGCAAACCTGCCCGCAGCTGGGTCCCTTTCTTCCGAGAGAGCCTTCCCATGGCCAATATCCGAATCCCATTAGCATCAAAGTCAATGGGGCGGGCTTGGTTCCCAGCATAACGAAGTCGTTAACCCGATGTTAATATCCGGGTTTGCTGTCAGGCAGAATCTACTGTCCTCAGGATCTCTCACGCTTTCTTCTGTTCTCCCTCCGCAGGGTTTCGTGAAAGATGTGCACGAAGACTCGGTCACGATATCCTTCGAGAACAAGTAAGTATCCGCCGGACGCCCCTGTGCGGTCCTTGGCCTAGCCTCTGTTTGTCCTTGTTCTGAGCTTGGGCGGCTGGGCGAGTCTGGCCTAATTGCTCCCGTAGGGGTGAAATCTGAGAGACCCCTCAGGTGGACGTTTTCAAACAGAGGCCATTATGTTCGCAGCTCCCAATCCTACCTAACTCTGCATCTCCTCTGAAAAAATCGTGGCCTTTGTCAGCTGCTTTCAGTGGCTGCTAACTTCTTAAAATGGTTAGGCCCCACAGCTGAGTCGGTGGCAGACCCGGGGATAGAACCCAGGCGTTCTGGCCTCCCCAGTCCCTTCCCGTGGCTACCCATTGGACCCCCATGCGCCTTCCAGAGTTGGGGCTATGGTCCGGGGTGTCTGACTCCTAGCCCACCAGACCCTGCTGCCACTTCCCCTAAACGGCAGGCTGGAGGTATCAAATCATCTATTAAGATCGTTAGCGGGACCGGTGTGCACTACTTCGGTGCGCCGCTTACGGGGCGAGCTGTTGCTTTCGGTTCCAAGGCCGTGGTGCAAGCGCACGGATTGTAAATTTCAATCCTACGTCGTTCCGTGGCAGGAGGGTCGTTGGCGTGCGACTGTAGGGCCGGTGGGCACGTCACGCAGCCCTGCTGGAGCCGATGCAGAGAGAGATCAGGGTAGAAATGCTGGAGTGCCACAGTCCCTGCTTCAGAGCCATAAATAAAGCTGCTGCACTCAAGGTATCTGACACGGGCCTTGAGGCCCAGCATAACTAGCGGGCTGCCGCTTTTCCAAATTTAGTTCCTGCTGTTCTTTGTGGCATGCGAATGAAACTGACTCACTCTGAATAAGCCAGCCGCCCGCCCCCGGGGATGCCTCTAGATTGGCAGCTGTCACTCTCCCACATGGCAGGATTATGTGGATCGATGCTAGGGCAGAGATCTCAGGGCCGCGTTGGGCTCGGCGCCGTCTGTACAGGTACCGAGCCGCTGCCGGTGGCTGCCCTGTTAAATGTTTCTCCTTCCAACCGGCCGGGTTCCTTCAGTGACGGTAGTGACGTCCTTCAGTGACGGGAGGAAGCAGCGTCTTGTTTGCAAACCTCGGTGCCTGGTGGGAAAGAAAAGGCAGAAGGCCCGATTTTTAAAACCCTGCCCTCTTCATGCAGGCATATCAGAGCCCTTAAACGCAGCTTGGTAGGTAGCTGAGACTACAGATGGCATGGCAGACAGGCCAACCCACAGAAGCAGCCACCTCTGGGATGTGCCGTCTGTTCAGACAGGGACCCCTCACCCAGCACTGAGATGCGGCCACCTCTGGGGTGGACGGTGGCATTTAACAGCCATGGGGTAGGGCAGGAAGCAACGAATGTTCTCCACCCCAAACTGTGCAGGGGTGGTTGGTGTTTAAACAGTCCGTTTGTTCCGTTTCTGTCTAGTTTGCCTGGCGTGTGGTTCTTTAGCCAGGGACCTGAAATGTTTCTGAACCGGTAGCAGGCTAAATGGGGTTTACATCAACTTACGCCACAAACAAATGGCTTTAAACACAGTTCCAGGCCCCGGCTGCGCCTCTCAGCCGATGTACAAGTAAAAGGCTCCAGTCCCGCCGCTGCTTCTGAGCGGTGGATTTCTCTCTTTCAGCAGCTGATCCCAGGCAAGCGACCTTTCCACCTTTTAAAGCTTCGAAGCGCTGCCGGTTGGATTGAACCTAGCTGCCCTGGATTGGGCAGGTGCAGGGTTTCCCTTCAGTTTCTGCGCTTGCCTAGCTGATTTCGGGGCATCATGTTCGCTCTGGGGCTCTATTTCGGATCGACCAGGGAAAATTAGTAATGCTGGAGGACTGCCAGCTAGAGCGGCAGCCGGTGCTTCGGGAAACACACTCCGAGATAGCTCGGCTGTCCATAGTTAGGCTCGGTGGTGTAATTAACCATGGTGGTGTAATTAACCATGCAAATCCCAGTGTAAGTAACCTGCTCACACCTAGATGGTGAGATTACGGCACTGTCGCAGGTTCCTAGAGCTGCACGCTGGCTCCCTCTGCTTCTTGGCTGCGATTCTGTCTAAGCTGGGGGCAGGGGGGAATGAGCCGCGTAGATCCACTGAACGTAGAGGTCACTCCAATCCTCAAATACCTCGCTTGGCTGCGGTGCCCCCATATGGGGTTTCTAGCAGCGTTGCTGAGCAGGTGAAATTTCCCTGCCGAGACAGCTGTAGCTTCCCCGCCTCCCAACAGCTGTTCACATCTGCAGGCCTCTGGATTCCCAATCCCAAATACACACACGCATTGCGCTGACCGGGGGCCCCAACCTGAGTCAAGCCGGGCCCTGGGGTTCAAGCCCTATTGCTTGGAAGTGCAGATGCAACCTCGGGCTGGGAGTCCACCAAAAATATCCCGCACACTGACTTTTTGTCCTGCGGGCAATCAAGTTTGGTGGACAGTCATGCTGCACCACGGACAAAGCGGCTGCGTTTTGGGATGACACTGGGACAGTGTAGATGCTGGAACCCCAGGTGGGAACAGTTCCTAGCTGGGGGGTTACAAATGAAGGTAGATGGCACCAGCCCTGAGGACACAGGGTCAGACTACCGAGAAGCTGAAATGTCTTGTGCCTAAGATACATGGTGGCGTTCAAAGTGTCTGCTTCCTCTCCATCCGAAAGACGCTGACTGAGTCACAAAAAGCCCTGGGCATAAATTAATCATTAAAACAAACAGTGAGGCGAAAATCCCTCTTTAAGCGGAGAACCGAAGCAGCGGAAAGTTAAGCTGGGTTTAGTGGAAGGGAAAGTTTATCCCCACCCGGTGTTCAGTGCGCAAAATCCATCTAGTGGCCGCGTGGCGGTTGTCATATTGCGGTCGCGTCTCAGATTCGCAGACTGGGACCTGCTGTACGAACATAAATCGAAAAGAGCTTAAGATTTATGTAGACGGCAATCCCAGAATTGCCGGGATGAGGGTGGAAAGGCCGGTTTATAAAGCACTGGACTGGCACCTGGGGAGATGAGTTCGTTTCCATCACGGTCATAGACTCTGGGGTCTTCTCCCCGCTTTCCAGAAGGGGGAACAATCCTTTCTTTGTCTACATAGATGGCAAACTCTCCAAGGCAGGGACTGTCTCCGGCTGTGTGGGTGCCCCGGGGCCTCGTGCTGTCTCTTCACCGTGATCAGGAACACACACCCGTCTTGCTGTGTGTCCCGTCCTATTCCCAACCTGCGGTGCCACCTACAGGCGAATCCAATCTCGATCTTGTGTCTCCTAACAGCTGGCAGCCGGAGCGGCAGATCCCCTTCGGTGACGTACGGCTCCCCCCGCCCGCAGACTACAATAAAGAGATTACAGAAGGGGATGAAGTGGAGGTAGGAGGGGTGCTTTTTGGGTGGGGAGGGGTGCCACCATGAGCCCGCTATCCTCACTGGTTTCCCCGCTGACCTATACCCGTCTCTCTAGGTTTATTCCCGAGCCAATGAGCACGAGCCGTGCGGCTGGTGGCTGGCGAGGGTCCGGATGATGAAAGGAGATGTAAGTTTCTGAGGATTACCCCACCCCCACCCCACCCCCCCGATCACTGGCATCTATCCCAGAATCCTTTGTGCCAGCTCCCGGCGTTTTGTGGGAATTGGTGTCAGGGGCGAGGTTCTAATTAAGATCGGATCTGGTTCAACCAGAAGGGGCAGGCCTGGCTTATGCAGGAAGTAGAGATTAGATGAGCACAGCGGTGCCCTCCAGCCTGAAGATCCGTGAAGGCTCCCTCGTCCCTCTAGGGCAGGGGTGGGCAAACTACGGCCAGCAGACCGGATCTGGCCCACCCGCCATTTTAAGCCAGCCCTCTGGCGCTCCAGCTGGGGAGCAGGGTCAGGGGCCGCTCCACACAGCTCCCAGAAGCAGCGACACTGGTCCCCGCTCCCGTTCCTACGTGTAGGGGCAGCCAGGGGTTCTGCTCTGGATGCTGCCCCTGCCCCAAGCGCCGCCCCCGCAGCTCCCACTGTCCGGGAACTGTGGCCAATGGGATTTGCAGGGGCGGCACCTGCGGATGGGGCAGCGTGCAGAGCTGCCTGGCCATGACTCCACGTAGGAGCCACAGTGGGGATATGGCTGCTACTTCTGGGAGCCACTTGAGGTAAGCGCCTCCTGGAGCCTGCACCCCTGAGCCTCTCCCCAACCCCCTGCCCCAGCCCTGATTCCCCTCCTGCCCTCCAAACCCCTTGGTCCCAGCCTGGAGCACCCTCCTGCACCCCAAACCTCTCATCCCCAGCCCCACCCCAGAGCCTGTACATCCAACCAGAGCCCTCACCCCCCTGCCCTAGCCCTGATCCCCCTCCCACCCTCCAAACCCCTCGATCCCAGTCCGGAGCACCCTCCTGCACCCCAAACCCCTCATCCCCAGCCCCACCCCAGAGCCTGCACCCCCAGCCAGAGTCTGCACCACAACCCCCTGCCCCAGCCCTGATCCCCCTCTTGCCCCCTGAATCCCTCGGTCCCAGCCCGGAGCACCCTCCTGCACCCCAGAGCCTGCACCCCCAACCAGAGCCCTCACCCCCTCTTGCACCCCAATCCCAATTTTGTGAGCATTCATGGCCTGCCATACAATTTCTATTCCCAGATGTGGCCCTCGGACCAAAAGGTTTGCCCACCCTAGCATAGTCTATAAAAGCAGTATAACCAAGTTGGTCTGTATGAAAGTTTAGTTTGTGCTGACTTGGCTAATGCCTGTTGTAAAACTAGGCAAATCTCTAGATGAGTTGACGTAGCCCCTGGAAAACCTCTGCGTACCCCCAGGGGTACATGTACCCCCAGTTGAGAACCCCTGCTCTAGGAGACCCACAATCCTTGGTGCAACCAACTAGATCTTCGTAACCTACTCTGATGTCCGAGCAGGAGTCAGAACCCAGCAGGGGTGACTGGAGCCTAAAAACGGCCCCCTTCCTGACCTCTAATTCCGATGGATCTGAATCGGGTGGGGTTTTTTAATCCCTTAGCGGTCACTGGTCTAATTCTTATCCAGTCCCTCCGTGACTCTTGCTAAGTGCTTGCCTCCATCCTAGCCAGTGGCAGTGAGGTCCACAGGCTAATTCCATCTGAAAACGAAGCGCTGAGCATGGTTCCCCCACCCCCACGTCCCCGCGGCTGCATCGGAATGGCTCGGCCCATCTCGGGACGTGCGGTCAGCTCTCTCCTCCCCACCCCAAATTCCTGGCTCTCACCCGATCTCTCCCTCCTCAGTTTTACGTCATCGAATACGCAGCGTGCGACGCCACCTACAACGAAATCGTCACGCTGGAGCGGCTCCGGCCCGTCAACCCCAACAAAGTGGCCACCAAGTCTAGCTTCTTCAAATACACCATCGCTGTGCCGGAGGACCTCAAGGAAGCGTGAGTGAGACGGGGATCCTGGGGGGCAGCTACGGGGCCTTGGACAACAGAAAAGCTGCTAGCTTGGCTTTTCCTCCACGGGGAAGGAGCCAGCGACCGGGGCTGTGGTCTGCACAGTCTCTAGCGTGAGGTAGAGCAGCCCAGAGGCCCCTCTAACTTGGGGCTTGTCTGGGTGGGGAAATAGACCGGCATTATTCTACTGCAGTTATGCCCGGGAATAAGCTATACTGGGCCCTGGGAGGAGGCACGTTCCACACCCCCTACCGATCTGCCCCCGACGCAGCAGCTGGGAGCCAGGTCTCCCATCTGGCAATCCAGGGCGCCCGCTACTTTCTTAGAACCAGTCCCCTAATCCAATTCTGGACCCTGGCGGTCTGGGTTCTATTCCCGGCTTTGCCACAGACTGGACAGATCATTTTGGGGGGTGTCCCGCTGCCCCCGGTCCCCGCTCCGCTCACCCGTCCCCTCTCCGCTCAGGTGCTCCAACGAAAACGTGCATAAAGAATTCAAGAAGGCGGTGGGGGCAAACTGCATCTTCCTGAGCGTCGCCAACAGCGAGCTCTTCATCCTGGTGAGCGAGGCATCGGGGGATAGCGGGGTGAGGGGGGTGGGGGCTCGTTGGAGATCGGCCGCAGCAGGGTGAACCCGCTGCTCCAGGCTGGTTTCGAGGATCCTCTTTCCAGCGGCCCGGGTGGCTTGTCTTGCCCACGCCAGGGACCCCCGGTTGGGGGGAGGGATTCTCCTCGGTCCTGCTGCGACCATCTGGACAGGTCTCGCCTAGTCACTGCGGCTCCTGTAATCAGGGCTGGCTAGCCGCCCGAGATTCCTGCTGTCCTGGTAGTTCTGGAGGGCGGTGGGGGGCAGTCTGCCCGATCTCTGACCCCGCCCGTCTTCCGCCCCCCTTCCCAGTCGACGAACGAATCCACGGTAAAGCGGGCGTCGCTGCTGGGCGACATGCACCTGCGTAGCATCCGCACCAAGCTCATGCTGATGTCGCGGAACGAGGAAGCCAACAAGCACCTAGAGGTGAGGAACCCGGGCGGCGGCCCTCACGCGCTGGGGGGTGGGCGCCGTGGGCCAGTGGGCCTCTGGCTTTCTCCCCACCCGGGCGGGCGCTGGGGGTGGGGAATAGGTGGCTGTACAGGGCCCGCCTAGGGCTTCCCCGTTGACACTGGGTTGGATTGCCCGGCCGGTCACCTGACCTGACTCCATGGGGGCGGGGGGGAGTCACGGGACACCGGAGCCAGGGGTCGGCGCTCCCCCCGGCTGCTCCGTTGACTCCCCGCTCTGCGTCCCAGCGCTCTTTCTCTCCCCAGACGAGTAAGCAGCTGGCCTCGGCGTTCCAGGAGGAGTTCACCGTCCGCGAAGACCTGATGGGGCTGGCCATCGGCACCCACGGCGCCAACATCCAGCAGGCCAGGAAGGTGCCAGGCGTCACTGCCATCGAGCTGGACGAGGAGACCTGCACCTTCCGCATCTACGGGGAGGTGAGGGCCGGGCGGGGGCTGGGAGCCAGGACTCCTGGGTTCTCCCCCCAGCTCCAGGACACTGACTTGACCGTTGTCTCCTCCCCACAGACTCCCGAGGCGTGCAAGCAGGCCCGGAGCTACCTGGAGTTCTCTGAAGACTCGGTTCAAGTCCCGAGAAACCTGGTCGGTAGGTGTCACGAGTGCGACCGTGCTCTGTCGTGACCCTCCGGGGGCCCGGCGTTCCTGGGGCATCCCCCGGAGAACAGGGGTGACTTTCCTCGTGATGGGGACCCGGACACACAACCACGGCCCCACCTCTGCACCGCGTTGGAGCGGGCGCCTCAGAGGGAAGTGGGCTCCGAGTGAGAGTGACCACGTGTGCCCCAACCGGTGGAGGGCACCCGATGTCCGTTGGAGTCCGGGGGCCCCCCCTGCGGTCACCAACACAACATCCCATAAAGGCTCGAACGAAAACCTGGTGTCACACCGGTGGGCGGAGCACCCGGGGGGAGTTGTGTACATGCTAAAAATGACGTTCTCTGGGTCTGTCGTTAAACAGGTCGATCGGAAGTCGGGGGTCTGGGAAAATCCCTTCCACCGGGGAGTGGGGGGCTCTTGTGGGTGTGTGTCACCCTGGGAGGTGGTTAGCTCAGGTCAAAGTGCGGGACCCTGTCGCTGTGTGGGGCTCACCTCTCCGCTCACCCCGCCAGGCAAAGTGATCGGGAAGAACGGCAAAGTGATCCAAGAGATCGTGGACAAGTCGGGGGTCGTGCGGGTGCGGGTGGAAGGGGACAACGACAAGAAAAACCCCGAGAGGAGGTAAGCGGGGGCGGATCGGAGTGGGGGGTGGCCGGCGGTGGCGTGGGGGGGACGGCCGTGCCGTGATCGGGTCTCCTCTCGCCTAGGGAATGGTCCCCTTCATCTTCGTCGGGACGCGGGAGAATATCAGCAATGCGCAGGCGCTCCTGGAATATCACCTCGCTTACCTGCAGGTAAATCCGGCGCTGCCGAGAACGGGCCGAGGAACCGGGTCGCTCCGCGGGGAGGGCACCCGCCTGAGAATCGGCCAGGGACCCCCGTATTGGGGCGCGTGTTGCGAGCGGGGTCAATGTGGGTGTCGCGCGTGTGTGACCGTCAATCTGGTCCCTGGCTTCTTTGCATGGGTGCATTTGCTAATTCGTTCCCCCTTGCAGTGCAGTCACTACTTGGTTCCCCCCCGCCAGCCCTTTATATGTGCAGCCATCAATTGGTCCCCTGCCTTGCAGCTGCATGGGTGCTGTCACTAATTGGTTCCCCCTTGCAGTGCAGTCACTAATTGGTGTGTCAACCCCCCCCCCCCCACCAGCCCTTTATAGGTGCAGCCATTAATTGGTCCCCTGCCCCAAGGCTGCATGGGTGCAGTTGTTAATTGGCCCCCTCGCTTGCAGTGCCGTCACTAACTGGTTCCCCCCGCCAGCCCTGCATGGACGCTACAGCTGATTGGTTCCCCTTCTCGCCCCGTCCCCAGGAGGTGGAGCAGCTGCGTCTGGAGCGGCTGCAGATCGACGAGCAGCTGCGGCAGATCGGCATGGGCTTCCGCCCCCTCTCCAGCCGGGCCGACAAGGAGCGGGGCGGCTACGCCACGGACGACAGCACCTCCTCCTCCCTCCACGGCACGCGGACGTACGGGGGCAGCTACGGAGGGCGAGGCCGCGGGCGCCGGGGGCCCAACTCCGGCTACGGTAACCTGCCCCCCGGCGCCTTGGCCAAACTCTCCCCTTCTTTGCGGCGGGGGCGGGTTGCTGGATGGGCCACACCCCAGAGGTGGCTGCATTTCAGCAAGACTGTACAGCGCTTGTGTGTCCTGCCCCTCCTAAAGCTTTGGGGATCCCCCCCCATAGTGGGGACTGTCCCCAACAACAGCAGCTCACGCGTGTCCCCCCCCCCCGCTCTGTCCTGCCAGGTACGAACTCCGACCTGTCCAACGCCTCGGAGACCGAGTCGGAGAAGAGAGACGATGGCGAGCGAGACCCGCGCCCCGAGGACAGCCGGAGGCGCCCGGGAGTGGGGCGAGGGCGGGGTCCCAACCCGGCACCCCGAGGGGCGGGAGGCAGCAAGTACAACAGCTCCTCCATCAGTTCAGGTGACTGGCTGTGGCTGTTAAAGAGCGGCTGCGCCCCGCCCCAGAGGTGGCTGCATCTCAGGGCCGGGCGAGGGGTCCCTGTATAACCAGCGGCTGCGCCCCGCCCCAGAGGTGGCTGCATCTCAGGGCCGGGCGAGGGGTCCCTGTGTAACCAGCTGCTGCGCCCCGCCCCAGAGGTGGCTGCATCTCAGGGCCGGGCGAGGGGTCCCTGTATAACCAGCTGCTGCGCCTTGCCCCAGAGGTGGCTGCATCTCAGGGCCGGGCGAGGGGTCCCTATATAACCAGCTGCTGCGCCTTGCCCCAGAGGTGGCTGCATCTCAGGGCCGGGCGAGGGGTCCCTGTGTAACCAGCTGCTGCGCCTTGCCCCAGAGGTGGCTGCATCTCGGGGCCGGGCGAGGGGTCCCTGTGTAACCAGCTGCTGCGCCTTGCCCCAGAGGTGGCTGCATCTCAGGGCCGGGCGAGGGGTCCCTGTGTAACCAGCTGCTGTGCCTTGCCCCAGAGGTGGCTGCATCTCAGGGCTGGGCGAGGGGTCCCTGTGTAACCAGCTGCTGCGCCCCGCCCCAGAGGTGGCTGCATCTCAGGGCCGGGCGAGGGGTCCCTGTATAACCAGCTGCTGCGCCTTGCCCCAGAGGTGGCTGCATCTCAGGGCTGGGCAAGGGGTCCCTGTATAACCAGCTGCTGCGCCCCGCCCCAGAGCTGGCTGCATCTCAGTGGCATATAAACAGATGCCATGTTCCAGCATCCTGACTCAGAATGAAGGGGGGTGGGGCTGGGATCCCGGACTCCTGGGTTCTCTGTGCCCGCTCGGTGCTGACGTCCTCTCTCCCCGCAGTGCTCAAGGACCCGGACAGCAACCCCTACAGCCTGCTGGACAACACAGAGACCGACCAGACGGCCGACACCGACGCCAGCGAGTCGCAGCCCGTCAGCAGCCGCCGACGCCGTTCCCGACGCCGCCGCACGGACGACGACGCCACCGTGATGGACGGCGCGGCCGAGTCCGACAGCATGTCCGTCAACGAGAACGGCGTGGGTGAGCGGGGGCGGGGAGCCAGGACGCCTGGGTTCTCTCCCCGGGTGGGGGGCGGCGCCGGGGAGCCCGGGACGCCTGGGTTCATCCCCGTCTCTGCTCCCTGCTTTCCCAGAGGACGAATCGAAGCCTCAGAGACGCAACCGGAGCCGCCGGCGCCGTAACCGCGGTAACCGCATGGACGGCTCCATCAGCCGGGACCGGCAGCCAGGTACGGGGGTACGGCGGGGGGCTCGCGAGGGTCTGAATGCCACTGGGGGGGCAGGAGCAGCGCTGGGAACCCTTCCTGCGCCGGGTGCTGCCAGCGGGGCCCCATTTGCGGGCCGGATCGGGGGCGTGGCCAGAACTCCCAGCCTCCTGGGAATCCACGCACGCGTTAGCGCAGCCCTGAGGCTGCTCCGGTTTAGCCCGGCGGGCAGCGTAACCCCCGGCGGGCTCGCCGGGCTCCTGGGACCCGGCCCCGCCCCCCGTTGGCGTTCTGTCCCGGCCGTGCTCGCGTCGCGGGGGGTGGGGCCGGCAGCCGTCCGAAACCCAGCGCCCGCTCCCTCCTCCCCAGTGACCGTGGCTGATTACATCTCCCGGGCCGACTCCCAGAGCCGCCAGCGGGCCCCGCAGAAGGAGCCCCGGGAAAAATCCACCGAAGACGACACACCGAGACAAAAGGTAGGGGCGGAGCCGGCTGGGGGGGGGCGGAGCCGGCAGCAGGCGGAGCCTGTCTGGCTGAGGGTGGGGCTTATTCCAAGCCCCTCCTGAGACCACCTCCCTCCCCCTGCAGGCAGAGCCAGCCGGCAAGGTGGCCAACGGGCCGTCGGAGAACGGCGAGGAGCCGGCCGCCATGGTGAACGGGCTGTCGTAAGCGCCGTGCCGGGAGAGCCGCGCCCGCCGCTTCCTCCCCCACCGACCCCCGTCCGCCCTGCTTGCGTCATCGTTAAACACACACCCACCGAGCTCTCGCTAACGAACCATTTATTCAAGGATCAATAACGCCTCTCGTGCTTGTCGGAAGCTTGCCAAAGATAGCCAAGCTCGTTCGGCTCCAACCAATCAAGAGACAGGAAACCGTATTTTCTTGCCGGGGGGGGCAAGGGCGCGGCCCCCCCCAACCCCTCCTCCGGGCAAGGGGCCTTGACAGTAAAAATTAATTCTCTCTTAATTGTGTGTCCGTTTTTGACGACTCCCTTCGAGCCAGGAAAGGGAAACCGGCCGCGGGTCGAAACCGGAGCGGGGATTTTTTTGTGCCTTCTGAGCGCGCGTCGCTTCCCTTCCTTTTTCGTTCGGTTCCTCCTCCTCCTCCCCCCCCCCCCGCCTAGGTCGCTTGGGCAACGATTTCGGCGGGGGGGGCGGTGCCCGAGGCTGTGCCGTTTATCCCCCCCCTCCTTAAAACAAACAAACCGGAAGGTACCACGGGTGCGGAGCGAATTTTTGTTTCCAGGCAATACAGAAACAGGAGGTATTTTCTTTTTTTCCCCGTACGCTGTGGCAGACGGGGGGGGGGGAGACGGTAGAGCCGGCCCCCGCCCCCAGTGTCGCATGGCCGGGGGGGGCACGGGGGGGGCAAAATCGAGCTGTGACGGTTGAGACTATTTATTTTTCACTGTACAGTATTTAAAAGAGAATAAAGAACCAAACTCGTAAGCAACAGCTGCTGTGTCTTCCCCTCCCTCCCCCTGGAAATGTGGCCAGGGGGGCAGAAAATCATCCCCCCCCCCCCCATAAACCTCCTGGCCCCCCGAGATTGTCAATAAAGCCACCGAAAAGAACCGACGTCGGCTCCGCGCCCTTCACTCGCTGCGTGAGGGTGGACGGGAACCCCGGGGGGGGGGTCTAGTCACGCCCTAGTTGGTGTGCCCCCCCCACTGTTAACCACCTCCCCCCCCCCGTTCAGCCTCGTTGGCTGGTTCAATTGGCCGGGGCGGGTGGGTTTTCTGGCCGGTGGGGGAAGCTGCTGGTTCCCCGCAGTTGGGGAGCTGGTGGACCCACCCCTGCCGGCCTGGGGGGGGCAGGTATCAGAGGACAAGCTCAGCAACAGCCCAGGGGGGCCTAGTGTGTTCCTGCGGGGGCAGGATTCCTGGTTTCTTCCCCCCTGCCCCCCAAGCAGGCGGGCGGGGGGGCAGAAGGCCTGAGAGAACAGGAGTGGGTGTAATTCTGAGGAGTGGCCACAGGGGGGAGACGTCGCATTAGGCAGGGGGCAGGGAGGGAACAATCATGTCGGAGCTGGGGGGGCTATACCGCCCCCCGTTAGTCACGGGGAGGGGCTAGTCCTTAGAGGGGGTAAAGCTAGGAGCCAGGACTCCTGGGTTCTCTCCCCAGCTTGGGGAGGGGAGCGGGGCCCCATGGGTTGCAGGGGGGGGGGCTGAGAGCCTGGACTCCTGGGTTCTCTCCCTGGTTCTGCGAGGGGAGTGGGGGTAGGTGGGTTAGAGCAGGGGGGGCTGGGAGCCAGGACTCCTGGGTTCTCTCCCTGGTTCTGCGAGGGGAGTGGGGTCTGATGGGTTAGAGCAGGGGGGGCTGGGAGCCAGGACTCCTGGGTTCTCTCCCTGACTCTGGGAGGGGAGTGGGGGCCAGGATATCTGTGTGGGGAGGAGCCAGGTGGTGGGGGGCGGGGCTAGCCTGCTGGCCCAGCTGTGGGCTGAGCCCCCCGGGGGCGGGGCCCCGGCTCCTGGCAGGGAGGCTCCACCCTCCGGTGGGCAGGGCCCCGGCCGGGCTATATCTTGCTCCCCAGGGCGTCCGGGCGCAGACGGGGCCGGGCATGGCCGAGGGGCAGGGTGCGGCGGGGGCCCCCCTGGACAAGGTGAAGCGCCCCATGAACGCCTTCATGGTGTGGTCCAGCGGGCAGCGCCGGCGCCTGGCGCAGGAGCACCCCAAAATGCACAACTCGGAGATCTCCAAGCGCCTGGGGGCCGCCTGGCGCCGGCTGGGCGAGGCCGAGAAACGCCCCTTCGTGGAGGAAGCCAAGCGCCTCCGCGCCCGCCACCTGCGGGACTATCCCGACTACAAGTACCGGCCCCGCCGCAAGGGCCGGGCCCCTGCCAAGGAGCCGCCGGGGGGCCACCCGCCGCCCCCCCAGCCGCCCGCCCGGCCCTGGGGCTACGGCGAGCCCCTGGGCTACCAGCCGCCCCGCTACCCGCCGGGCCAGGCCAGCGCCGGCTATGGGAACGCGGCCGGAGGGTACAGGTGGGTCCCGCCCGCGCCTCCTGTCCCCCATCCCCTCAGGCGAACAGGGGACCCCCAACTGTGCCCCCTTACGGGGGAAATTAGCAAGGGCGGAGGGGGGCTGGTATGTTCCCTCTTTCCCCCAGCAGGGATGGTTGAAATGAGGGGGTCTGCATATGACCATCCCCGGAGGCGGCCGCGTCTGGGCGAGGGGTCCCCGAATAACCAGCCACCCCACCCCAGAGGTGGCTGCATCGCAGCGGGGGAACCAGGTTTGGGGGCTGGTTGGGACCACAGGGGCCAGCTGCTGAGTGATGCCCAGGGCATGACAGGGCACCAGCTGCTTGGTATGTGAACCCAGGAGTCCGGGCTCCCAGCCCCCCTGCTCTGACCCACCAGCCCCCACTCCCCTCCCAGAGCCGGGGAGAGAACCCAGGAGTCCGGGCTCCCAGCCCCCCCCCGGCTCTAACCCATAAGCGCTGATTCCCCTCCTAGAGCCAGGGAGAGAACCCAGGAGTCCTGGCCCCCACTCGGCTCCCAGAGCCGGGAAGGAACCCAGGAGTCCTGGCTCCCCTGTGTGCCAGGATATTACCACCCCCGCCCGGGGCCCTAGATCTTTGGGTCCCGGCCAGGGGTGGGGTGGGGCTGGCTGCCAGGCAGCACCCGCCCTGCGGCTGGCATCGGCTGTGCCCTGAGCGAAGGGTCATGACCCGGCCAGGCCTCGTCCAATCCATGGCCTGGCTCTGCACCGCGGGGGAGGGCGGGGGCGTGTGTGTGCGCGATCCAGGGCCCATGGGAGGGGAAACTGAGGCACAAGTGGAAGAAGCCAGGAATCCTGACTCCCAGCATCCTCTGCTCTAACGGCGACATTGCCCACTAAAGGAGAAGGGGAGTCAGGACTCCGGGGTTCTCCGGAGGGGGAGCGAGGGCTAGTGCTCAGAGCAGGCAGGGTGCCAGGACGCCTGGGTTCCGTCCCCGGCCGCGGGAGGGGAGGGCAGGTCGGGGCAGGCCACGGGGGAACCGCTCACGCCCAGAACCGGATTAACAGGCCACCTGAGGAATGCGGCCCGGGCTCACCCAGCCCTGGGGGGGCGGGAGACTCTTCCTGCAGCTGCGGGGGCAGGGCTGGCACCCCCCCCCCCCCGCATGACATGGCCCAGAGCTGGGAGAGAACCCAGGCGTCCGGGCTCCCAGCCCTCACGGTGGGGGCTGGTGGGTCAGAGCAGGGTGGGCTGGGACCCAGGACTCCTCTGGGTTCTCTCCCCGGCTCTGGGAGGGGAGGGGGGCCTGGGAGCCCGGACTCCTGGGTTCTCTCCCCAGCTCTGGGCAGGGAGCAGGGGGTGGTGGGTCAGAGCCGGGGGGCTGGGAGCCAGGACTCCTGGGTTCTCTCCCCAGCTCTGGGAGGGGAGCAGGGACTGGGAGCCCGGACTCCTGGGTTCTCTCATTCTGAAACTGTAATTATCCGGCTCGTTAACCCCTCTTCTCCCCCACCCCCCGCAGCGGCCTGTCCTACGGCCCCCCGGCCCCGACGCCCTACAAGCAAGAGCCCGCGCCCCACCCCGGGGTGCTGCCGGCCGACTTCCGCGACATGATGGCCGCCTACGGCCTGCAGGCCTGCGACGTGGGCGAGGGCTTCCCGCAGCTGCCCTACGAGCCCCCCGGGCCGGCGCCGCTGACGCCTCTCTAGCCCGCGGGGGGCCGGGGCCGGGACCGAGGGGGGGGGCAGCTTTTTATACGGAAAGATGGAAAAAGTGGAGGAGGAACAAAGTTTTGGGGGGACTCTGGGGGGTGACCCAGTGACTCCAACCTAAGCAGGGGGGGCAGAGTGGAGGCTCTCTTCCCCCCCCATCTCCCCCCCACACACCCTCTGTTAACTCTTTGCTCGCTTCTCCCACCCCCTAACAAATCAAGTCCCCGGGCACTGGCTCCAGAAAGGGGGGCGGCAGTAGGGGGCTGAAAGAGGGGGAGCGTGGGGCAGGGACAGCCCAGAGAAGTGGGGGGGGGGTGCAAGCGCTGGGGGGCTCTCTCTCAAGGCAGGGTGTCAACGTATTTTGTAAAGAGAATAAACCTGGTTCCTGGATACGCCCCCAACCCCAGAGCATTACTGGGGGGGAGGGGGGCGGGGGGGGGCAAAGGAGACATTCAGGGGGGCAGGAAACAGATTGACACCTCCCCCCCACAGGGTTTGACCCCCCCCGAGAGCAAGAAAAACTTAAAGGAGGAAATGAAAATGCCCCCCACTCCTGCCCCGCAGCCCCCTGCCACCCCAGCCCTGCCACCCCCAGCTCCACCAGTGCCCCCAGCAGCCCCCTGCCAGCCCAGCCCTGCCCCCCCCAGCTCTGCCGGTGCCCCCCCACTCCCGACCCGCAGCCCCCTGCCAGGCCAGCCCTGCCCCCCCCCAGCGCCTCCCACTCACAACCCGCAGCCCCTGCCAGGCCAGCCCTGCCCCCCCCAGCCCCACTGGTGCCCCCCACTCCTGCCCCGCAGCCCCCTGCCAGCCCAGCCCTGCCGGTGCCCCCCACTCCCGACCCGCAGCCCCCTGCCAGCCCAGCCCTGCCCCCCCAGCACCTCCCACTCACGACACGCAGCCCCCTGCCAGCCCAGCCCTGCCCCCCATAGCTCTGCCGGTGCCCCCCCACTCCCGACCCGCAGCCCCCTGCCAGGCCAGCCCTGCCCCCCCCCCAGCGCCTCCCACTCACAACCCGCAGCCCCCTGCCAGGCCAGCCCTGCCCCCCCCAGCCCCACCAGTGCCCCCCACTCCTGCCCCGCAGCCCCCTGCCAGCCCAGCCCTGCCGGTGCCCCCCACTCCCGACCCGCAGCCCCCTGCCAGCCCAGCCCTGCCCCCCCCAGTGCCTCCCACTCCCGACCCGCAGCCCCCTGCCAGCCCAGCCCTGCTCCCCCAGCTCCACCAGTGCCCCCCGCAGCCCCTGCCAGGCCAGCCCTGCCCCCCCCCAACCCCACCGGTGCCCCCCACTCCTGGCCTCACAGCCCCCTGCCAGGACAGCCCTGCCCCCCCAGCTCCACCAGCGCCCCCCACTCCCAACCCGCAGCCCCCTGCCAGGCCAGCCCTGTCCCCCCCCAAGCTCCGCCGGTGCCCCCCAGTTCTGACCCGCAGCCCCCTACTAGCCCAGCCCTGCCGGTGCCCCTCACTCCCGACCCGCAGCCCCCTGCCAGCCCAGCCCTGCCCCCCCCCCCACTCCCAACCTGCAGCCCCCTCGGGTCCCAGCTCCTCCGAGAGGAGCTAAAGAGTTAACCCCGTGTGTGCCAGGGAATGGGGGGGGGTGGGAGGGGATGGCGCCGTTGCCCCAGTAACGGTCTTCTCTCCCAGCTACAACACCCGGGCCTGCCCTGTCACCCCACCCAGTTGCCACGGTAACCAGGGAAGGGCCCCGGGCCCCCGCCTGTTCTGACAAGAAGGGGTGAATCACCCAGGGAAACCTGCGGGGGGGGGGGGGCAGCAGGAGGGGGAGCCCAGGGCTCAGCCCCCCACCCCCCTCCCAGAGCCGGGGAGAGAACCCAGGAGTCCTGGCTCCCAGCCCCAGGCAGGGACCCTGGCTCCGTGCCCGGTTCGGCTTTGCCCTGCCCACACTTGGGGATCCCAGCGCCGGGGGCGGGGGGGGCAGGGAAGCAGAAAGGTGGTGACTAATTGGCACGATTAGCGCCGAGCTCGTTAGGTGCAAGGGGGGGCAGGGGAGGAGGGGTTGGGGGTTTCCATGCCTGTCCCTCCCTCCATTCCAATTCCACCCTCTGTCCTTCCCTGCCCCTGCAGCAAGGAGTCCCAGAGATCCCCCCCATATGGGCAAAGCCAGGAGCTCATGGCAAATCAGTGTTTAATTACTTCACCGGCCGGGTGGGGGGTAGAGACCTGCCCTTCCCCCCCACAGCTCCCCCCACCCTGCCAGAGCCCAGCTGGGGAGATGGGGGTTAGTCTGGGCTGAGGGAGGGCAGGGCTGAGTGGGTTCCCTTGACCCGCACCTCGATACGGCTCAGATGGCAGTGGGGGGGCCGTGGTCAGAGTCGGGGGGTCCGTCCCCCCCCCTATTCCCGCTTCTTCCTAGCCTCCACGCCGGCTGGCACCTGCCAATAATACAGCAGCTGGCCCGCGATGACGCCGTTGCAGAGGGAGGAGACCACGTAGGTCAGAGCCATCAGGGGGTCGCCCGTCTCCTGGAGGGGGACAAACGGACAGGGGTGAGGGGGGGCGGGGAATGGGGCGGGGGCCTGTCCCCTCTGGGGGGCGCTGGCTCCCACTGGCGCCCGGGCAGGGACTGGCTGGCTCAGGGGGCGGGGAATGGGGCACGGGGCCTGTCCCCTCTAGGGATCCCCTCTGCCCAGGAGCATGCCCAGAGGGATAGTGGGCGGGAAAGCCCCCCCCATGCCCCCCGACCCCAAAGCTCATACCCCCCCCGGGGGGGGCGGTACCTGTACGGAGGTGAAGATCCGGGCCAGCGAGCCGCCGAAGAGGAGGAAGACGGTGACGGCCGACAGCTGCCCCGTGTGCCCATTGCGGTAGTTGGTGGCCGCTTGTAGTAGCTGGGGGGGGGGAGGAGACGAGACCCCCCCAGATCAGCAGCTTGGACGGATTTGCCCCCCCACCCCCACCGTGAGCCCCCTCCGCCAAGCCGCTTGTAGGCCGGGAGTAGCCAAGCCCCACGGCCACCCACCTTCGGCGGAGGTAAGGGGCTGGTTTGACACCCTCGACGGAATAAGTCCTGCTGGGGGGGCAGCTCCCCCGAAACACACAGCCCCCCACCACTAGTGTGACCCCTGAGCCAAAGTCCTCTGCATGCAGGCTCAGATGGGAGCCGGCGCCCTCTAGAGGGGACAGGCCCCTGCCCCATTCCCCGCCCCCCCGAGCCAGCCAGTCCCTGCCCTGGGGCCGGGTGGGAGCCGGCGCCCCCGAGAGGGGACAGGCCCCTGCCCCATTCCCTGCCCCCCTGACCCCGCCAGTCCCCCCTGGGGCCGGGTGGGAGCCGGCATCCCCGAGAGGGGACAGGCCCCTGCCCCATTCCCCGCCCCCCTGACCCCGCCAGTCCCCCCTGGGGCCGGAGGGGAGCCGGCGCCCCCGAGAGGGGACAGGCCCCTGCCCCATTCCCCGCCCCCCTGACCCCGCCAGTCCCCCCTGGGGCCGGAGGGGAGCCGGCGCCCTCTGGAGGGGACAGGCCCCTGCCCCATTCCCCGCCCCCCCGAGCCAGCCAGTCCCTGCCCTGGGGCCGGGTGGGAGCCGGCGCCCCCGAGAGGGGACAGGCCCCTGCCCCATTCCCTGCCCCCCTGACCCCGCCAGTCCCCCCTGGGGCCGGGTGGGAGCCGGCATCCCCGAGAGGGGACAGGCCCCTGCCCCATTCCCCGCCCCCCCGAGCCAGCCAGTCCCTGCCCTGGGGCCGGGTGGGAGCCGGCGCCCCCGAGAGGGGACAGGCCCCTGCCCCATTCCCCGCCCCCCTGACCCCGCCAGTCCCCCCTGGGGCCGGAGGGGAGCCGGCGCCCTCTGGAGGGGACAGGCCCCTGCCCCATTCCCCGCCCCCCTGACCCCGCCAGTCCCCCCTGGGGCCGGAGGGGAGCCGGCGCCCCCGAGAGGGGGCAGGCCCCTTACCCGGCTGATGATGATGGCGGGCACATTGGTGGCTTGCAGGAGGGTGACCATGGCCTGGGGGGTGAGGGGGGAGAGCAACAGGCAGAGCAGAGCGAAATACAGCACCAGGAAGGAGATACCTGTGGGGGGGGGGGAGACAGGAGAGGGTTAAACCCCCCCACGCAGGGATCCCCCCCCCTCCAACCCACACCCTGTGCGGGGGGCTGCGTCCCACTCACCCTGCGCGGTGCGTCCCCCGAAGTGCTGGGTCAGGAAGCCGATGGTGACCGTTTGGAGCATGAGGAAGAGCGCCTCGCCCCAAGCGCTGCGAGGGGGGAGAAAACAGGGGGTCCGGCCCGCCCTAAAAACCCTGCCCCCCGACCAGCCAGCCCCCTGCCCTGGGGCCGGGAGGGAGCCAGCACCCCCGAAGGGGAAAGGCCGTCTGGTAGAGCACCCCCACTTAGAACCCCAGAGCCGGGGAGAGAACCCAGGAGTCCTGGCTCCCAGCTCCCCCCAGCTCTATCCCCACCAGCCCCCACCCCCCTCCCAGAGCCGGGGACAAGACCCAGGAGTCCTGGCCCCCAGCCCCCCGTGCTCTAACCCACCAGCCCCCACTCCCCGAGCCGGGGAGAGAACCCAGGAGTCCTGGCTCCCAGCCCCGCCGGCTCTAACCCCACCAGCCCCAACTCGCCTCCCAGAGCCGGGGAGAGAACCCAGGAGTCCTGGCCCCCAGTCCCCCGTGCTCTAACCCACCAGCCCCCACTCCCCGAGCTGGGGAGAGAACCCAGGAGTCCTGGCTCCCAGCTCCCCCCAGCTCTAACCCCACCAGCCCCCACTCCCCAAGCTGGGGAGAGAACCCAGGAGTCCTGGCCCCCAGCCCCCCGTGCTCTAACCCACCAGCCCCCTCTCCCCGAGCTGGGGAGAGAACCCAGGAGTCCAGTCTCCTGGCCCCCACTGCTCTGACCCACCAGCCCCCACTCCCCTCCCAGAGCCGGGGAGAGAACCCAGGAGTCCTGGCTCCCAGCTCCCCCCAGCTCTAACCCCACCAGCCCCCACCCCCCTCCCAGAGCCGGGGACAAGACCCAGGAGTCCTGGCTCCCAGCCCAGCCGGCTCTAACCCCACCAGCCCCAACTCGCCTCCCAGAGCCGGGAAGAGAACCCAGGAGTCCTGGCCCCCAGCCCCCCGTGCTCTAACCCACCAGCCCCCACTCCCCTCCCAGAGCCGGGGAGAGAACCCAGGAGTCCTGGCCCCCAGCCCCCCGTGCTCTAACCCACCAGCCCCCACTCCCCTCCCAGAGCCGGGGAGAGAACCCAGGAGTCCTGGCTCCCAGCAGGGCTCTCCCACCCCAGGGCTGACCTGGCCTGACCCCGCAGGGGCCGGGCCGGGCGGGGCTCACGGGGCCGGGGCTCCCCCTGGTGGCGAGGGGGGGCAGGCGCAGCCTCACCTGAAGGGGAAGCCGTTGGCCACGCTGTAGACCATGGTGCCCGTGAGGGCCAGCAGCTCCAGCAGGATTGAGTGGAAACTGAGCCCCATGGCGCTCTTCGCCCCCAGGATCTTAAACACCTGGGGCAGCTTCACTGCAGGGAGGCGGGGCGCACGTCAGGGCTGGGGGGCAGCCCCCCATCGGCACGGAACGGAGGGGCCTCTCGTCATCCTCCCCATGGGGGTCAGATGGGAGCCAGAGCCCCCTAGAGGGGACAGGCCCCTGACCTACTCCCCACCCCCCTGAGCCAGCCAGTCCCCACCCTGGGGCCGGATGGGAGCCGGTGCAGGCCCAGTGCCCCATTCCCACCCCCCATGAGCCAGCCAGTCCCCGCCCTGGGGCCGGATGGGAGCCGGCGCCCCCCCGAGGGGACAGGCCCCTGCCCCATTCCCCACCCAGACAGGGAGCGGGGGATGCAAGGAGCCGGATGCGTACCCATCAGCGACCCCGCAACGATGGCGATTCCCAGCCCTTTGCTGACCAGGATCTTCAGGCAGGGAACTGGAGGAGGGAAGGAAAGGGAGAGGGAGAAGGGGGGGCAGGGGGGGTCAATACCAATGGGGCAGCAGCACGTCCCGTCCCGCCCCCCAACCCCCTCACATCCTGGGTTCCCAGGGCTGGTGCTTCACTGGCCCCCGACCCTAAGGCCTCTTTGGGTGTCCTTAGCATCCTGCCCCCTTTGCCCTTCCCCAGCAGCCCCAATCGCCCCCCCCCGCTCCGGCATCTGCGGCCCCTCTGGATATCTCAGGTACCCCGAACCCAGTGACCGGGGCCCCATGCTGATCCTATTGGTCCCCGTCCCTCATTCCTCTGACTGCCCCCCCACGGGCCAGTCTCCCCCCAACGTCGTGTGTTTCTCTGAGCATCCCTGCTCCCCCCACCACTCCCCGGCCCTCAGCGTTATGGCCCCCCCGAGCCCTCTGGGTGTTCCTGGATCCCTGCGCCCTGGGCTCCCCCCGGCTCCCCAGCCCCACCGTGGGCCCCCAGCCCCCCTGCTCGCCCCCTTCCCTCCCGGCCTCGGCCCTCTGGGTGTGCCTGGCTCCCTCCCTCTCAATTCCCCCCTTGGCCCCCATGGTAGCTCCTGCCCCGCCCCACTGACCCACTGCGCCCCACCCAACCCCCACTGCTCCCCCAGGCCTCCTGACCCCCACTGCTCCCCACCCTTCCCCATTCCCCCCATTAGCCCCCGCCCCACCATCCTTGCCCCCAGCCCCACTGACTCCCACCCAACCCCCACCGCTCCCCCTTCCCCCATTCCCCCTTCCCCCTGCCCCCCCTTGACTCCCACTCAACCCCCACTGCTCCTCCCATGCCCCACCGCTCCCCCAGGCCCCCCACCCTTCCCCATTCCCCCCATTAGCCCCTGCCCCACCGTCCTTGCCCCCAGCCCCACTGACTCCCACCCAACCCCCACCGCTCCCCCTTTCCCCATTCCCCCTTCCCCTGCCCCCCCTGACTCCCACCCAACCCCCACTTCTCACCCTGACCCCAACCCAACCCCCCACCGCTCCTCCCACCGCTCCCCCAGGCCCCCCACCCTTCCCCATTCCCCCCATTAGCCCCTGCCCCACCGTCCTTGCCCCCAGCCCCACTGACTCCCACCCAACCCCCACCGCTTCCCCTTCCCCCATTCCCCCTTACCCCTGCCCCCCTTGACTCCCACCCAACCCCCACTGCTCCTCCCACCCCCCACCGACCCCCCACTGCTCCCCCAGGCCCCCCACCCTTCCCCATTCCCCCCCCATTAGCCCCTGCCCCACCGTCCTTGCCCCCAGCCCCCTTGACTCCCACCCAACCCCCACTGCTCCCCCTGACCCCAACCCAACCCCCACCACTCCTCCCACCCCCCACCAACCCCCACTGCTCCCCCAGACCCCTGAGCCCCACTGCTCCTCCTGACCCGCACCCCTCCCCCAGCCCCACCGACCCCCACCGCTCCCCCATTCCCCCTTACCCCTGCCCCCCTTGACCCCCAACCAACCCCCACTGCCCCTCCATTGTAGTCCCCCCAGAAGTGGGGAGACGGCTGAGGCCGGGATGTGTCAACACAGGGGAGTGGGCTGACAAAGGGGGGGGTCACCCCTCCCCCAGGAACCCCCTTCTGCGGGCACTTCCGCCCCGCACCGTCATGGCGGCGGCACGCCTCACCGGGCACTTCCGCCCCGCACCGTCATGGCGGCGGCACGCCTCACCGGGCACTTCCGCCCCGCACCGTCATGGCGGCGGCACACCTCACCGGGCACTTCCGCCCCGCACTGTCATGGCGGCCTCACGCCTCACCGGGCACTTCCGCCCCGCCCCGTGGAGCGCCGGAGGGCGGGCGCCTTGCGTTGCCATGGCGGCCGGCGCGTGTGGCCCCGGTGGGGGAGGGGCGGGCGCTCACCGTGCAGCAGGTTGAAGCGCAGGAACAGCTCGTCGTAGCAGCGCTCGGGGAGCAGGTGCGGGACCAGCAGCCCCTGCAGCGCCGCCGCCGCCGCCATTTTGGGAAATGGCCGCGCGCCCACCCCGGCCCGGCCGGCGCTTCCGCCTCCATGTCGCCTCGGTGCCTGCGGCGCAGGCGCGGAGGCGCCCGCGGAGCCACTCACTGCGCAGGCGCCTTCCCCCCCCAACAGCTTGTGCGCATGCGCTCGCACTCCCGCCGCAGAGTTCCCCCCTCCGCAGTACGCAGGCGCCTCTTTCGCTCTCTTCGGCGCATGCGTAGCGGAGGGAGGGAGAGACAGGGGACGCCGAGCATGCGCCGCCCTGAGTGTGACAGTGGGCGCTCATGCGCCCTGTCCCTCAACAGTCCCCCTCCTGTCCTCCTCGCGCATGCGGTCTCCCCCCTGCGCGGCCTGTCATTCTCACGCATGCGCCCTTCCTCCCAACCCCCCTCCCTTTGTGCGCCCCGCGCACGCGCCCTCCCTTCCCACGCCCGGCTCCCCTTCCCGCGCATGCGCCCTAGAGCCCCCCCCCCACACACACAGAGACTCCCTGCCTTGACCAAACTTTGGCCAACCCAAGATGGCCGCCCCAGCCCCGCCATCTTGCCCGCTCCCCGCCCTGAGCCGGGGGGCCGTGGCCCTCTGCCTGCTGCACTACCTGCGGCTGCAGCGGGGCCGCCGCCTGCGGGAGGCCGCCCGCCGCCACCGGGCCGCCCGCCACCGCCGGGCCCGGGCCCGCTGGGGCCGCCGCTTCGCCCTGCTGTGGCGGGCGGGGAGCCCGGCGGCCGGGCCCGGCCCCCGCCCGCCCGGCCGCCCGCCCCTGCCCCGCCCGGCCCCGGCCCCGGCCCGGGAGCGGCGGCTCTGGAGCAAGGCCCGCAGCTCGGCCTTCTGGGACACGGTGCGGGCCAAGGCCTTCGGGCCCGGCGAGTGGGCCGACAACTTCCGCCTGGGGCCGGCCACCTTCGACTACCTCTGCGGGCGGCTGCGGGGGGCCATCCAGCGGCGGGACACCAACATGCGCCGGGCCATCCCCGCCGAGGTCCGCCTGGCCATGACCCTCTGGCGCCTCGGGGCCTGCACCGAGTACCGGGCCGTGGAGCAGCAGTTCGGCGTCTCCCGCTCCACCGTCTGCAAGATCCTGCGGGACGTCTGCGAGGCCGTGGTGGCCATCCTCACCCCGGCCTACGTGGCCGCCCCCGCCGGGCCCCGGGCCGCCGGCTTCCCCGCCCCGCCCCAGCTGGCCGGCGTGCTGGGGGCCCTGCACATCCCCATCCGGGCCCCCAACGAGAACGCCGCCGGGTACTTCAACCGCCGGGGTTGGCACTCGGTGGTGCTGCAGGCCGCCGTCGACGCCCGCGGCTGCTTCTGGGACGTCAACGTCGGCTGCCCCGGGAGGCAGACCGACGCCCAGGTGCTGCGGGCCTCCGAGCTGTACCAGCGCGCCCAGCGGGGGGAGCTCTTCCCCGGGGCGGCCCGGGACGTGGGAGGCGTCCAGGTGCCCGTCTACTTGCTGGGCGGCCCGTCCTACCCGCTCCTGCCCTGGCTGATGAGGCCTTACCGGGCCGGGGAGCTGACGCCGGCCCAGAGGCGTTTTAACGAGTACGCCGCCGCCGCCCGCACTGTGGTGGGGGTGGCGTTCGGGCGCCTGAGGGGTCGCTGGCGCTGCCTCCAGAAACGCAACGACACGGATGTCTCTTTCCTGCCCACCCTGATCGCCGCCTGCTCCACCCTCCACAACGTCTGCGAGATGCACGGCGACGTCTTCCAGCCCCGCTGGATGGTGGAGGAAGAGGAGGAGGAGGAGGAAGATCCCGTCGAGGACGGGGAGGGAGAGGATGGCGCCGCGGCCGAGATCCGTGAGGCACTGGCTCTGACCCTTCGGGACTGAGGGAGAGAACCCAGGAGTCCTGGCTCCCAGCCCCGTCCCTGCTCTAATCCACCAGCCCCGACTCCCCTCCTAGAGCCGGGGAGAAAACCCAGGAGTCCTGCCTGCCAGCCCCCCCTGCTCTAACTCACCAGCTCCAACTCCCCTCCCAGAGCCGGGGAGAGAACCCAGGAGTCCTGGCTCCCAGCCCCGTCCCTGCTCTAACTCACCAGCCCCAACTCCCCTCCCAGAGCCGGGGAGAGAACCCAGGCGTCCTGCCTCCCAGCCCCCCTGATTAATCTGCTGAATGTTTATTCCCTTCCCCCCTTCCCTCCCCCCCACCTGGGGGCAGGTGTAGGGAGGTAGGTGAAGTGAGGGTGCCAGGCGGGAGTGGGGGTAGGGGCTGGGTGTCAGAACTGGGGTGGTGGCAGGGAGCTGGGAATTTGCAACCAGGCTGGGCAAGGGGCAATTGAAGTCGGGGGGGGGGGTATTGAGAGGAACCGGGGAACCGGATGCCTGGGTTCTCTGTAACCTCAATAAACAAAGACTTCAACCCAAAGAAGCCGTACTGTAATTGTCCGCCAACACCTGGCCCCTCTCTCTGCCCCCCTCCTGCCCCATAGCTGCCCGGTCAGCCCCAGCCTGGCTGACTCAGCTGCTCTGTCTGTCCAGCTGCCCGGCCTTCCGGATGGACAGTCGGACAGCAAGGAGGACATGCTGGCAGGGGCTGTATCTATCTGTCCAGCCAGTCTATCCATCCAGAGGGGGCCGCATTTCAGCGCTGGGCGCGGGGTCCCCGAATAACCAGCTACCCCACCCCAGAGGTGGCCGCATCTCAGCGCTGGGCGAGGGGTCCCCGTGTCACCGGCCGCCCCGCCCCAGAGGTGGCCGCATCCAGCGCCGGGCGAGGGGTCCCCGTGTCACCGGCCGCCCTGCCCCAGAGGTGGCCGCATCCAGCGCCGGGCGAGCTCACTGGGATGCTGCCAGGAGCCGGGGCACGAGCAATAACTGAGACGTCCTCGTATTTACCAACAACCCCCCCCCCACTCCGGCCCGAATTTATTTAATCAGTAAAATAAAATACATGGATCTTGGACCTTCTTCCTCACCCCACTCCCCGCCCCCGAGGCAGAGGGGAGCCAATGCCCCTAGAGGGGACAGGCCCCATCCCAGCTCCCGCCCCCTGGCCTGTGTCCCAGCCCCTCAGATGGTCTGGTAGCCGCCCCGGGACCGGCGCCGGCCCAGCATGTAGGCGATGATGATGATCAGGATCAGGACCAGAAGAACCACCCCGATGACGATGGGGACCACCATGCTGTGCTGATCCTCCGGGCACTGCTCGGCTGCAAGAGAGGAGGGGCAGGGCTGAGACCGCGGGGTGGGGGGCAGAGGGAGATGAGAGGGGAATGGGAGGGCTTGGATCGGGGGAAATGGGGGGGCAAGCGGAGATGAGAGGGGTATGGGGGCCAGGGCTTGGATCGGGGGAAATGGGGGGGCAGAGGGAGATGAGAAGGGAATGGGGGGCAGGGCTTGGATCGGGGGAAATGGGGGGCACTGGGAGATGAGAGAGGTATCGGGGAGCAGGGCTTGGATCGGGCGAAATGCGGGGGCAAAGGGAGATGAGAGCGGTATGGGGGAGCAGGGCTCGGATCGGGGGAAATGGGGGTCAAGGGGAGATGAGAGGGGTATGGGGGGCCAGGGGTTGGATCGGGGGAAATGGGGGGACAAGGGGAGAGGAGAGGGGTATGGGGGGGCAGGGCTCGGATCGGGGGAAATGGGCAGGGGGAGAGGAGAGGGGTATGGGGGAGCAGGGCTCGGATCGGGGGAAATGGGGGCAGGGGGAGATGAGAGGGGTATGGGGGCCAGGGCTCAGATCGGGGGAAATGGGGGGACAAGGGGAGAGGAGAGGGGTATGGGGGGGCAGGGCTCGGATCGGGGGAAATGGGCAGGGGGAGAGGAGAGGGGTATGGGGGAGCAGGGCTCGGATCGGGGGAAATGGGGGAGCAAGCGGAGAGGAGAGGTTGCTGGGGCCGCGGGGGGCAGGTCTGGGGCCGCGGGGGGCCCGTACCGTCCCCGAAGTGGCCCCCCGGAAGGGCGAAGGCCTGGAGCTGCTCGTGCAGGGCGTCGAGGCGGAAGCCGGGGGCCAGCGCCAGGCTGCGGTTCCCGCACTGGTAGGACTTTCCCAGCCGGGCTTCGAACTCCCGCAGGCTGCTGTTCTGCGCCGCGAACTGGCTCTCTGCGGGGGGCAAGAGCTCAGAGCCGGCCCCCCGAGTCACCCCGAGTCCCGAACCGGCCCCGCCAGGCCGCCCGACCCCCCAAAGCCACCCCGAGCACCCAAAGCCAACCCCGACCCCCCAAACCCACCTCTGACCCCCCCAAGCCACCCCGAGCCCCCAGGCACCCCTGAACTCCCAGAGTCAACCCCGACCCCCCAAACCCACCTCTGACCCCCCCAAGCCACCCCGAGCCCCCAGGCACCCCTGAACCCCCCAAATCAACCCCGACCCCCCAAACCCACCTCTGACCCCCCCAAGCCACCCCGAGCCCCCAGGCACCCCTGAACCCCCCAAATCAACCCCGACCCCCCAAACCCACCTCTGACCCCCCAAGCCACCCCGAGCCCCCAGGCACCCCTGAACCCCCCAAATCAACCCCGACCCCCCAAACCCACCTCTGACCCCCCAAGCCACCCCGAGCCCCCAGGCACCCCTGAACCCCCCAAATCAACCCCGACCCCCAAACCCACCTCTCACCCCCCCAAAGTCACTCCGAGCCCCCAGGCACCCCTGAACCCCCCAAATCAACCCCGACCCCCCAAAGCCACCCTGAGCCCCCAGGCACCCCTGAACTCCCAGAGTCAACCCCGACCCCCCAAACACACCCTCTCACCCCCCCCAAAGTCACTCCAAGCCTCCAGGCACCCCTGAACCCCCAAAGTCAACTCCGACCCCCCCAAACTCACCTCTCACCCGCCAAAGTCACGTCGAACCCCCAAATCACCCACCTCACCAACCCTGGGTCCCGAACTGTCCCCGCAAGTCAACCCAACCCCCCAAAGTCACCCTGAGCCCCCAGTCACCCCTGAAACCCCAAAGTCAACCCCGACCCCCCCAAACCCACAAACTCACCTCTGACCCCACAAAGTCACCGCAGACCCCACAAATCCGCAAAGTCACCGCAAATCCCCAAAGTCACCCTGACCCCCAATCACCCTGACCCCCCCCCGAATCCTCAGTCACCCCCGACTCCCCTGAACCTCCAAAGTCAACCCCGACCCCCCCAAACCCCCAAACTCCCCTCTGACCCTCCCAAAACCCCGAACCTCCCAAATCCCCAAAGTCACCGCAAACCCCCAGTCACCCTGACCCCCAATCACCCTGAACCCCCAAATCCCCAGTCACCTCCGACCCCCCCAAACCTCCAAAGTCACCCCGACCCCTCAGTCACCCCGAATCCCCAGTCACCCCTGACCTCCCCAAACCTCCAAAGTCACCCCAACCCCCCCAAGTCACCCCAAACCCTCAGTCACCCCGGACCCCCCAAAAGTCACCGCAACCCCTCAAAGTCACCCTGAACCTTCAAAGTCACTCCTGACCTCCCAAAGTCACCCCGACCGCCCCAAATGCGCCCCGAGCTCGCCCCAATGCCCTAAACCTTTTCCCCATCTCCCCCCAACTCCCCCAAACCTCCCCCCACAACAGCCTGGACCCCCAGTTCTCACGTGTGGCCCCGGGGAAGTGGACGCTCAAGCTGGCTCTGACCTCGTGCAGGTAGACAGCGTTTTGGGTTGTATTCTGGGGAGACACAAGGGACCCCCAACGTTTGGACCCCCAACGTCCGCCCAGCACGGACCTGCAGCCACCTCTGGGGTGGAACACAAACCCCTGCCCCACAGCGCCCCCAGCGCTGCCCTGGGGCCAGCCCCGCCTGCCAGGGGAGAGCGCCCCCTGCCGGGCCCCCCGCCCCTGCCCCGTGCCCCCCAGCACTGCCCTGGGGCCAGCCCCGCCTGCCGGGGGAGAGCGCCCCCTGCCGAGGCCCCGCCCCTGCCCCGTGCCCCCCAGTGCTGCCCTGGGGCCAGCCCTGCCTGCCGGGGGAGAGCGCCCCCTGCCAAGGCCCCGCCCCTGCCCCGTGCCCCCCAGTGCTGCCCTGGGGCCAGCTCTGCCTGCCGGGGGAGAGCGCCCCCTGCCGAGCCCCCGCCCCACTCCCTGCCCCACAGCACCGCCCTGGGGCCAGCCCCGCCTGCCGGGGGAGAGCGCCCCCTGCCGAGCCCCCGCCCCACTCCCTGCCCCACAGCACCGCCCTGGGGCCAGCCCCGCCTGCCGGGGGAGAGCGCCCCCTGCCGAGCCCCCCGGCCCGCTACCTGCCCCCCAGTGCCGCCCTGGGGCCAGCCCCGCCTGCCGGGGGAGCGCGCCCCATGGAGCCCCCCGCCGGTACCTTCACGAAGGTGAAGTGCAGGAAGCCCTGGGCGAAGGTGATGTTCATGGTGGCTGAGTCCTGGGAGCAGGTTCCCACCACCACGGTGTGGTTCGGCTGGACGGTAAACGCGCCCCACAGCTGGGAGGGAGAGAAGTCAGGTGACCTGGCGTCACCTTCATCCCTGAACCCCAAGAGTCCGAGGGAGAGAACCCAGGAGTCCGGCCTCCCAGCCCCCCCTGCTCTAACCCACCGGCCCCCACTCTCCTCCCGGAGCCAGGGAGAGAACCCAGGAGTCCTGGCTCCCAGTCCCCCCTGCTCTAACCCACCGGCCCCCACTCCCCTCCTAGAGCCAGAGAGAGAACCCAGGAGTCCCGGCTCCCAGCCCCCCCTGCTCCAACCCACCAGCCCCCACTCCCCTCCTAGAGCCAGAGAGAGAACCCAGGAGTCCCGGCTCCCAGCCCCCCCTGCTCCAACCCACCAGCCCCCACTCCCCTCCTAGAGCCAGAGAGAGAACCCAGGAGTCCCGGCTCCCAGCCCCCCCTGCTCCAACCCACCAGCCCCCACTCCCCTCCTAGAGCCAGAGAGAGAACCCAGGAGTCCCGGCTCCCAGCCCCCCCCGCTCTAACCCACCGGCCCCCACTGCCCTCCCAGAGCCAGGGAGAGAACCCAGGAGTCCTGGCTCCCAGCCCCCCCTGCTCTAACCATCAGCCCCCACTCCCCTCCCAGAGCCAGAGAGAGAACCCAGGAGTCCCGGCTCCCAGCCCCCCTGCTCCAACCCACCAGCCCCCACTCCCCTCCTAGAGCCAGAGAGAGAACCCAGGAGTCCTGGCTCCCAGCCCCCCCCGGCTCTAACCATCAGCCCCCACTCCCCTCCCAGAGCCAGGGAGAGAACCCAGGAGTCCTGGCTCCCAGCCCCACCTGCTCTAACCACCAGCCCCCACTCCCCTCCCGGAGCCAGGGAGAGAACCCAGGAGTCCTGGCACCTGGCCACCCCTGGTCTAACCCACTGGCCCCCACTCCCCTCCCAGACTGGGGAGAGAACCCAGGAGTCCTGGCTCCCAGCCCCCCCCTGCTCTAACCATCAGCCCCCACTCCCCTCCCAGAGCCAGGGAGAGAACCCAGGAGTCCTGGCTCCCAGCCCCACCTGCTCTAACCACCAGCCCCCACTCCCCTCCCAGAGCCAGGGAGAGAACCCAGGAGTCCTGGCACCTGGCCACCCCTGGTCTAACCCACTGGCCCCCACTCCCCTCCCAGAGCCTGGGAGAGAACCCAGGAGTCCTGGCTCCCAGCCCCGCAGCCCTAACCACTAGCCTCCCCTTCCTCTTACCCACGCTTTGGAGCGGTTCTCGTATTGGATCCGGATCTGGAGGCCCGACTGAACCCGGAGGCAGACGTCCGACCCGTTCCACACCAAGTAGTTCCCTACCGCCGCATCCGGGGGCAGCGTCGGGGCCGCCGTGGTGAGGTGGGGGGTCGTGTGCGGGGTGGTGTGGTTGGTCGGGTGGGTCGTGGTGTGATTGGTGGGGTGTGTCGTGCGGTGGGTCGTGGTGTGGTTGGTCGGGTGGGTCGTGGTGTGGTTGGTCGGGTGGGGCGGGTGTGGTTGGTCGGGTGGGTCGTGGTGTGGTGGGTCCTGTGGGTCGTGGTGTGGTTGGTCGGGTGGGTCGTGGTGTGGTTGGTCGGGTGGGTCGTGGTGTGGTTGGTGGGGCGTGTCGTGCGGTGGGTCATGGTGTGGTTGGTCGGGTGGGTCGTGGTGTGATTGGTCGGGTGGGGCGTGGTGTGGTTGGTCGGGTGGGTCGTGGTGTGGTGGGTCCTGTGGGTCGTGGTGTGGTTGGTCGGGTGGGTCGTGGTGTGGTTGGTCGGGTGGGTCGTGGTGTGGTTGGTGGGGCGTGTCGTGCGGTGGGTCGTGGTGGGGGTGGTTTTGGTGAAAGACGGCACGAGGGTGGCCGATGACTTATGGCGGGGGCAGCCGTCGCACGGGGCCTCGATCTTGGAGCCGGGCGTGGTTAGTTCCTGGGCCCCATCACCGGGCGGGGTGAAGATGCAGACTCGAGGGGTGAGGAAGGGGGGGACACAATTAGACCTTCAAAGTAGACACAGGGCACCAATACACCTCCCCTGGCTAGCTGCATGTCAATGGCCATCATTAGGGTCCAGAGTCAACACACACGTTGCTAACCTGGCTGCCGGGGACAGGAAATATAGAAGGCTAATTTCTCTCCTCCCACAACCTCTGCCCTCTGACTGCCCCCTGCCCCACGCCTATGTTGAGTGCAATCTTTTAATTTGCTTTCATTTTGCCACCGTTAGGGCCCAGAGTGAACACCCCCCTAAATATCCAGATTCCATCCTCCATGTTCCAAAGGATGTGGGCCCCCCAATTACATCATGCCCTCAAATCCTGCCCCCTAAGTGATCCTCTCTCAGCCAACACCGGCGGCAACATGAAACGTACCATCGTTAGCCTTCAGAGTTAACACCCCAAATGAGAAGACACGTCCCCTGGGGCGGAAAGGTGGGGCATAAGCCCCAACCCCAGCTTCCCCCGCCCCCTGCGCCCAAATCCTTCTGCCTTATTCTCCAGCCACCCAACTCAGTTTTGGTGGTTCATTTCCAATCATGCCCTCATTAGGTTTCAGAGTTAACGCGGCTTAACATTCCCTTCGGATCCAAAAAATGGACTTTTAGGGCAACTGCACAGATTGCAACTCTCGACAGAACCCGGTTCACCGCTGCCTTGCTCCCGGGGTACGAGCCAGACACAGTGGCTGGGGTCGTAGCTGACCCTTTCGGAAAGCCGGGGGGGGGGGTTGCCCACTTTTCACCCCAATATTGCTGGGAAAAGGAGCAAGGTCCCTGTTTTGGGGGGTGGAAACTGACGGGGCAACCAAAAAAATTCCATTTTTCTGCACCCCAAACCGAGCAGATTCGGGCCCTGGTGGCCAAGCTGCGGCAGGCGAAAGCTCACGACATTTCCGCAGTGACCCTTGCGCAAGGGTGACCTCGGGCTCGACGCAAAACGAGCAACTAGAAATTAAACTCCCCCTTCGGCTGGGTTTGGGGGGGTGGCTGGGATCCCGGACTCCTGGGTTCTCTCCCTGGCTCTGGGAGGCGAGTGGGGGCTGGTGGGTTAGAGCAGGGGGGGCTGGGAGCCAGGACTCCTGGGTTCTCTCCCTGGCTCTGGGAGGCGAGTGGGGGCTGGTGGTTAGAGCAGGGGGGGCTGGGAGCCAGGACTCCTGGGTTCTCTCCCTGGCTCTGGGAGGGGAGTGGGGGCTGGTGGGTTAGAGCAGGGGGGCTGGGAGCCAGGACTCCTGGGTTCTCTCCCTGGCTCTGGGAGGGGAGTGGAGACTGGTGGTTAGACCGGGGGGGCCGGGAGCCAGGACTCCTGGGTTCTCTCCCTGGCTCTGGGAGGCGAGTGGGGGCTGGTGGGTTAGAGCAGGGGGGGCTGGGAGCCAGGACTCCTGGGTTCTCTCCCTGGCTCTGGGAGGGGAGTGGGGGCTGGTGGGTTAGAGCGGGGGGGCTGGGAGCCAGGACTCCTGGGTTCTCTCCCTGGCTCTGGGAGGCGAGTGGAGACTGGTGGGTTAGACCGGGGGGGCTGGGAGCCAGGACTCCTGGGTTCTCTCCCTGGCTCTGGGAGGGCGAGTGGAGACTGGTGGGTTAGACGCGGGGGCTGGGAGCCAGGACTCCTGGGTTCTCTCCCTGGCTCTGGGAGGGAGTGGGGGCTGGTGGGTTAGAGCGCGGGGTGGGGGCTGGGAGCCAGGACTCCTGGGTTCTCTCCCTGGCTCTGGGAGGGCAGTGGGGGCTGGTGGGTTAGAGCAGGGGGGGCTGGGAGCCTGGACTCCTGGGTTCTCTCCCTGGCTCTGGGAGGGGAGTGGGGCTGGTGGGTTAGAGCAGCGGGTGGGGGCTGGGAGCCAGGACTCCTGGGTTCCTTTCCCGGCCCGGGAGGGCAGTGGGGTGTGGTGGGATGGAGCAGGGGGGGCTGGGAGCCCGGACTCCTGGGTTCTCTCCCCGGCTCGGGCAGGGCAGTGGGGTGCGGTGGGTGAGAGCAGGGGCGGCGCCTACCTGCCAGGCAGAGCAGCAGCACCAGGGCCCCCATGCCGAAGACGCTGCCGGATCGTCCGTCTGTCCGTCCCGCCCGGCCCTTCCTGCGCGTCCCTGATAAACTGAAGGAAACGAAACCAGTTCCCCTGCCAAGGTCGCTCCCCCACCCCCGCCCGCCCGCTCGGAAACGGGCCTCGCGCACAGATAGCGAGGCCTCGAGGCGGAGATGCGGCCACCTCTGGGGCGGGGCGGCCGGCGACCCCTCACCCACGCTGGATGCGGCCACCTCTGGGGCGGGGCGGCCGGTGACCCCCTCACCCACACTGGATGCGGCCACCTCTGGGGCGGGGCGGCCGGTGACCCCCTCACCCACGCTGGATGCGGCCACCTCTGGGGCAGGGCGGCCGGTGACACGGGGACTCCTCGCCCAGCGCTGGATGCGGTCACCTCTGGGGCGGGGCGGCCGGTGACTCGGGGACCCCTCGCCCAGCGCTGGATGTGGCCACCTCTGGGGCGGGGCGGCCGGTGACCCCTCACCCACGCTGGATGCAGCCACCTCTGGGGGGGGAGCCGGTGACTCCTCGCCCGGCGCTGGATGCGGCCACCTCTGGGGCGGGGCGGCTGGTGACCCCTCACCCACGCTGGATGCAGCCACCTCTGGGGCGGGGCGGCCGGTGACCCCTCACCCACGCTGGATGCAGCCACCTCTGGGGCGGGGCGGCCGGTGACTCCTCGCCCGGCGCTGGATGCGGCCACCTCTGGGGCAGGGCGGCCGGTGACCCCTCACCCACGCTGGATGCAGCCAGCTCTGGGGCGGGGCGGCCGGTGACACAGGGACCCGGCGCTGGATGCGGCCAGGTCTGGGCCGGGGCGGCTGGTTTTACAGGTGCTGAGGTGACCCCCTCCTCGGCCGTGGGGCTGGGCGACATGCTGGGCCCCATGGGCTGGGGGTGGCGGGAGGCCACGTAAGATGGGCTCGTGGCTCTGACGGACACCAGCTGCCTCGGGGAGGGGGGGTGATGATTCAGGGCTTTCGGTTCCCCATGAGGCTCTGAGGACAGACCTGAGTCAGCCCCCAGGAAAGGCCCGTGACCTTCACGTGGTGGGCCTGGAGCTTGGGGCGGGGGGGCTGGGAGCCCGGACTCCTGGGTTCTCTCCCTGGCTCTGGGAGGGGAGTGGGGGCTGGTGGGTTAGAGCGGGGTGGGGGCTGGGAGCCCGGACTCCTGGGTTCTCTCCCCGGCTCTGGGAGGGCAGCGGGGGCTGGTCGGTTAGAGCGGGGTGGGGGCTGGGAGCCCGGACTCCTGGGTTCTCTCCCCGGCGCTGGCTGTCTCTCTCTCTTCCGTGTTTTATAGCTGCAGGTTCCCTCGAGCTTTGAGGCTGGGGCGTGGCCGGGCTCCAGGTGCGGCCCTGCCCCCCGACTCTGGCGGGGTGAGCCCCGACTGCCCCATAACTGGGCCAGACCCGCTCTGCCTTGGAAACCGGCCTGGGAGTTAACACTGGGAGCCAGGACTCCTGGGTTCTCCCCCCAGCTCTGGGAGGGGAGTGGGGGCTGGTGGGTCAGAGAGCCAGGACTCCTGGGTTCTCTCCCCGCCTCTGGGAGCTGGTGCATGAGAGGCGGGGGGGCTGGGAGCCAGGACTCCTGGGTTCTCTCGTAGGTACAAAGGGCTGGGTGGGAGATGAGCCCACCCCAGAAGTGGCTGCAACCCCCCTCTCCACGACTCACCTCTGGCCTGCCGCAGGGCCCCAGCCCGCTCTACTTCGGTCTCCCACTGGGGGTGCTGGGGAGGGGAAGCAACTTGCACCCTCCCACCACCGGGGGGCAGCCTCACGGCCCCCCTCCGGCCCTGGGGAGCTGTCCGCCTCGGCATCTCCTTGTAGGCCTGTTGCCAGTAACTCAAGTCTAACACGAGAAACCTGCGGAACTCCCTGCCACCAGGGGGAAGAGTAACTCATTAGGGCGCTCAGTTCATCATGGAGGGGGCTAGTGGGGGCCGTGGGCTCATAGTCCCGCCCAACAGTCCTGCTGCAACCTGTTACAGCACCAGGGGAGTTGAGGCAAAGGAAAGGGCAGGAGGGGGAAGCCCGGACTCCTGGGTTCTAGCGGCCCTGTTCCCCAGTAGATTTGGGTTCGACGCTTTCGAGCTGTGAACCTCTGGTCACGGATTAGGGAAATCGTACCCATGACTCAGGAGGAGCTGAAGCTGGTCTAAGCATTGCGACAGCCTACCACAACAGGAATCCTGGCTGTTCACCCGCGGAACTCCCCGCCACAAGATTGCGGCTGTGCGACAACTCTTGGAGGAGCACCAGCAGAACAGGGTAGTAGAGAAGAATTGGCCCTGCCGGATGTGGGACCTTGCCCGTTCTCCCATGCAGTTTGGGGGGGGGGGGGGGAAGGGGTATAAAGAGCTCCTCCCACCTTTGATCTTATGGGTCAGCAACCATGTTCCCTAAATCACAAGGCATCAGGATCCCCACTGTCACCCCCCTCCTTTTTTTTAAAAGCCTTGAGTGACAGCTGCCCCCATGAGTCAAAGGAGCGTGAACTCCTAGCCCCATTGTGCAGCACAGGAGTCTTTGCCCCCCTTCCCCCTCCTATTAGTCCAGCTGCAGGGGAAACAGCTGGGATCCCACCGCTGACACCAACACCCTCCGCTATAATCACCCCTTTCAGTCAGTAGATTGCTAGGCCCTCCCCCAAAAGGTGGTATCACCTCAATTTCTCTGTGGGGAAAGTGAGGCAAGGAGGGAGGAAAGCCGCAAGCCAAGTGTCAATCAGGAAGGCCAGACGGGGAGGGGAAAAAAAAAAGCAGGTAGCCTAGTGCAGTGTGAACTAGCCCACTTTGGCTAGTAAGGGGACTGCTGTGGTAAGGGCTTTCCCCTCATGCCCCTGGGAGGATCAGGCATGCAAGACTCTGGGATCCCACCGCTCACACCAATGCCTTTAGGAGAGGATTAGCCATGCAAAGAACCCCAGGAACAGAGAGTACACCCCTCCTTCAGCCAACTGGGATTGGGGGAGGGTCTGGCCAAACTGCCTTGAGCCCCGGGGGGGGGGAGGGGCCACCCCCCCTTTACAAACACAACCCAAAGCAGCGGCCATTTTGCAAGAAGATTTTTATTTGGTACGTTCGTTTCCTTTCAATAAATACTATACAAAAAGAAAGTAAAAAGGTCGCACACAATTTTGTTGGATGGGTGGGGAGGGTACGACAAATTTCCAGCTTACTGTTGCTTTTTTGGGGGGCAACTGATTTTGGGGGGGCTCCCTCCCATGACAGCTACCAACCCTGAGGTAGGTCCGACTTGCAAGCAGTTCGATTTAGCACCAGGATCAGGGTGGTGTAGCTTTGGGGGGGGGGCCTCGTTAGGAGAGACGGCCAGATCTGTGGGGGGCTAGGACAGCAGGACTCCTGGGTTCTACACTGGAGCTGGGATAGAACCCGGCAAATCCCAGAGAGCATGTGTGGGGGGGGGCATTAGTGGATACAGGGGACAGAAGTAGGAGCCAGCGTCCCATCTGCCCCCTCCTCCCCAAATTAAAGGAGGGACCCCAAACCAGGATGCCTGGGTTCTAACCTCAGCTCTGTAGCGGATCAGAGCCAGGACGCCTGGGTTCTGCGCTAGCTGAAGAGAACCCAGGAGTCCGGCCACCGCCTATTCTAGGAACACGAAGGAAACGGGGGGGAGGGGGGACACCACAAGCCAGGATGCCCCCACTCCAGTTAAAGGAGGCTCCGGGTCCCCCCCCCAGTTTTGGCCTCGGGGCGCGAGCGGCAGGACAGCGAGAAGTGGACAGAGACCAGAGAAATGCCACGAAACACTAAATTGGATTTTTCTCACCTCCAAAAAGTGACATTTATTCAAAAGCCAAAAAAAAAAAAAAGGAAAAATAATTAAAAAACGAGAGAGAGAGAGAGAGAGAGAGTCTGCAGCCGGCGCGTGACAGCGGCTGGCGGGGCAGCGCCCGGGGCGCCCACCGGGGGGCGCTCAGATGAGGTCGGCCACGTTCAAGGGCATCTCCTCGATGGAGGTGTTGTAAAAGGTCTCTATGTCACGCAGGGTGCGTTTGTCCTCCTCGGTCACCATGTTGATGGCCACCCCTTTGCGGCCGAGGCGGCCCCCTCGGCCGATCCTGGGGGGGGGCCGGGGGAGAAGGGGTGAGCGCAGGACGCCTGGGTTCTCTCCCTGGCTTGCATAGGAGCTAGTAGCTAGGAGGAGCCGGGGAGCCAGGACTCCTGGGTTCTCCCCCCGGCTCTGCGAGGGGCCCGGGGGCTGGTGGGTAGAGCAGGGGGGGCAGGGAGCCCGGACTCCTGGGTTCTCTCCCCGGCTCTGCGAGGGGCCTGGTGGATAGAGCAGGGGGGCTGAGAGCCAGGACTCCTGGGTTCTCCCCCCGGCTCTGCGAGGGGCCTGGTGGATAGAGCAGGGGGGCTGAGAGCCCGGACTCCTGGGTTCTCTCCCCGGCTCTGCGAGGGGCCTGGTGGATAGAGCAGGGGGGCTGAGAGCCAGGACTCCTGGGTTCTCCCCCCGGCTCTGCAAGGGGCCTGGTGGATAGAGCGGGGGGGCTGGGAGCCAGGACTCCTGGGTTCTCTCCCCAGCTCTGCGAGGGGCCCGGGGGCTGGTGGGTAGAGCAGGGGGGCTGGGAGCCCGGACTCCTGGGTTCTCTCCCCGGCTCTGCAAGGGAGCTGGTGGATAGAGCAGGGGGGCTGGGAGCCAGGACTCCTGGGTCCCCCCAGTACCTGTGGATGTAGTTCTCCCGGTTGGTGGGCAGGTCGTAGTTGATGACGAGAGACACCTGCTGAACGTCAATCCCACGGGCCTGGTGGGGGGAGAAAAAACAGCCAGCCTTCAGGCCCCGGCCCCCCACGTGTGGGGCAGCGCCCATTCCCAGGCTGTGGGCTGCTGTGCCGCGGCCGAGGCCCGGGGGGCTGGGGGCGCCCGCTGCGGGGAGCAGCCCCCCCTTGGTGTGCCAAGGAGCTACATTCCGCGTACAGCACAGGGGGGCTGGGCGGAGAGGGAATCTCCTTGGGGGCTGGGGGTGCCCAGGTCACCTGGGTTTGCTGACATCTAAGATGGCCGCTGTCATGTGATGGCAGCCATTTTAGAGGGGCCAGATCTTTCCAGCTGCCCCCCAAAACCAGCACTCCCCAGTCTCCCCCCCACAGGGCAGACCCAACTGCAGCCTGCAAATCCCTGCCCTTAAAAATCCCTCACAGCAGCCCCCCCAGGGAGCTGCCCCCAAGTTAACCCACCCCATTCATCTGTCCCCCAGGTTTTGCCCGCTACACCCAGGTGCCCCCCCCACAGCCCCCCAAGTCTCCTCACCAGCAGGTCAGTGGTGATGAGGACCCGGCTGGAGCCGGAGCGAAATTCACGCATGATTACATCACGCTCCTTTTGGTCCATGTCTCCATGCTGGGGGGCGAGAAAAGAGGGTCACCAGCAGCTAATCCACAGGCCTAACCATGCACTGGGGGGTCTCACTGCACCCCCCCCCCCCGAGAACCCCCCTTCACTGGCTGCTGGAAGGTGCAGAAGGGACAGAACCCAGGAGTCCTGGCTCTTAACTCCCCCCACAGCTCTAAACCTGGCACACACAACTCTGGGATCCCCCCCAAACAGCTGTACCCCCCATTTCAGGGACTGGGACCCAAGGGCACCCATAGTTCAAGGGGTCCAACTGCTGTGGCATGGGGTACACTATGGAAGGGCCACGGGCAGGGGGGACGGGACGACTCCACCATAAATCCAGATCCATGCAACTGGGGTGAGACCCAAACATCCTGGCTCCCAGCACCCACCCCCCTCCCCGGCTCTAACCACCAGCCCCCACTCCCCTCCCAGAGCTGGGGAGAGAACCCAGGCGTCCTGGCTCCTCCCTGCCCCCGTACCATGGCAGAGACGGTGAAGTCCCGGGCATGCATCTTCTCGGTGAGCCAGTCCACCTTCCTGCGGGTGTTGATGAAGATCACGGCTTGGGTGATCGTCAGGGTCTCGTAGAGATCACACAGGGTGTCCAGCTTCCACTCCTGGGGGGGACAGGACCCGTGGGGGGGGTGAGGGTGACAGCCCCCCCCAGCGCACTCATGTGGGGGACCCCTGGAAAATCCACTCCCAACTCCACCCCGGCGGGCAGAGCCTCCCCTGCTCCCAACACAGCCGTAACCCAGACCCGCAGTGTGCCCCCCATTTCAGGGACCGGGTCCCAGAGACATTGGGGTCGGCCATGGTTCAGGGGGGCTGATCGCTCTCGCATGGGGTACACTATGGAGATGCCATGGAGGGACCCCTCCATAAATCCAGGACCATGCGGGGAGGATAGAACCCAGGAGTCCTGGCTCCCAGCGCGCCCCCGATCTCCCCCCATGGGGAGAGCCCCCCCCCCACCTCTCTCTCGACATTGATGTAGAACTGCCGGATGCCCTCCAGGGTCAGCTCCTCCTTCTTCACCAGGATGCGGATCGGGTCCCGCATGAACTTCTTCGTCACCTCCAGGACGTCCATCGGCATCGTGGCCGACAGGAGCACCACCTGGGGGGGGACGACAGACAAGGGGGGCAGTGAGCGGCGCTGCTCCCTGCCCCACCCAGAAATCCCCTCTGCTCCCTGACAGCTGTAGCATCTCCCCCTGGGTTCTAGACCCCTCTACTGGTAGCTGCAGCGCCCCACTAACTAGCCCCCGGATTCTAAATCCCTGCCCTACCCTTCCCCACATGACTGACTTGCCCTTTGGGTTCTAGACCCACCCCCCCCTTTACTGCCAATTCTAACTCCTTATGGACTAGCCCTGCCTCTGGGTTCCTCCCCGTTCATTCCACTGCTCCTTGGGTTCTAGACCCGCCATGACAATCCCAGCTCCTCCTGGTCTAGTCCGCCCCTGGGTTCAACTCCCCATGGACGGTCCCCGTTGGCTTTAGTCCAACCGCTTCCTCTGGTCTTGCCACTTCCAGACACACCCTCCTCCCCCACACCAAATAACCTAGACCCACACTAACCCCCACACCAGTCCTGGGGTCTCCTGCAGCAAGCCCACACTCAGACGAACCCCCAGTTCTGGATTCAGCTCCTCCCAGGTGACTGCTCTTGGCCCACCAGGGGCCCTTGATTCCAGACCACCCCCCCGCCCCCCGGTTCCAAGCTCACCTGGGTGTTCCCACTCAGCTTCTGGAATATGTCGTAAATCTGATCCTTGAATCCCCGGCTCAACATCTCGTCGGCCTCGTCCAGGACGAACATCTTAATGAATTTGGGAGCTGCGGGGAGAGGGCAGGGAGGCCGTTAGCCTGAGCAGGGTGTGGGGGGCAAGAGGGGAGTCAGCCCCCAGAGATGCTGTTCTCAGTCAGAGAGCTCTGATCACGCCCAGAAGCCCCTGTGCCAGGCCCGGACAGCAGAACGCCTAGCAGGGGGCACAAGGTGGCACTGGCATCAGCTGACACGCATGGGGAATCGTCACTGAACAGATACGATTGTTCATGGGTTCACGCCCACCCGCCCAGGGGGGCGCCCAGAGAGGGGACCCCCAAGCCATGGAACTTACACAGGTATCTCCTGTTCAACATGTCGAAGACACGGCCCGGAGTCCCCACAATGATGTGGGGCGCTTCCATCTGCAGCTTCTGCACCTCGGCCCGGACATTGGTGCCCCCAATACAGGCGTGGCAGGAGGCCCCCATGTAGTCCCCGAGGGCCATCACGACCTTCTGGATCTGCAGGGAGGAAGCGAGGGTGAACGGCCAGAGAGCCAGGCTTCACCCCAGAGGCGGCCGCACCTCCACCGGGCGAGGAGATCCCCCCACCATCAGCCGCCCCCACCCCAGAGGTGGCCGCATCTCAGCGCTTGGTACCGAGGGGCCCCCGACAGCCGTGTGCCCCCAGCATGAACCAGCGACAGCCACCGCCCGGGATACTGCGCTGGGATGAATGGGGGTTCGTCTCTCTCCCCCTGCTAGATTTAAGAGCCGCGCCACCAATCAGACGCGTCTTTGCCCAGTTAGCAAGGGAGGAAGTGGGCGTGATTCCTACCAAGTAACCACGTGGACCGAGCTTGCTCTCTCACCTCCCCTCCCACACGCCTCAAGCCGTGCCCCAGGACTCCTGGGTTCTCTCTCTGGCTCTGGGAGAGGAGTGGGGTCTGGCGGGTTTGAGCAGTGAAGGCTGGGAGTCAGGACTCCTGGGTTCTGTCACCCTTGATGTCTCAGTTAACAAAGGAGCGAGGCAGGGATGGTCACCCAACTGAGTCACCCCTTTAAACGAGGGGGCGGGGGCACTGCCCTGCCCAACTCACCTGCTGGGCCAACTCTCGGGTTGGGGCCAGCACCAAGGCCTGGGTGGCCTTGAGGTCCAGCTCGATCTGCTGGAGGATAGAAATGGCGAAGGTGGCCGTCTTCCCAGTACCAGACTGAGCTTGTGCAATGACATCATAACCTGGGGGAGCGGAGAAGTCACGGGTCAGCGCCCCGCCCCAGAGGTGGCCGCATCGCAGCACTCGGTAGCCCCGACAGCCGTGTGCCCCCAGCATGAACCAGCGACAGCCACCGCCCGGGATACTGCGCTGGGATGAATGGGGGCTCGTCTCTCTCCCCCTGCTAGATTCAAGAGCCGCGCCACCAAGCGGACGCCTCTTTGCCCATTAGCAGGGGAGGGGGAAAATTCCGGCCAGGGTCTCCGCCATTGAAGTCCGCCCCGCTGGGACCCATCCCCCCCCTCCCCAGGGGCCGACTCACCCTTGATACAAGGAAGAATGGCTCTCTGCTGGATGGCGGAGGGCTTCTCAAATCCATAGGCGTAAATTCCCCGCAGCAGGGACTCCGACAGGTTCATGTCGTCAAAGCTGTCAACGATCTCATTCCAGTTGCTCTGAGGGGGGGCCGAGGGGAAGGAGGAAGGGGTTAACTCCCCCCCATAAATTCCCCATGCAGCCCCCAGCTCCTCGAGACTCCTGTCTTGACCCCCATCACTGCATACAGACCTCTCTCAGCCTGCTGCTCGCCTAATTCACCATCCCTGAAAGTAATCCTGTCTGGGTACCCCCGCATCTCTAGTGACGCCCCATTAGACACTGCTTTGCTCCCTGCAGCCCCCCCCCCCGCAATGAGCCCATCCACCCACCCCCCTGCACTTCAGAGCCTCTGCCACAGCCCCCCCCAGATACCCTATCCCTTCCCCCAAGGAGCCCATCCACCCCCTTGCACCTCATGGCTGCCCCCCCCCCCGACGCACAACTCATCCTCCTGCTCCACAGACCCCCGGCCCCTTCCTGGCGCCAGCCCACCTCAATGATGCCATCGGGGTCCATTCCCTCGGGGCCATTGTCTCTAGAACTGGAAGGCAAAAGGGAGACAAGGGGTGGGGGTTAGACGAGGTCAGCGGGAACCAGATGGCGCCCCCCGGGGCTGCTCCCCCGCCCCCCGCGGACCCTCACTTGAGGGGCTGTTCACCCTGCCCCCCCCCAGCCATCCGCCCACCATCAGGACCCCCAGCACCCACCCCCGGGGGCAGGGTGTCCCCCCCTTCTCCAGGGGGCCGAGCGCCCCCCCGATGCCTCCCCCAAAACCACGTCCTCCCCACAGCCTCAGGGGTCCCCTCAACCCCCCGGGAACCCCCCTCCCCTTACCAGGCTTAGGGGCCCCCCAGCCGGGGGGGGGGTGCTCAATCCCAGCCCCCTCCCTTCCCATCCCCCACCCCAGCCGGGGGGGGGGGGTGCTCCCTCCCCCCCCAGCCTGGGGTCCCAGCCCCTCCCCCCCAGGCTCCTCTCAAGCAGGGGCCGGAAGTGGCCCCCCCTCGCCCCGGAAGTGGCCCCCCTCCCCTCCCGTGACCTCGCGCCGCCCCCAGGCCCGGCCCAGGCCGCTCCACGTGCTCGGGCTTCTCCCTCGGCCATAACCCCCCCCGCACACCCGGAAGTCCCGCCCCCCTCTGCCCATTGGCGGGGAAGCCGGCGTGACGTCACGGCCGCGTTCCCCGGATGCCCAGCGGCAGGACAATGGAGGCGCCCGGCGGGGCCGCGCGCTTCTCCTCTCCCGCGCGCGCCGTCCCCCCCCCCGCAGGGAAAGAATGGATTCGCCCACCGCTCTTTCCCCCGCCCTCCCGAGAATGGACTGGGCCGGGGAGGGGGGGATCGAGGAATGGGCTCGTCCATTTGCTATACCCCCCCCCCACGCCCCGCGGATGGATCCGCCCAGGCGCGACCAACCCGCATCCCCGCGACGCATTAACGCCCCCCCCCCGTCGGGTGGTTCCGTCCTGTCGTCCCCACAAAAGAGTTACTGGAATTGGACTGGCCCCCCCACAGGATTCCCCCCCCCGACGGGAAGAATCGTCTCGTCGTCCCCCCCCCCCCGCAGGATCGGATGGTTCCGTCCGGAGCCAGGCCGCATCCAGATCGCCCAGCGTCACAAAATGGCGTCGCGCACCACACCGCCCCCCCCTCCCCACTCGGGCGGGGTGGTTCCGTCCAGCCCCCCTTCTCCGTGGCTCGAACTGCACCCCCTCCCCCTGAGCGCGAATGGGCTCGCCCACCTTGCTCTCCGCCCTCCCCCCAGGCCCGGATGCTTCCGCCCGCGTCCCCCGGGGAGGGGGTTTAAATGGACTCGCCCCTCCCCCCCCAAAGGAGAAGAAAAACAAGGGACTGGATTGGCCCATCCACCTCCCAAACCGGAATGACTCCCCCCCTCCCCCAGAAACGGGTGGTGCCGCCCAAAGGGCGCGTGTGCGTGGTCGATTTACGGGCTAAAAGCCCCTTTCCTGTCATGGGCTCGCCCGACTCCCCCCCCGCCCGCGGAATAGTTCGGCCCGCGCGCGCAGGGAGCGGAACGCCGCGGGGGTCGCGCCCGCCCCTCTGGGGGGCTGGGCAGTGGTACGGTCCGGCAGGGCCTAGCCGGGGCCGCGCGCGCACTCACCGGCTCTCCAGACACGCAGACATCCTGGGCAGGATCCTTCCCCCACCCGCCTCGCCCCGTCTTATAACCCCCGGCAAGCCCCGCCCCCGCCCCGCTCCCATTGGCCGCCCGCCCACCGGCCCCGCTCCCATTGGCTGCTTCCCCGCCCAGGGCCCGCCTCCCGGCTCCGCGCCCATTGGCCGGCTCCCGGCCGGTGACGTCGAAGCCGATTGAAAAGAGGCGTGTGACGTCAAGGCGCCCTGCCCCCTCCCTCCGGGGGGCCCCGCCCGCCAGCGGGGTGAGTCAGGCGCCAACACGCCGGGCGCCGATTGGCTGGTGCGCGCGCCCGTCAGGGCTCAGTGAGCCAATGGCCGGACGGGCAGGAAGGGGCGGGCTCCGGGGCCGGAAGTGAGGCCGCCAGGGGTCGCACACGTGGGTGGGGAGAGGCTGGGGCCTGCCTTTGTGCGCGTCTCGCCCACACGGGCCGTGACCCCTCCCGGCACCCGTACCCCAGCCCTCCCCCACCCGGGATCCCCTCCTACCGGATCCCCCGCCACAGGCCCCCCCCAGACACAGCCCCCCCGCCAACCCCCCCCCCGATCCCCTCCTACCAGCTCCCCCTCCAACCAGCCCCTCCCCAGCCACAGCGCCCCCCCCGGGATCCCCTCCTACCAGCCCCCCCACCACAGGCCCCCCCATTCCCCACAACCCCCCCCCGGGATCCCCTCCTACCAGCCCCCCCTCCAGCCAGCCCCTCCCCATCCCCCCCGGCCACAGCGCCCCCCCCCGGGATCCCCTCCACCAGCCCCCCCGCCACAGGCCCCCCCCGGGATCCCCTCCAGCCAGCCCCCCCATCCCCAGCACCCCCCCATTCCCTCCTACCGGACCCCCCCCCCACAACCCTCCCTGGATTCCCCCCCCCAGATCCCCTCCCACTAGCCCCTCCCAGCAAGGGCCCTACCCAGAGCTATCTAGCTGGGGACAGCTTTGCTTCGAACCTCCCCTGTCTGTTGCCTGCGCCCGCCCCCCCCCCGAGCTTATTCCCCACCCTGGGCTTCCACAGGCACCTCTGCTTGCCTCAGTTTCCCACCTCCAACAGCTTCCCCCACCCTCGCCAGACCACAGTTACACCCCCGGGTCCAGCTGCCTGATGGCCAGGTGGGGGCTCTCGGGCCGTGGGCCTACCCCAAACCCATTCAGCGCTGGGGGGAACGGATGAGAGCGGGGCGCCTGGTGGGCTGGGTGGCCGCCAGGCAGGGGTTGGCGGGGCCGTCGGCGGCTGCGGGGCTCTGGGTTTGTGGGCCTGTTCTCACAGACTGGCGTTTCTCGCCCTGCTCCCGTTACCGGCTCCGGGGTCACCGGGCAGAGACTCTCAGTTAGGGGCCCACAACCGACCCGGTAACACGTTCCCCCGAGCCGATGGCTGAGAAGAACTGACACAAGCAAGGCCCGGCCAGCAACACCAGCCTCCTGCAGGCAGCCCCCCACCCCGGCAGCTGGCAGTTCACCTGCTGTATCCCCCCAGGCATGGCTGCCCACCACAGCTGGGTCCGAAACTGGGTCCCTGGCTTGCCAGCGTATTCGGCGCCAGGTGATCACCACTGGGCCACCATCAGACTCCCGCTCCGGCCGGGCTGAGCCCATGGATGGATTATAATTGGGGGGCGCGTTAGCCACACAACGGCATCGAAACCGGTCCCCAGGCTGCAACAAAGGTCAAAGGTTTGGCTGCCACGCACGGGCCAAATGCACTCAGAGGCCGCTGGGCGTCTGCTGGACCCCAAGGGAGAAAAGTACGAGCAAATGCATCAAATATAACAGCCCCCCCGCTAAGGTGAAATATTTCCAAAGCCGGCGCGTTTGTGTTTAGAAGCTTTTGGCTCATTCGGGGGAAGAACCAGATGTCGTTTCGATGGGTCGGGGCCCTTTGGGCGAGGTGATGCTGTTTGCGGATCGCCTGGCCTGGGACGTTGAAATGTTCCGCGAGAAAGAAAAACTGCCCAAGGTCTCCAGCCGCCCCCCGGCTCCGTGCCCGGCCTGGTAGCACTGGCCTGGGTCGAGCTGCCGGGTGACCAAATGGTGCCAGGCTGGTAAATTAATAGTACGCTGGATTGCTGGACTCCTGGGTTCTTTCCCTGGCTCGGAGAGGGGAGCGGGGTCTTGTGGTTAGAGCAGGGGGGACCCACAGATCCCTTTCCGCGGTACTCCTGCCTAGGCAGTCCGTGCCCATTGTGTGCAACTGACTATTCCTTACTAAGTGGGGTACTGTGCATCTGTCCTGATTGAATTTCATCCTCTTTCCTTCAGACCCTTTCTCCGCCTCGTTTTGAATTTTAATCCCCTCCTCCAAAGCACTTGCCACCCCTCCCAGCTTGGGTGTCGGCCGCCAACTCGAAGCGTGCTCTCGCCGCCATTATCTAACTCCCTGATGAAGATACAGAACCGACCCCTGCGGGACCCCACTCGTTATGTCCTGCCCGCTTGACGATGAAGCGCTGATTACTCCTCGCCGGGGACAGTTTTCCAACCCATTCTGCACACCTCTTGCAGTAGCTACTACTATAGTAATAGTTTGTGAGGGCACGTGAGCCTTACTAAAGCCTTACTAAAGTCAAGATAGACCCTCTCTACCGCTTCCCCCCTAGCCACGAGGCTTGTTACCGTGTCAAAGAAAGCGAGCAGGTTGGTTTTATGCAATTTGCTCTTGCCAAATCGGAATCATAGAAGATCAGGGTTGGAAGGGACCTCAGGAGGTATCTAGACCCACCTCCTGCTCAAACCAGGACCAACCCCAACCAAACCATCCCAGCCAGGGCTTTGTCAAGCCTGACCTTAAAAACCTCTAAATCCATGCTGACCATTACAGATCACCTTATTATCTGCTTGGTGTTTGCAAATTAGTTGCTTAATTCGTTGCTCTGTTATCTTTCCGGGTACCGAAGTAAAGTTGACGGGTCTGTAATGCCCCGGCTTGCCCTTAAATTGGCCCTCTGGAATCGCTCCAGTCTTCCAGGACTTTTCGAAGATAATGACCAATAGCCGAGCGATCTCCTCAGTCAGCTCCTTGAGTGTTCTAGGATGGACTCATGTTAGCAACAAGGTATGGGAAAGCGAGGGCCCCTTACTGAATGGGGGAGGCAACCGCGTGACAGGGGATGTGGAAAAAGCTGAAGTACTCAATGCTGTTTTTGCCTCGGTCTTCACAGACAAGGGCAGCTCCCAGACTGCTGCACTGGGCAGGGCAGGGTGGGGAGGAGGTGAGCAGCCCTCAGTGGAGAAAGAACAGGTGAAGGGCTGTTTAGAAAAGCTGGACATGCACAAGTCTGTGGGTCCAGATCTAATGCAGCAGAGGGTGCTGAGGAAATTGGCTGATGCGATTGCAGAGCCACTGGCCATTGTCTCTGAAAATTCATGGCCACTGGGGGATGAAGTCTGCGGAAGAGAAGAGTGAGGGGGGATTTGACAGCTGCTTTCAACTACCTGAAAGGGGGTCCCAAAGACGATGGAGCTCGGCTGTTCTCAGTGGTGGCAGATGACAGAACAAGGAGCAATGGTCTCAAGTTGCCGTGGGGGAGGTCGAGGTTGGATATTCGGAAACACTTTCACGAGGAGGGTGGTGAAGCAGTGGAATGGGTTCCCTAGGGAGGTGGTGGAATCTCCTTCCTTAGAGGTTTTTAAGGCCCAGCTTGACAAAGCCCTGGCTGGGATGATTTAGTTGGGGTTGGTCCTGCTTTGAGCAGGGGGTTGGCCTAGATACCTCCTGAGGTCCCTTCCAACCTGATCTTCTCTGATTTCATCAGGCCCTTGGTGACTTGATGACATCTAAGGTGGCTGAGTCATTTTTAACTCGTTCTTTCCCTGTTCTAACCTCTGCTCCTGTTCAGTACGTGGGACGTCCAATCCCCGTGAAACTTTTTGGTGAAAAACAAAGAAAAGTCATTTAGCACTTTCACCATTTCAACATTTTCTATCATCGTTTCCCTTCCCCCTCGTTGAGTAACGGGCCGACCCCTTCCATGGTCTTCCTCGTGCTTCTAATGGATTTGCCAAATGTTTCCTTGTTACCCAGTATGTCTCTAGCTAGTTTGTTCTCATTCTGGGCCTTTCGAATTTTGTCCCTATGTATTTGTTTATATTCCTTTGTCATTTCACCTAGTTTCCACTCTTGCGTTTCAGATCCTTGACGATCTCCTGGTTAAGCCAGGGTGGTCTCCAGCCATACTTCTCTCTCTCTCAGGGCAATCGTTTGCTTTTGCACCCTTAATCACGTCTCCAAAAAACGACCAAATCTCTCAAACTCGTTTTCCTCTTAGACTTGCTTCTCACAGGATCCTACCTACCAACTCCGTGAGTTTGCTAAAGTCGGCCTCCTTGAAATCCATTGTCTTTATTGTGCCGTCTTCCGTCGTATCCTTTCCCGGAATCACGAACTTGTCTTCCACATTCACATTCTCAACCAGTTCCTCCCCCTTCGTCAAGGCCTCGCCCCGAGTTGCTTTCTCCACCTTCTGAGCGAAAAAATGGCCTCCAGGGCGGTCCAAGGATTCGTCGGATCAGCTGTCCCCGGCCACGTTGTTTTCCCGACGGACGTCGTGGGAGTCGAAGTCACCCGTGGCCACCAAGTGCCGGGCTTCGGCTGAGTTTGTTAAGTTGTTTGAAACTCGGCTTGTCTTACCAGTGTCCCGTTCCCCACCCCGGCGCCCCCTAGCAGACATTCTTCCTCCAAACGGCCAACACGGGGAGACAATTTGCCCCGCTTGGCGGGCGGGGCGGGGGAGTACACAGGGGAAATGACACCCCCTCCCCGCAGGACCCACATTTTAAGCCCAGGGGGTTCTCCAAAGAAACAAAGTTTATTGCCCAGAACAATTTCCCGCCGCATTATATATATATATATATATATATAAAAAAAAAAGCTTCTCATCTCACAGCCCAGTGTATAAACTTGTGTCCCCCCCCCACCCCCCCAACATACAACTTCACTAACACAAATAACCCATGGGAGAAGAAAAGGTGGGGGTAGAGATTCCAACGTCATCTCCCCTCTGCCCCCCTTCCCCGAGGTCTGGGTAGAAATGGCTCCTTCTCCCCCCGCCCCCGTAGTGACACCCCTCCCCCCAAAGCCGGTGTCTCCCCAAAATTCAGGGGTAGGGGGTGTATTTACCATGACCCCCCCACTCCAAATATGTAACAAGGGAAACTGGGTTTAAATATGAAAAAAATACAGAACCGGGGGAGAGGGGGATGCCCCCCCCCAAGTAAAAACGGTCCCCCAAAAGTCTGGTTGGCGGGGGCAGGAGGGAGCTGGGATTAGCTGCCTCCCTCACCCCGGCTTGAACAGTTCCAATGCTACAGAGTTAATGCCCCTTCCCGCTGCCCGTCCTGGGGTTCAGGGTGCCCCCCCCAGAGTGGGGGAGGAGGCGGTGTCCGCGTGGCCGCATCCGGAAGGGGAAGAGGTGGGTGCGGGGGGGGGGCGTCTCACACGCTGAGTTTGCAGTGGCAAAGCTCCTTGTACATCTGTCGCCGGAGCTTCGGCATGTCCTGCTGGGTGAAGGTGAACGCCCGGCCCAGCGCCAGGAACTTGCAGTACTGGGGGGCAGGGGGGGAGAAGCAGAGTTAACCAGGGGCACAGAGAAAAAGTTTTCCCCTCCAGGGGGCGCCGGCTCCCATCCGGCCCCAGTCTGCGTGAGCTGAGTTCGTCGGGTCTCAGCCCGGCTCATCACCAGCACGGGTGGCGCGAGATGCGGCCCACCACTGCGACGGGGAAAACGCACGGTGGGACTTGGGGGGTGGGGGGGGAGAATGCGAACGGCGTCCCTGCAGCCTCCACAATGGGTGGAGTTGGCAGGTCTAAGGGGGGCCTAGTGGCTGGGGGGCTGTCAGTGTGCACAGGGGGAGATCCGGGCGATGGGGGGGGGCGCCCGTGAGGAACCGCTGCTCCCCCCGGCTCCCCCCCAGCGCCAGCCGCCGCTCACCTGCAGGACAAAGGCTCCACAGTCACTGTCGTTATTCTGCCTGGCCACGTTCTGGGGAGAGGGGAGGGGAGGGCGAGTGAAGTCCGAGCACCCCCCTGCCCGCGGCAAGAGCCCGGCCCCCCCTGCTCTGACCCAGTAGCCCTCACTCCCCTCCCCGAGCCGGGGAGAGAACCCAGGAGTCCTGGCTCCCAGCCCCCCTGCTCTGACCCACCAGCCCCCACTCCCCTCCCCGAGCCGGAGAGAGAACCCAGGCATCCTGACTCCCAGCCCCCCGGCTCTGACCCACCAGCCCCACTCCCCTCCAACAAGGCGTGGAGAGAACCCAGGAGTCCTGGCTCCCAGCCCCCACCCCCTGCTCTGACCCACCAGCCCCCACTCCCCTCCCCGAGCCGGGGAGAGAACCCAGGCATCCTGACTCCCAGCCTCCCTGCTCTAACCCACCAGCCCCCACTCCCCTCCCGGAGCCGGGGAGAGAACCCAGGCATCCTGACTCACCATCTTAAAGGAGCCCCTCCAGCCATCTCTGAAGTCCGGCCGATCCTTCTTGTCTGCTTCAGCCTGGAGGTACCTACAGATGTGCTGGGGGGGGTTGAGGGGGGGCAGGAGGAGCACAAAGGGGGTGACTCAAGGGGGGGGGAAAGGGGCCACCTGATAGGACTGCCAGGAGTTAAGGGTGCAATGGGTGCCCCCTGGAAAGGACAGGCCCCGTGCCCCATTCCCCGTCCCCAGAGCCAGCCAGGCCCCGCCCTGGGGCCAGGTGGGAGCCCGCGCCCCCTGGAGGGGACAGGCCCCGCCCCTTGCCCCCCTGCCCGGTTACCTTGGGGCAGCGGCGGTTGAGCGTCCGCTGGGAGTCGAAGTAGGTGATGCTCTTCTGCCTCACGTCCACGGAGACCAGGGACCAGTGCACCTCCAGGTGGATGGGGATGAGCAGCAGGTCCTTGTTGAAGATGTCCACCTGCGGGGGGCGCCCCACGCACTCAGCCAGCCAGCCACCTCCTCCAGCCCTGCCTGCCGGGGGAGAGCGCCCCCTGCCGAGCCCCCCAGTGCCGCCCTGGGGCCAGCCCTGCATGCCAGGGGAGAGCGCCCCCTGCCGAGCCCACCGCCCCGCTCCCTGCCCCTCAGAGTCCCTTAGGGCAAGCCCTGCCTGACGGGGGAGAGCGCCCCCTGCCGAGCCCACCGCCCCGCTCCCTGCCCCACAGCGCCCCCTGCCGCACTCACATTTTTGGTCCAGCGTTTCACCCCCTCGTACCCCTTCGTTCGTAGCTTATCGTAGAAAAAACTGTTGAAGAAATGGACCTGGGGAGGGGGAGAGCCTCTGTTTAGACACCAACAGCCCCAGGCCCGGCCCTTCCACCCGGCCGGGGGCAGCAGGGCCTCTGGGCTGCCCCAGCCCCACGGCTCTAACCACCAGCCCCCACTCCCCTCCCAGAGCTGGGGAGAGAACCCAGGAGTCCTGGTTCCCAGCCCCCCCCCCAACTCTAACCACCAGGCCCCATTCCCCTCCCAGGGCCGGGGCTTCTCCGACTCCTATCAAGTCTCTGCTGAAGTGGTGGGGCAGGCCTGATTTACCCCAGTGGGGGGTGCAGGAGAAGCCAAGGACTGGGGTAACAGGGGCTGTAGGTCGGGATCGAGGGGCGTCAGTCCCCATCAGCTGCAGGTTGCCACCTAGTGGCGGTTCCTTAGAATGGCACCTCGCCACCCCGAAACTCTGGGTAAGAGGGCGCTCACCTTGTCTGGCACCGTATCCATGACGAGGTCCCCGTACATGTTCATGACCTGCGCACGCAACAGTGAGAAAGGACAGAGGGTTAGGGGCACCCCACCCCACTCCGGGCCTGGTGCCCGGCGCTGCGATGCGACCCCCTCTGGGGCGGGGCGGCTGGTTACACAGAGACCCCTCGCCCGGCGCTGAGATGCGGCCACCTCTGGGGCGGGGTGGCTGGTTATACAGGGACTCCTCGCCCAGTGCCGAGACACCCTGGGGCTTGGGGGCCAGTACTGAGTGCCAGGGGAGGGCCCCCTGCCCCGCAGCACCCCCCCCCCCCGGTGGGCTTGCTGAGCGCCCCACCTGGTCATTGAGCCAGTTGGGGCCGTAGAGCGTCTGCAGGTCGTCCATGGTCAGCACGTGGCGCTTGTAATTCACCCGGAAGCCCCTCACCATGGCGTTGCCCGGCATCCGCTGGTACGACTGGATCAGCTGCTGCACCGTGCCCTTCCTGTGGGGTGGGGTAGCCAGGGGTGGGAGGCAGGCATGAGAATGGAACCCAGGAGTCCTGGTTCCCAGCCCCTCCCCCGGCTCTAACCCACCAGCCCCCACTCCCCTCCCAGAGCCAGGGAGAGAACCCAGGAGTCCGGGCTCCCAGCCCCTCCCCCCACTCTAACCCACCAGCCCCCACTCCCCTCCCAGAGCCGGGGAGAGAACCCAGGCGTCCTGGCTCCTAGCCCTCCCCGGCCCTGCTCTAATCCCTCCCGGGTACCTCTGTGGCGTGGAAAACTCTTGCTGGAAAATGTCTTCTAGCTTCTCCACCACCTCATCGGTGCTGACGGGGATGAGGCTGCCGTAGGCCTGAAGGAACTCATCCAGAATGCCTGCGGGGTGGAGAGCAGCAGGATAGAATAGCTGAGGTGACAGCGCTGGGGGCTGAGATGCGGCCACCTCTGGGGTGGGGCGGCTGGTTATACAGGGATGCTGCAGTCAGAGACCGCGATTCATCTTAGCTTGCGTACGAAAAGCAAGCCTCTTTCCACCACTGATGCTCACAAAAAACCCTCCCCGAGATCACCGCATTGCAGGCTGTCTGCCTGAGTTGGCAGGCAGCCCGAGACCCTGGCTCACTGGTGCGTCATGTCCCCCGGACGAGCTAAGTGGGATTTTAACTCTGAAACCTAGTGATGGTGCCTGGTTTTCTCTGGGTCTTAACTGAGCAGGGAAGCATGGAGAGTCGCCAAAGGTGAGGAAGCCAGAAAGCGGCACTGCCCGGCGGCACGGCTGCGTCCTGTCCTAATCCCTCCCCTTCACCCCCCCAAGGCTGCTGAACGAAAGCCTGACACCTTGTGGTGGGAGGTCAACGCTACACCCGTTTTGGCATGACGTCCTCCTGCACTTGCCCCTCCCCTGCCTTCTCTCCACCTTTATTGGGGGGCCCCGCATAGGGGGGCACCCCCTCCCACGTCCTAGCTCCTTACTCTGTACGCAGGTGACGTGTTCCTCCCGCAAGGGGCTGAGTTGTGCTGCCTTCTCCCCGGGCGGCGCCTCTCTCGGGGGCCCTCCGGGCCCATCCTTGGCCCGGAAGAACTCCTCCACCGCGTGGGCCCCGCCGATGCTGCAGACGTTGCTGATGACGATGCTGGGGTCCGAGGAGGCGGCAGCCAGGGCTCCGAGGTCGCCGTCGGGGGCCAGGGAGGCGAAGCCGTTGGGCAGGGCGCCCGCGGGGCCTGGGGAGGAGACATGGGGCCCGTTACGCTGGGGGGAGGATGGGTGTAAGGGGTTTCCCTATGGATCCAATTCCACCCCCCTCTGCCATAGCCCCTTCCCATAACAAGCAGTGAGGCCCCCCTGCCCCCTCCTGGTTACCTGGGTCCCCGTCCAGCGTGGGCGCCTCTCTCCTGCTCCCGGGGGGCGACCGCTCTGCCGGGAGCCGGGCGCCGTCCTCCCCGCCCACCTCCATGGCGCCGTCCGCCCGCTGCAGCTGGGCATACTGCGGGTACGGGGAGGAGCCGGGCTCCTCGCCCATCAGCGCCCCCAGCAGGGTGAGCCGGGGGGGCGAGGGGGCGAAGGCCCCGCCCAGGTGGTAGTCCAATCGGGGCGAGGGGCGGGGCCGGAAGCGCAAGGGGCAGGGCCCTGGCTTGGCCCCGCCCTGGCAGTCCTCCTCCTCCTCCTCCAGGGGGCAGCCTTTCAGGTCGTCGTCGGGCTGGGAGCCGGGCGAGAGGGAGGAGCGAGTCCGCTTGGCGCTGCCCCGCCGGCGCCCCCGGCAGGCCAGCTTGCCCCACAGCTTCCAGGGGAAGGCCAGGGAGGAGCATTTGGAATACAGCAGCATGCGGAAAGCCCGCCGGGCCCGCTGACGCCGTCGCAGCTGGCAGCGCCGCCTGCTGGCCCCCAGGAGCGGCGGCCGCCCCCCGGCGAAGGGCCAGTCCGGGCCTCCGCTCCTGGCCACCTTCTCCCCGGTGGTTTTGCTCCGGGCCCAGCCCGCGACGCGAGGCAAGTCCCAGTCGCCGGCGTGGCCTTCCTCCTCACTGTCGAAGCCCGGGGGTTGCTCTTTGGTGTAGGCCAGCCGGCGCCCGCCTTCGAAGCAGCCGCCATGCTTGGGGGCCGGGGGTTGGGGCTCCTCCCAGTCCTGGGACGCCAGGCGCAGCCTCTCCCGCCTCGGGGGCTCACGGAGCCCAGGGCTGGGGCCCCACAGCTTCTTGGCCTGGATGGTTTCCTTCATGGCTCCGACGTGCCTGTAGGGAGCGGGGGACAAGAGTAAGGGCTGCCAGCCTCCTGCTGCACCGGATGCCAGGGAGATCCTCGACTCACTGCCATGCCACCCATCCCGCGCCTCAGTTTCCCCCATGCTCCTACTCTGCTGGGTACTGAGGGAGGAGGGGTGGCAACACACCTCACAATGGGGGAGTCACTGTCAGCATAACAGGGGACCTCTGATCCCAGCTGGGACCTGGCACAATCAGGCCAGGATCTGCCCAGACCTTATCCAAATCCAGTCGGGGTGTCTGGGCCAATTGGGGGGCATCCCTATCTTGGGGTTGGGGAGAACCTCGATGCCAGGGGGACCCCAATCCCGGTCGGACAGGGCCTGTGCAACACTCGGCATAAGTCCTCGCCCAGTTCGAATTCCTAGACGCTACCGTAATGGGCTCTCTTGAATCGGTTTGAGGCTGGTTTGGCCAAATTTGTTTCACCCCTGGACAGGGACCCATTGATTCTGGACCAATTTGGAAGCCTCCACGTGTCTTCCGTTGGCCTCTGTAGCTGTGTCACTCCCAAAATATGAGAGAGACGAGCTCTCGGGGACCCAGAGAGCGTCCGCGTGGAAGCTCAAACCCCTGTCTCTTTCGCCAGCAGAAACCGGTCCAATAAAGGGTGTCTCACCCCTCCTGGTCTCTATATTAAATCACAATACGTTTGCGTGTCTGACTGAAAGCTCTCTGAATCCTGTGTCCCATTGTGGTGCCCACAACTTAAGGACGAGGGTGGTGAAGCACTGGAATGGATTCCCTAGGGAGGTGGTGGAATCTCCTTCCTTAGAGGTTTTCAAGGCCCAGCTTGACAAAGCCCTGGCTGGGATGATTTAGTTGGGGTTGGTCCTGCTTTGAGCAGGGGAATGGACTCGAGAACTCCTGAGGTCCCTTCAAACCCTAATCTTCTTCTTCTATGATCCATCGGAGAGGGGTCAGAGAAGAGCCGTAGGAATGATTCAAAAACCAGCCTTAGATTGAGAGACTCAAAGAGCTCGGTCTCGATTGCTTGGCAAAGAGAAGGTGAAAGGGTGACTTGATCACTCTAAGTATCTACCTGCGGAACAAATATTGCATAACGGGCTTTTCAATCTCGCAGAGAAAAGTCTAACACCATCTCTGTGCGCACTGACAGCCCCCCAGCTAGAGACATGCACGGGGGGAAAAAAGGCGTACAGCTTGGAAAAGGAGACGACTAAGGGGGGATACGATAGAGGTCTCTAAAATCATGACTGGTGTGGAGGAAGTAAATAAGGAAGTGTTACTTACTCCTTCCCAGAACACAAGAACTAGGGGTCACCAAATGCAACTAATAGGCAGCAGGTTTCAAACACACAAAAGGAAGTGTTTCTTCACACAATGCACAGTCAACCTGTGGAACTCCTCGCCAGAGGGTGTTGTGAAGGCCAAGACTAGAACAGGGTTCAGAAAAGATCTAGATACGTTCATGGAGGATAGGTCCATCAACGGCTATTAGCCAGGATGGTGTCCCTAGTCTCTGTTTGCCAGAAGCTGGAAATGGATGACAGGGGATGGATCACTTAATGATTCCCTGTTCTGTTCATTCCCCCTGGGGTACCTGGCATTTCCACTGTCAGAAGACAAGATACTGGGCTAGATGTACCTTTTGTCTGACCCACTCTGGCCGCTCTTATGAGAATAATTAAACACTGGAACAACTGACCAAGGATCGTGGTGGATTGTCCATCTCCGACAATGTCTAAATCAAGATCAGAGGCTGGGAATTCGGAGGAGACCCTAACTGGTCTGAAGACAGAGCTTCAGCAGTTTAAGAACGGGATTATCTGACAGCGTTGCCCAGTAGGGCAGGGGATCTTGTCTCCATGACGTAAGAGGTCCCTTCCGGTTCTGTTGTGCATCTGTGCAGTGCTGGAATCGCCAGATCAAATCCAACCAGCCTCAGACACTTCAAACAAAGGTGTAAAAACCCTACAGATGAGGGATAAACTACCCCCTACAAATGTCTCGTCTTGATCTCCGAGATCGGCTTTAAATCCCGAAGCATGAGGTAGGTTTAACTGCCCTTCCAAAACTCGTTAGCGTTCACTACCCTAACTCTGGATATTCCAGAGAGACGGCCAATCCCTCTTTGTATCTTGTTACGTTGCTGGCCTGAAGCAGAGAGTTCCGCCGATTAACTGCAGTTAGACAATACGTGCAAATGAAAAGGTGGCGAATTCAAACCTGATCAAAGGAAATTCATTTCATGGACTGTCCCCTTGTTCTTGTCTCAAGACAGAGACAACAGAAATTCCCAGTCCGTCTTCTTTATCCCAATATGGTTAAGCAAGACAGAATTTAATTATTTTTTATAATTCCGATGGATATAATATCTATGTTTATTTTTCAGCCTTTCCCATGATTTTTAGTCATTTACATTTTCACAGTTGTGCAAAATGATGGGATGCCTTATTTTAAATGTTTTTATCTATTTCAAATTTTCACAGCTGGGCAATAATTTAATGACAGTAAAAGTCAAGCTCCAAAAAGCTTAAAGATTTACAACCGTTTAAAACACGGACTGTCAATAGCACACGTCAAAACTGATTTAAGGATATTGGCTTCCTTCACCTAGCCGTAAATGTCAATGATCATCGATGAAAATATTTTCTCATCTGTCTGCGTGCGTACACTGAAATCGACTTTTACTTAATCGTCCCAAGTCTAATTATTTTATGGACTTTTAGCATCTCCCCTCTTATTTATCTCCTTGCGAAGAAGATTCGTCTTAGAAGCTCGCTTGATTACAGTCCTGGGGAGAAAATTCCGGGGACTAAATTCTTTAAGGTAGCAGAGAAAGGAGGATCAAGATTTTAACAGCTGGAAGTTGAAGCCAGGCAAATTCCGATACGTAGGGCCCTACCAAATTCACGGGCCATTTTCACGGTCATAGGATTTTAAAAAATCATCAATGTCATGATTTCAGCTCGTTAAATCTGAAATGTCACGGTGTTGGAATTGCAGGGGTCCTGACCCAAAAAGGAGTCGTGGGGGGAGTGGGGTTTGCAAGGTTATTGTATGGGGTGTTGAGGTACGACTACCCTTACTTCTGCCCTGCAGCTGGTGGGGTGCTGCTCTCTGCTTGCGCAGCTCTGAAGGCAGTGCCGAAGTACGAATAGCAATACCATGACCCCCCTTAAAATAACCTTTTTTGGGTCAGGACCCCCAGTTTGAGAAACGCTGGTCTCCCCTGTGAAATCCATATTGTAAAGGCACACAAAAGACCCGATTTCACAAGGGGAGACCAGATTTCATGGTCCGTGACGCGCTTTTAGTGGCCGTGAATTTGGTAGGGGCCTTACTGACGTGGTACCAATTTGTAACAGTGAGGGGGAGTCGCTGTTGGAACACATTCCCACATGGTGGATTTTCCATCAATTGAACTCTTCCAAGCCAGACCAGATGCCTTTCCAGAAGACGGTGCATAGTCCAACGCAAGTGAGTGGGTAACATTTAATGGGGATATAACTGGGTCAGACTCATTAGATGATCTGGCCTTAAATCTAACAAGCTGAAAGCTATGCTGGTATAAGCACCTTCCTATCAATATAACTGTGCCACACTATGCTACGACTTACTGTTACCAGTCTAGCTTCTTTCACTCCAAGAGGGTGTTTTTAATATACACTATACTCCCGTTTCCCCTTTTATCCGAATCTCTGCATTACCCAAGGAAGGGATCTGGAGAACGCGGAGGTTCAGATCATAAAGCAGAGACCCCTGGGCAGGACTGAAGACAACAACCCCTGCCGCTGATTCAATTTCTCTGCACTCTCGCGTACCCAAATAAATTCCGGGTCCCCCGGGGCATTTCGGATAATCGGGAGCGTACCGGTATAAAGGCGGGCTTTGCCAGAAAAGCTGCGTCCAAAGCAGCGTGCCTAATGTAGACACGACCTGCTGCTGAAATAGAAAGCTTTCCCAAGGTACGCACAGCAAAGACGTGACCTCCCTGCCATGGAGGAAAGAGGCAATTGGGGGGCGGGGGGGGGACACAAAGAGCCATGGGCACGGGGTGAGACTGGGGGCCCTGGCATGGGAGAAGGCAGAATGGAGAGAGAATGGGTCACCCTGGTATGGGGCTGAGAAGGGAATTGGGGTGCACACAGAACCACTGGCATGGGGGAGGAAAATTGGGGACACACAGAACTTCTGGCATGGGGGAGATTGAGGGACCCCAGTATGGGGGGGGGAGAGTCCCTCGTGTGGGGGAGGAAGTGAGGGACCCTGACATGGGGGAAGGAGGCAATGGGAGGGGCACAGAGAGCCCCTAGCATGGGGAGCAGAGGGAATGGGGGATACAGACAGAGCCCCTGGTATGGGGGAGATGGGAAGAAGCTGCAAGAGAGGGGGATGGGAGGTGGTCCCAGGGAGCCTGTCGGGGGTGGGGAATGGCGGGAGGCAAGGAGCTGCCCACATCCACCGTGAGCTCGACTAATCCAGCTGCGGAGCGTGCGTGCCCTCTTGTTCGCATTACCGGGCATGGACCGGGAGGCCAGGGCGCTAGGCAAAGACACCCAGAACAAAGATCTCACCACCTCAGAGACGGCAGCGTCACGGGCGATGCTCGGGATCGGGCAGCAAGGACCAGGACAGCAAAGACAAGCCGGCGACAGAGATGGGGAGGGGGCCAAGAGATGGGGGGGGGGAGCCAACGACCTGCGGAGCTGCATGTGGGGGGGGTGAGCAGCACTTGCTGAGGCCAGGAGAAGGCCGAGCCAGTGACGGAGCCGGGAAAGGAGGCGAGTTCGAGCGAGGGACGGGAAAGGCACCTCCACGCTGCAAGAGTCAGGACCTTCTGGGTTGGAACGGCCGCAGAGATCAAAGCAGCAGCAAAGTCGCATGGTTTTTCACTCGGGGGTCAAGCCCGGGGTTTCGGGGGGTGGGTTAGAGAACCCGAGTTAAGCCCACGCCGCAGGGCGGCCGAACCCCCGGGAGCCCGGCCGGATTCAGAGGCCGCCTAGAGGGGAGGCAGAGGCCTGAGTCCAAGCCCGACAGGGTGTTTTCTAAGCGACCCCCCCCCCCCCCGCCCAGCCCCGATCCGGCAGCAAAGGGCCAAGCCCCCCCATGGCGGTGCTGGGCTCTCCGGCAACTGGGGGAAGGGGTGGACCGGGGGGGGTGTGTGTCTCTTCCTCCCCTTGTCACAGCGCCGGGGGGAGCAGGGGGGGCCGCCCCGGCCAACCCCACTGAAGCCCCCCCCCGGGCCTGGGTATGTGGCGGGGGGGGGAGGGGAAAGTGCCTCGGACCCCAGGCAAAGCTCCCTCGGGGGGGGGACTGGTTGGGGGGGGCTCTGCCCTGAGATCCCATCAGCCCCCCCAGGAGAAGATCAAGGGAGGAAAGGGGCGCTGGGGGGGGGCACAAAGCCTCTAACACCCCCCCCCAGAGCGGGGAAGGGGAGGAGCGGACCCGGGTGGGGACAGGGCGAGGGGGGGAGGCGGCGGCGGACCTGGGTGGGAACAGGGCGAGGGGGGGGAGGGGGCGGCGGACCGCAGTGGGGACAAGGCGGGGGGGGGAGGGGAGGAGCGGACCCAGGTGGGAACAGGGCGGGGGGGGGGAGGGGCGGCGGACCGCAGTGGGGACAGGGCGGGGGGGCGGGAGGGGCGGCGGACGCGGGGGGGGACAGGACCGAGGGGCGGGGCCGGTCACTCACCCCCCCCGGAGAGCGGGGCCTCGCTCCGGCTCCCTGCGCCGCCGCCGCCGCCGCCGCCTCCCAGGACCGAGGAGCCGCCGGCGCCGCCCAATGGCGTCATCAACCCGCGCGCCCGAAAAAAAAAAGGGGGGGGCCGCGCGCGCCGCGTCACCTCCGCCGCCCCGCCCCCTCCCCCGGACGCAAGCGCCGCGTTACGTCACGTTCCCGGCGCGCGGCGTCACTCCCCCCCCTCCGCCTTCGCGCTGCGCGCTGCGTCACCGCGCTGCCTCCTTGGGCGGGGCCACGCCTCGCTCCTGGGGTGTTACGTCACGGCCACGGCGTGCGTCCCTCAAGAGGGAGGGGGCGGGGCCTGATCCTTCCCGTGGGAGGGAGGGGCTGGGAGAGGGAGCCTGGGAGGCCGCGGGGCATTGTGGGACAGGCGGTCACCCCATGTGCCCCAGGGCATTGTGGGACAGGATGCCGCAGTTGCCCCAGGGCATTGTGGGATCGGTCATCCCGGGGCATTGTGGGACAGGAGGCCACAGTCGCCCTGGTGCATTGTGGGACAGGAGGCCGCCGCGGTCACCGTGGTGCATTGTGGGATAGGAGGCCATGGTCACCGTGGTGCATTGTGGGATAGGAGGCCACGGTCACCCTGGTGCATTGTGGGATAGGTCGCCCCAGGCCATTGTGGGACAGGAGGCCACGGTCGCCCTGGAGCATTGTGGGATGGGTCCCCCAGGCCATTGTGGGACAGGAGGCCACGGTCGCCCTGGAGCATTGTGGGATAAGTCGCCCCATGGCATTGTGGGACAGGAGGCCACAGTCACCCTGGTGCATTGTGGGAAAGGAGGCCACAGTCGCCCTGGTGCATTGTGGGAAAGGAGGCCACAGTCGCCCTGGTGCATTGTGGGATAGGTTGCCCCGGGGCATTGTGGGACAGGAGGCCACGGTCACCCAGGCGCATTGTGGGACAGGAGGCCATGGTCACCCCGGGGCATTGTGGGACAGGAGTCTGCGGTCGCCCCGGAGCATTGTGGGATAGGTCACCCCAGGACATGGTGGGATAGGAGACCACGGTCACCCTGGTGCATTGTGGAATAGGTCGCCCCAGGGCATTGTGGGACAGGAGGCTGTGGTCGCCCCAAGGCATTGTGGGACGAGAGGCTGCCCTGGGGCACCCTGGAACTGGAGATGGTTCTGGGGCATCATGGGACACTAGGCTGCCTCGGGGCACTGTGGGACTGGAGACCATCCTGGGGCATTGTGGAAGAGGAGCCCACCCCCGGGGCATTGTGGGACAGAAGGCCGCTTGGCACGATGGGTTGGGGCACGAGGCCACGTCCTGTCACGGAGGGCTGGCAGAGCCCTGCACATTTTTCTGGGAAGGCAGCCTCCCCACCCCCCCAGTGCCTCAAGGCATCGTCTAACAGCTGCCACGTGCTGAGGCTGAGAGGGGTGACCAATGACTCCCTTCTGGGCCCTGCCCCCGGCCTGTACAAGACCAACGGCCCCAGCCCAGCCCTTGCGCTGCAGCCGGGCTTGGAGATGAGGTCCGCTCTGCCTCTGCCTCCCCACGTACTGCGGCTGGGACTCGGCCTTCCACGGCACTGGACGTGATTTGTTAGAGGAAGAGGCAACACAGCTGCTGGAAAGGGAAATCACGCCTCGCTGATCTACTACAATTCTTTCAGGGGCATCAACAAACACGTGGACAGTGCATCTGGCATACCTGGACTTTCCGAAAGCCTTTGACAAGGTCCCTCACCGAAGGCTCTTAAGCAAAGCAGTCACGGGATAAAAGGGAAGCTTGTCTCATGGGTCAGAAACTGGCTAAAAGATGGGAACAACGGGTAGGAATAAACAGTCAGTTTTCAGAACGGAGAGCGATAAACCGCAGGGTCCCTCAAGGATCTGTACTGGGACTGTGCTGGCTGGAGTATGGAAGAGCTTCTGTACGAGGAGAGATTAAAAAGACGGAACTGTTTGGCTTGGAAAAGAGGATTACGGAGAAGGAGATGATACTGGTCTATCAAATCATGAATGGTGTGGAGAAAGTGTATTTATTTTCCCTTTCACATAACACAAGAACCAGGGTGACATACTCAAGTTAATAAGCCGCAGCTTTAAAACCAAACCAAAGGAAGTACTTGACCCAACCTGGGGAACTCCTTGCCAGGGGATGTTGTGAAGGCCAAAAGTATAACATGGTTAAAAAAAAGAATTAGTTACGTTCCCGGAGGATAGGTCCACCAGTGGCTATTAGCCAAGATGGTCAGGGGGACAACCCCATGCTCCGGGTGGCCCCAAACCTCTGACTGCCAGAAGCTGGGATTGGACAACAGGGCAACTTTCCATTGATCCAGCCCCTGTTCAGTTCCTTCCCTTGGAAGCACCTGGCACCGGCTCCTGTCAGAAGACGGGATACTGGGCTAGATGGACCTTTGGTCTGACCTTCTAAGGCAATTCTGATGTGCCAGTCAAGCCATTTTAGAGTGGTCAACCCCTTCCACGGTAGAGTCCTTTAGAGAGGCTAACAAAGGAACCTTCAACCCAGCCCCTTCCCCGTAGCTGGATGCCCGTCTCCAACCTGCTAACAGGACTCTGATCTGCCCACCATCCAGTCCCCTCCCACCACATTTGTTTGTTTGTTTGTTTGTTTGTTTTTGGGGGGGGGGTCAGCTTTTTGTCCAAATCTGTTTCTTGCCCCCCTTCAGGGTGTGACTTTCCCGTAGACCTTCCACACCAGTTCCCAACCCATTCCAATGTGAACCCCCCCTCCAAAGAATCTATGGAAATCTGACATCTCCTCACTCTTTATTGCACAGAAAGACAGAAATTGCATGCCCAGTTGCGGGGCCGAGTGGCCACAGCTTTTGACCACGAAGACGACACCCAGGGCGGAGAGAGCCACGACGACAGCCAATGCCAGCAGCAAAATCAATACCAGCACCGTCTCAGGCAGATCTTCACTACCTGCAAGAGGAAGAAGGGGGAATAGAGCCAGACACAGTGGAGTCTTGGATCCACAGACCCTCATTACAGCTCATGGCTGTGCCCAGTGGTGTTTCAGGCTCAGAAGGAGCAATTAAGCCCCTTTAAGGTGTGAGAGCACGAAAGAACTTGGGGAAGATGACCGCCCAAGGCAGCCTGCTGCTTGGAGGTTGCCTCCAACAGGCTCAGCCTGTAATCAGAGAACGCCAGGAGAATGAATTTAATACCTAGCTCTTTTCATCTATAGATCTCCAGGTGCTTTAGAGAAGGTCAATATACTCTCCATTTTACAGATGGGAAAATGGAAGCGCGTTAAAGGGACTTGGAAGATCTGGGTGACCTTGCCCGTGTCCCCGTTCAGTGCTCTGTTCACTAGCCCACACTGCCTTTTGGGCACTCCAGGCCAGAAAGCCAGAGCACTGGTTGCTCTTTCTGCGTTCAGGGAAGCAGGACTTTGTAGATGGTATAAACAAGGGTACACCTGACTTATGTCACCCCATCTCCTCATAAAGGCACCTCGGAAAGGCCCAAAATATCTGCTAGCCCCTGGGGCCAGCAGCAGATTCACAGCCAAAGGCCAAAGGAGCCACTATGACCTCAGACACCCTTGATAACATAGGCTGATGAAATTCACCCACCAGGCGCTCCAGCCAGATCTAGGAGAGCTAGTTGAAACCTCAGTATTTTGTTTGAGAAATCCCAATATTTATGTAGGACTGGAAAGGTTCCTGGGTCATCCAGTCCAGGCAATCGCATCATATAACCCCGGTCATAAATTTATCAAGATCCATCTGAAGTCTCGTTAGGTTTCTCTCTGATCTCCTTGTTACTTCTATGAGGAGTTATTCTAGTACCCCCACTCGGATTGTTAGAAACCTTCCAATTTAAGATTATTCATGGACGTTTTTGTTCCAATTTGGAACAGAAACAGAGAAGTTTGAAAGTCCCCCCGCAACACACAGTGTCCAAAATTTTTGTTCTGGATCCTTGATTTTATAATCCCCCCCCCCCCCGGCCACACACAAAAAATGGTCTGTTCTACCAAGGTCGAAATGGAACGTCCTTGTGGAGTTGTGCTGGAAGATGCTATGGGAAACACGTTGCGTCTTAATAGGGCATGGAGAGATGTTCTGTTGGATGACTAAAGTGAGAGCTTTAGTCGCAACTGGTCACACTTTCCGATGGCCATTTTGAGGACCCCAAGTGCTGGGAGAATTCACCCTGATTCGGTCCTTAGCGTTGGCCAAGATGGCCGCTATCCTGAGGTCATGACGCTTGTTAACTAACCCACACAGGGGTTGTGACTCCTTGCATGAAAGAACAAGGCGTTATAAAGCTAGGACAGACAGGGAACAAGAGGGGGTCCTTGGGAAATGTGGAGAGGCGTGCATGCACCCCAGGATGTGTGGGGAGACAGAGGTTCACTGCTCGGGATCATAGAAGATTAGGGTTGGAAGAGACCTCAGGAGGTCATCTAGTCCAATCCCCTGCTCAAAGCAGGACCAACCCCAACTAAATTATCCCAGCCAGGGCTTTGTCAAGCGGGGCCTTGAAAACCTCTAAGGATGGAGATTCCACCACCGCCCTGGGGAACCCATTCCAGGATCACAAGTCCTGCGGTGCGTCACAGCTGCCCTGCTCTTGCCCAGCTAGATGGTTCGAGGGTTCACTGTCCAGCAGTAGTGGGAAGATATTCCATGGCCTACAATGGTCGGAGATGATTTCCAGATTTTTGCGTGCACACTGGGAAGCTTTCGGCACATGCAGCTTGTACCTGAAACGACCGCCGTTAGGAGCTAGCAGCTTTCCCTCCAGAAGCTCCAATAAATCAGAAGGCAAATAGCCCCGCCTCCAATTTGTCAGCACTTCAGGAGCTGGGGTTCTTGACTCACAATCTTCGTACAGAAGAGGGACCGGCAGGGCGCGGTTCTCTTCCCCTGGGCTGCCATCTTCCCAGCCTCCCTTTGTCTTCCCATGACATCGGCAGACACTTCGTCCGCTTCTGGAATGAGATGGGGTCTGGAAAGATCGTCCGCTTGGAATGCCACCGCTGGGTCCCTGTCAAGGTTCCTCCCCCACTCTGAACTCTAGGGTACAGATGTGGGGACCTGCATGAAAAACCTCCTAAGCTTATCTTTACCAGCTTAGGTCAAAACTTCCCCAAGGTACAAAATATTCCACCCTTTGTCCTTGGATTGGCCGCTACCACCACCAAACTAATACTGGTTACTGGGGAAGAGCTGTTTGGACGCGTCTTTCCCCCCAAAATACTTCCCAAAACCTTGCACCCCACTTCCTGGACAAGGTTTGGTAAAAAGCCTCACCAATTTGCCAAGGTGACTACAGACCCAGACCCTTGGATCTTAAGAACAATGAACAATCCTCCCAACACTTGCACCCCCCCTTTCCTGGGAAATGTTGGATAAAAAGCCTCACCAATTTGCATAGGTGACCACAGACCCGAACCCTTGGATCTGAGAACAATGAAAAAGCATTCAGTTTTCTTACAAGAAGACTTTTAATAAAAATAGAAGTAAATAGAAATGAAGAAATCCCCCCTGTAAAATCAGGATGGTAGATATCTTACAGGGTAATTAGATTCAAAAACATAGAGAACCCCTCTAGGCAAAACCTTAAGTTACAAAAAAGATAGATAGAAATAGTTATTCTATTCAGCACAATTCTTTTCTCAGCCATTTAAAGAAATCATAATCGAACACATACCTAGCTAGATTACTTACTAAAAGTTCTAAGACTCCATTCCTGGTCTATCCCCGGCCGAAACCAGCATATAGACAGACTATAGACAGACACACAGACCCTTTGTTTCTCTCCCTCCTCCCAGCTTTTGAAAGTATCTTGTCTCCTCATTGGTCATTTTGGTCAGGTGCCAGCGAGGTTACCTTTAGCTTCTTAACCCTTTACAGGTGAGAGGAGCTTTCCCCTGGCCAGGAGGGATTTCAAAGGGGTTTATCCTTCCCTTTATATTTATGACAGTCCCCATCCGCATAGGAAGGGGGGAAAAATACATCAGTTATGCCAGCATCTAGACACCTTGCTGTGCTTCTCTGTAGGCTCTTCTCTGTGGGTCCTTCTCTTCTCTGTGGGTCCTTCTGTATCGGCTGTTTTCTTCTCTGAGGGTCCTTCTGTCTGGGCTCTTTTCTTCTCTATGGGTCCTGCTCTTCTCCATTGGTTCTTCTCTTCTCTATGGGTCCTTCTGTCTAGCTCTTTTCTTCTCTGTGGGTCCTTCTCTATGGGTCCTTCTGTCTGGGCTCTTTTCTTCTCTGTGGGTCCTGCTCTTCTCCATTGGTTCTTCTCTTCTCTATGGGTCCCTCTGTCTAGCTCTTTTCTTCTCTGTGGGTCCTTCTGTCTGGGCTCTTTTCTTCTCTGAGGGTCCTGCTCTTCTCTATTTGTTCCTCTCTTCTCTACAGGTTCTTCTCTGTGGGCTCTTCTCTATGGATCCTTCTCTATGGGCCTTTCTCTTCTCTATGGGTCCTTCTGTCTAGCTCTTTTCTTCTCTGTGGGTCCTTCTCTTCTCTGTAGGCTCTTCTCTGTGGGTCCTTCTGTATCGGCTGTTTTCTTCTCTGAGGGTCCTTCTGTCTAGCTCTTTTCTTCTCTGTGGGTCCTTCTCTATGGGTCCTTCTGTCTGGGCTCTTTTCTTCTCTGTGGGTCCTGCTCTTCTCCATTGGTTCTTCTCTTCTCTATGGGTCCCTCTGTCTAGCTCTTTTCTTCTCTGTGGGTCCTTCTGTCTGGGCTCTTTTCTTCTCTGAGGGTCCTGCTCTTCTCTATTGGTTCCTCTCTTCTCTACAGGTTCTTCTCTGTGGGCTCTTCTCTATGGGTCCTTCTGTCTAGCTCTTTTCTTCTCTGTGGGTCCTTCTCTTCTCTGTAGGCTCTTCTCTGTGGGTCCTTCTGTATCGGCTGTTTTCTTCTCTGAGGGTCCTTCTGTCTGGGCTCTTCTCTTCTCTATGGGTCCTTCTGTCTAGCTCTTTTCTTCTCTGTGGGTCCTTCTCTATGGGTCCTTCTGTCTGGGCTCTTTTCTTCTCTGTGGGTCCTGCTCTTCTCCATTGGTTCTTCTCTTCTCTATAGGTCCCTCTGTCTAGCTCTTTTCTTCTCTGTGGGTCCTTCTGTCTGGGCTCTTTTCTTCTCTGAGGGTCCTGCTCTTCTCTATTGGTTCCTCTCTTCTCTACAGGTTCTTCTCTGTGGGCTCTTCTCTATGGATCCTTCTCTATGGGTCCTTCTGTCTAGCTCTTTTCTTCTCTATATGTTCTTCTCTTCGGGCTCTCTTCTCTTCTCTATGGGCTCTTTTCTCTATGGGTCCTTCTCATCTCTATGGGCTGTTCTCTATGGCCTCGTCTCATCTCTATAGGTTCTTCTCTTCTCCATGGGCTCTTCTCTGTGGGTCCTTCTCTATAGGTTTTTCTCTTCTCTATGGTTTCTTCTGTATAGGCACTTTTCTATGGGTTCTTTTCTTTTCTATAGGCTCTTCTCCTCTCTATGGGTTATTCTACCGTGCCCCCCGATGTATACATTCTAAGGTCACAATCTGTGGTCATGTAGGGGCCATGGGACTTGCCGCCTGGTTGATCCCAGGAGTATCTGAGCTCCATCCCCCAAGCCATTAAGCAACTGGGCCCCGTATCGGGCACGCGATTGTCCTCTCCCGGAGAAAGAGGGGCGTGGGTTGGAGGGGCTTATTTTGGTAGGGTTTTATTTTATAAATAAATGGGTAGATTTCTAGATACTACAGCCAGGACAGATCATTGTGATCTCCCTGCCCAGGTCTCCTGGAAGGAGGGTCTAGTGCGGGGAGGGCGGGGGCTGGGAGCCAGGACACCTGGGTTCTATCCCTGGCTCTGGGAGGGGAATGGAGGTCTGCTGGGTTAGAGCAGGGGGGGGCTGGGAGCCAGGACTCCTGGGTTCTATCCCTGGCTCCCCCAGGAGCTCCTTTTCTCAGGACTAGCTCACGACCGAGATCAGGGTGACGCCCAGACCTCCCCGACCGAGATAGCCAAGCCCACAGAGGGATGATTTGGACACTGTGTGTCATACTCCCTCTACTGCGACCTCCCCATGGGTGATTCCCCTACTATTCAACGGATATTTCAGCACAGGGGAGTTAGGCTCGCTCGCTCCCTACTCCTGCCCCAGGGAATTGGGTCATGCAGAAATCCCTCACCCCCTACCCTGCAGCTCTCCCCGCACACTTCCCACCCACCCCCCGCCGATTGCCACCTGAATATCCCCCCCACTCCGACCCCAACATTCCTGGGGGTGAGTGATTTGGACACAGACAAATATTTGTTTGCCATGGTTTTATTCCATGCACGAGACGCTGGGGCCTGTTGGAACACGGGACCCCAGTGGATCTAGAGACCCCCTCCCCCTACTATCCTCATTCACACAGTCTTGCCTGACCCCCAAACCGCCCTGCCTCCACCAAATTGAGCAGAGGAAAGGGGTTTTACAGGAGCATCTATGAAGGTTTACAGCAGAGGAGTGGGAGGCAGGACTCCTGGGTTCTCTCCCCGGCTCTGGGAGGGGAGTTGGGGCTGGGAGCCAGGACTCCTGGGTTCTCTCCCCGGCTCTGGGAGGGGAGTTGGGGCTGGGAGCCAGGACTCCTGGGTTCTCTCCCCGGCTCTGGGAGGGGAGTTGGGGCTGGTGGCCACGTCACTGGCCTGCGCCAGCTGCTCCAGGGCATCTCCTTCGAAGTGGAAGAAGTGCCAGCCCTCCGCGGCCGTGAGGTCCACCGCCCCCTGGCCCTGGTAGAAGTCGATGGCCGCTTGATTCCAGTCCAGCACCACAAACTTCATCTGGGTGCATCTGTTCTCCACACCAATCTGAGAAGGATCAACGGGGGGTGGCTGGGAGTCAGGACTCCTGGGTTCTCTCCGCAGCTCTGGGAGGGGAGTGGGGGCTGTTGGGTTAGAGCGGGGGGGGAGGAGGGGGCCTGGTAGCCAGGACGCCTGGGTTCTCTCCCCAGCTCTGGGAAGGGAGTGGGGGCTGGGAGCCAGGACTCCTGGGTTCTCTCCCCAGCTCCGGGAGGGGAGTGGGGTCTGGTGGCTAGAGCAGGAGAGGCTGGGAGCCAGGCCAGTGCCTCAGTTTCCCCCATGGTAGAAGTGGGAACAATGATCCCCCTAGGGGGCTGGCTTGCAATCTGAGAGCAAGGAAAGGAAGGGATCAGAAAGGGCAAAGGGTCCAATGTCCTGTTACCTCTGCAATTTTACTCATAAGCTTCTTGCCAATGCCTTTACCTGTGTGGGGAGAGAAATCAGCAATTTAAGAGCAGGGTCTAGTGGTTAGAGCTGGGGTGGGGCTGGGAGCCAGGACTCCTGGGTTCTCTCCCCGGCTCTGGGAAGGGAGTGGGGGCTGGGGAATTAGAGCAGGGGGGCTGGGAGCCAGGACTCCTGGGTTCTCTCTCCATCTCTGGGAGGGGAGTGCGGGCTGGGGAGTTAGAGCGGGGGGGCTGGGAGCCAGGACTCCTGGGTTCTGCTCCACTTTTCCGTGTCCTAGCTCTTCCCCTGGGGTGACTGCCTTGCAAGCATCATTGGGGCTGTCTATGTTGGGGACCCCAAATAATGCCACTCTCCCCCAGTTCCGTACCTCTGAACTCAGGCATGACGTACAGGTCTTCCATGTAGATGTTTCTGCCTTTCCAGGTACTGTAGGTGAAGAAATAGAGGCCGTACCCCACGACGGTGTGTCCTGGGGCGGGGAACAAAATTCACCAGCTGCCCCCACCTCAGGCACCCCCAAATTCCTCATACTCTTCCAGTCCCCCCAAACCCTTCCCCCAGCCTCTGAGAAATCCCTTCTTCACCCAGCCCCCAATTCCCCATCTCCCAGCCCCTGAAATTCTTTTCCCTGCTCCCAGCCCCCCATTCTCCACCCCCAAAGCTCTCCAGGCACCCCCCATTCTATCCCTGGCTCTGGGAGGGGAGTGGGGGGCTGGTGGGTTCGAGCGGGGGAGGGGGGCTGGGAGCCAGGACTCCTGGGTTCTATTCCTGGCTGAGGGGGGGCCTGGGAGCTATTTTAGGGGGGTCCCCTCCATGGAAAAAGTGAATCAGACAGAAGGAAAAAGAGACAAAGATTTGGATCTTCCCCCCAAACTCAGCCCCTCAGCCACCTCCTCCCAAATCCTCACTGCTGGACCCCCGACCTCCACTTCTGAGCCACCGGGACACAGAGCTGGGGTCAGGGATGGCCCGGGGTGGGAGAGCTAAGTCTATCAGGGAAAACTGGGGTAGCTAGTTGGGGGGGGGGGGAGGCGGCGGCGGTGGGCTGTCTTTGGCCTCTTGGGGTCCCCCGAATTATTACTGTGCCGGGTGTCGGGGGTACCCCCCCCCCAGGCATTTTGGGGCGGGGGTGCATTACCGTCTCGACTCCGGTGTTCGGGCGGGACCTCTGCCACCAGACATCTGTAGAAAGGGTCGTTGGCGAAACCATCTTCCCTGAGCACTGGGGAGGATATTGGGGGGTGAGGGGGAGACATGGGGGGACAGGGAGGAAAGAGAACCCCCACCTCCCTGAACCCCCCCCTCACAGCCCCCCTCCCAAATTGGGGCAGCTTCAAACCCCACTCCATGCGCCCCACCCGCCTCTCTCCCCACCTGCCCCGGAAGAGGGGGTGTGCACCCAGATCCCAAGTGGGGAGGGTGGCGTCGGCGGGGGGGAGGAAGGGCAGAGCTCACCTTGGTCATTAATTTGTACCTGGTCCGGGAGCTTCTCAAACTCTGCCAGCTCCTGGGGGGCAGAAAGGGAGCCCGTGGATCAGCACCCCCCAACTCCTTTCTCCCCCAACCAGCACCACCGGGATCTCCCCTCAATTCCCCTCTCAGTTGGCCCCCCTCCAATTCCCCTCTCAGCCTCCCCAACCCTCCCTCCAGCCTCTGAGAAATCCTGTCTCCACCCAGCCCCGCCGTTTCTCCCCAGCCCCAATTCCCCTCCCCCTAGCCCCCCCAATTTCCTTCCCTCTTCCCAGGCCCTCCATTCTGCACCCCCAAAGCTCTCCAGGCACCCCCTTCTCTCCCCGGCTGGGGAGGGGAGTGTGGGCTGGTGGGTTAGACCAGTCGGGGCTGGGAGCCAGGACTCCTGGGTTCTCTCCCCGACTCGGGGAGGGGAGTGGGGGCCGCTGGGTTAGAGCAGGCTGGACTGGGAGCCAGGACTCCTGGGTTCTCTCCCCGGCTCTGGGAGGGGGGGGGGGGGGGGGGGGGGGGGGGGGCTGGGAGAGAGGTGGACTGGGGCAGGACTCCTGGGTTTCTCCCGCTCTGGGGGGAGTGGGGGCCGCTGGGTTAGAGCAGGCTGGACTGGGAGCCAGGACTCCTGGGTTCTCTCCCCGGCTCTGGGAGGGGAGGGGGGCCGCTGGGTTAGAGAGGCTGGACTGGGAACAGGACCTGGGCCCCCGGTCTGGGGGGGGGGGGGGGGGGGGGGGGGAGGGGGGGGGGGGGGGGGGGGGGCGCTGGGAGCCCGGACGCCTGGGTTCGGTCCCCATCCAACCTTTATCATCCGCACGACCTCCACACAGTCTTCAGCCCTGCAGGGCCGGACAACGCACTCCATGCCCCCTCCCTCGCCGATCGCCTGGGTTCAAAGTCCCGGGGGTGGGGGCGAGGCTCTGGGAGCTCAGAGTGGGGAGCCGCCGACTGGAGAGAGAGTACTGTATTTCCCAGCATGCATTTGGCTCTGCCCCACAACCGCTGCCCCGTCCAACTGTCCGTGGGGCAGAATCCTCCTCCCCCCCCACCCGCGCCCATGAAAGAGACTCAATCTCACGCTCTCAACACGGAAATAACTAATGGAACCCAGGAGTCCTGGCTCCCAGCCCCCACTCCCCTCCCAGAGATGGAGAGAGAACCCAGGAGTCCTGGCTCCCAGCCCCCGCTGCTCTCACCCCCCAGCGATGGAGAGAGAACCCAGGAGTCCTGGCTCCCAGCCCCCGCTGCTCTCACCCCCCAGCCCTCACTCCCCTCCCAGAGATGGAGAGAGAACCCAGGAGTCCTGGCTCCCACCCACCCCCTGCTCTAACCCACCAGCCCCCACTCCCCTCCCAGAGCCAGGGAGAGAACCCAGGAGTCCTGGCTCCCAGCCCCCACTAGTCTAACCCACCAGCCCACACTCCCCTCCCCGGGCCGGGGAGAGAACCCAGGAGTCCTGGCTCCCAGCCCCCACTGGTCTACCCACCAGCCCCCACTCCCCTCCCAGAGCCGGGGAGAGAACCCAGGAGTCCTGGCTCCCAGCCCCCCTGCTCTAACCCACCAGCCCCCACTCCCCTCCCAGAGCCGGGGAGAGAACCCAGGAGTCCTGGCTCCCAGCCCCCCTGCTCTAACCCACCAGCCCCCACAGCTCCACCTCCTAAAGCAGCCCTGAAGGGATTGAAAGATATAACCCCCCCCCCCCCGGCACAGAATCATGCACAAGCGAGTTGACACCGTTGTTTATTGGCAAGGGTCCCGAGCCGCGCGGGGTCCCTGCCCCGAGGAGCCCCCCGAGGAGCCCCCCTGTGACACCCCCCGATGGCGCTGTCTCTCGCCAGCGCATTGAGCTGCGGCCGGATCTGGATTCTGGGCCGAAATCCAGGCGGCGGCAGGATTGAACCCGCAGGACGCCTGGGTTCTCTCCCCAGCTCTGGGAAGGGAGTGGGGGCTGGAGGGTGAGAGCCGGAGGGGGGCCGGGAGCCAGGACTCCTGAGTTCTCTCCCCAGCTAGAGCTCTTCACTGTGTCGCCCGCTTCGCCATCTCCCCCTGCCCCTCGATGTGCCAGACGAACCAGTTGTCCCTCGCTGTCATGTCCACGGCCCCCAGTTTCTTGTACAGCGCCGTGGCCGGCTGGTTCCAGTTGGCCGACATGAACCGGAACTGGGTGCAGCCGCGGGCCAGCGCGAGCTGCGGGAGAGACGGAAGGGCAGAGCTGTTTTACTGACTCACCCATCGGCATGGGACCAGCAGCGTCCTATCTGCTCTGATGCCAGAAAGCAAGGCTTGGCCCCAGAGGAGTTACCTGGGGGTCTGGCCCCACAGATGGAGCAATGGCCCATTGACCCCAGATTTGGCCCACACAGTCCGGGGAGGAAGAGAGACGGAATTTCGGAGCGAATCTCACCTTGGCCACTTGGCTCAGTAAACTGGTGCCAATCCCTTGGCCTGCAGAGAAGAACATAAATCACTTAGCTCTGAGCTTCGTACATCCCAGGGCTGCTGTGACACCCTGGCTAGGGACCCAGGGACCCCTCGCCCGGCGCTGAGATGCGGCCACCTCTGGGGCGGGCGTCTGGTGACCCAGGGACCCCTTGCTCACTGATGATATGTGGGTTCAAACCCTGACCCATGCAGGTCTTGCATAAACAGGCCTTAATATTGTTTCCATGAAAGGCAGAACAGTATTAGTTTGGTGCCTGGAGAGAGCGCCCGCTGCCGAGCCCCCTGCCCTGCTCCCTGCCCCACAGCGCCCCCTATCGCCACCCTGGGGCCAGCCCCCCTGCTGGGGGAGAGCCCCCCCTGCTGAGCCCCCCTCCCTGCCCCCCCAGTGCCCATAAGAGCCGCCCTGGTGCCAGCCCTGCCCTGCCAGGGGAGAGCGCCCCCTGTTGAGCCCCCCGCCCCGCCCCCTGCCCCACAGCGCCCCTACCTCTGAACTCCGGCATGACGTACAGATCCTCCCCGAAAACGATCCGCCCTTGCCAGGTGCAGTATCTGAAATAATGGAACTGGTACCCGACGACGGTGTGCCCTGGAGAAACCAGCCTCGAAGGCAGAGACAAGGATTGCAGCCGGCAAAGATTTAGCCCCTTGGATGGCTTGCTATGTGCCCACCTCTGGGGCGGGGCAGCGGGTGACCCGGGGACCCCTCGCCCAGCACCGAGATGCGCCCACCTCTGGGGCGGGGCGGCGGGTGACCCGGGGACCCCTCGCCCGGCACCGAGATGCGCCCACCTCTGGGGCGGGGCGGCGGGTGACCTGGGGACCCCTCGCCCGGCACCAAGATGCGCCCACCTCTGGGGTGGGGCGTGACATAAGCTGCACCCTATGGAGTCAAACACCTCACTCTGTGCAGAACAGCGCCCCCCGCTGAGACCCCGCCCTGCTGCCAGCGGGCACGTGAGTCTCGCATCCAAACACTGCCCAGCCCCCATACCATTTGCCCTCCCCCTCCCCACATATTCCCACGCCTCACCGTCTTTGCTCCTGTGGTCACGGGAAACTTCGGCTACCAGACAGCCAAACTTGGGGTGCCTCCCGAAGCCGTCCTCCCTGAGCGCTGCAGGCAGAGAGAGTAAACAGAAACTGGCTGGATCCAGGCAGGGCTGGGAGCCAGGACTCCTGGGTTCTCTCCTTGGCTCTGGGAGGGGAGTGGGGACTAGTGGTTAGAGCGGAGGGGGGGAGGAATTTCATCAAGGAGTGGGGTGAAGAAACTCCCATCTGCCCCCCTGGCACAGAAATCCAACCCTGAACGTCGCTCATGGGTAAAGCCCCACTAACTTACCTTCGGGGGTAGTTTTGACCTGATCCAAAGCCTTGTGAAACTTTGCCCCTTCCTGTTGAGAGATGACAGACCCTGTGTAACCAGCCGCCCCGCCCCAGAGGTGGCCGCATCTCAGCGCCGGGAGAGGGGGTCCCTGTGTAACCCGCTGCCCCGCCCCATAGGTGGTCGTTTCTCCATGCCGGGCGAGGGGTCCCTGGGTCACCAGCCGCCCCGCCGCAGAGGTGGCCGCATCTCAGTGTCAGGTGAGGGGTCCCTGGGTAACCAGCTGCCCCGCCCCAGAGGTGGCTGCATCTCAACACCCCTTGTTGATGTGCCCACATCCCTGCTACCCTGGGAATAGGGAACTTTCCAGCTGAATCCAGGACTCCTGGGTTCTATCCTGGCTTGGGTAGGGGAAGGGAGGGGAAACTAGCAGTCAGAGCAGGGGAGGCTGGGAGCCAGGACACCTGGGTTCTATTTCCACCCGTTGCTACCACCGCTGGGCAGCTCCATTCCCTTGGGGTGCGATTACGCTTCCCTCCGCTGCTCACCCGAATCAGCTGCATGACGTCCTTGAGGTCCCTCAGGGCCCAGGGTCGGACAACATAGTTCATGGCTGCTGGCATCTCTTCTCCTCTCTCCCCCTTCTCTGCTCTTGGACTTTTGGCCTTTCGGTCACATATCCAGGAGGAGGAGTCCCAGCCACATGGAGAGCCCTCCGTGTCTGCAGTTCCCTATGGAGCCAGGAGGGGGCGCCAAGTAGAAGGCAACCCCACCACTAACACCAACCAGATGGGATCCCACTCCTGACACCAATTGGAATCCAAGACACGTTAGCCATGGTACCTCTCCCTCCGAGCCAGAGGGGCAGGGGTAGCCACGTAAAAGGAGCCAGTGTCCCCAGCTACAGACACTCCTAGCTCAAAGACCAGTGTGCATCCGTAGGGACAGGCTGTGGTGAGCATGGAACTGAGCCCTTGGGGTGAAGATGGGGGGGGGGCCCAGGAGAAGCTGGGTGCTATACCCATGGGGGAGGATGGATCCAGCGAGAGAGAGAGAGGTGTATAGGGAGGGATGGATAGAGGGCTGTGTGTATGGATGGACGGATTGATGGATAGATAGATAGGTGAGCGTGCATGGGGATGGCTCGGTAGATAGGAGGGGGGGATGGATGGATGGACAGAGGTATGTGGATTTGGTTGGAGAGATGGTAGAAGTGGATGGATGGATGGATGGATGAGTATGGATGGATGGGTAGATATACGGATGGACAGAGGTGTGTGGGGTTGGACAGATGGATGGGTATGGATGGATGCATAGATGGATGGATGGACAGAGGTGCATGGGGGATGGATGGCCATATGGGAGAGGTGGGTGGGTGGATGGATGGATAGATAGAGATGGTTAGATGGGTGGATGGAAGGATGGACAGAGGTACATGGGGTTGGATGGACAGATGGATGGGTGGATAGGTAAATGGATGGATGGACAGAGGTGTGTGGGGTTGGATGGACAGATGGATGGATGGACAGATAGGTAGGTAGATATGGATGGACGGACAGGTGGTTGGATGGGTAGATGAGTGGATGGATAGATGGACAGCTGGACATGGGGATGGACAGATGGATGGATGGACAGATAGATAGACATGGATGGATGGATGGACGGATGGACGGATGGATGGGTAGATAGATATGGATGGATAGCTGGACATGGGGATGGATGGATGGGTAGGTAGATATGGATGGACGGATGGTCGGATGGATGGATAGATAGATATGGATGGATGGATGGACAGCTGGACATGGGGATGGATGGACAGATGGATGGACAGATAGATAGACATGGATGGATGGAGGGATGGTGTCACGGAGTCCCCGGGCGATGCTGTGGAATTGCTCCCCATGAAGCCAGTCAGGACTCTGGGGCAGTCTCCTCTCGGGGAGCAGCCTGTCTTCAGGACACCCAGCTCACACATTTTCCCCCTTCCTGGGTCTGACCTCGGAGCATTCAGCCTCCTCTGCCCCTCCGTGCGCTTCCCACAGCGAGTCCGCCCAGGCGGGGTCCTGGGGAAGCCAGAGGGTCCTGCCCCCCAACTCCGCAGTCAGACGGGACTCTCAGCCAGCCAGTAACACAGAAGGTTTATTAGACGACAGGAACATGGTCTAACACAGAGCTTGTAGGTGCAGAGACCGGGACCCCTCAGCTGGGTCCATTTTGGGGGGCAGTGAGCCAGACAACCCCGTCTGCCCTTCACTCCATGTCTCCAGCCAGACCCCAACTGAAACTCTCTCTAGACCCCCCCCCCCCCCGGGCTTTGTCCCTATCCCGGGCCAGGAGGTCACCGGATTCCTTTGTTCTCCAACCCTTCAGCTCTCACCTTGCAGGGGGGGAAGGGCCCAGGCCATCAGGTGCCAGGAAACAGGGTGTCGGCCCTTCTCTGTGTCCAGACCCCTGCACACACCTGCCCTCTAGGGCTCTGCAAGGATCATACACCCTCATCCCCCACCTAGATACTTAAGAACTGCCTAGGGGAAACTGAGGCACCCCCCACTATTCAGAGGAAACATTAAGAACAGTCCCGCTTCGTCACAGATGGCTGGCTGGACGGGTAGATAGATATGGATGGAGATGGGTGGATGGACAGCCGGACAGGTGTGCATGGGGCTGGCTGCACAGACGGGCTCAAAGTGGGTACCCGGTACCCTGATGGACAGCCAGGCCTGGCCCTGGGCGGTGGAGGCTCACTGGTGCCCCGGGCTAGCTCTGCCTGGTCTCAGGCTCAGCCCTGCAGCAGGTGGGCTAATGCCAGGCCGCCTGCTGGGCTCCTCCGTGGGCTGGTTCGGGGCCACGGGGTGGGGGTGGGTGGGATCTGCTCAGTCTGGTCGGCCTCAGTCCCCTGGCTAGGGGCCCCACAGATGGGCAGAGAGGGGCAGGCCCCTGTGCAGGGCAGGGGGCCCCTCAGGGAACCTAATCACTAAGCTGGGGGTCGAGGTCCATCGCTGCTCAGCTGACAAGCCTCTCAGGGGGCATCGGGGGGGTCGCCCTCCGCCCCACTCACTGATCACATGCTGAGGGGAAGGGATCGACGTGGCACAAAGATCTCATGGAGGGGGCAGCGGCGGGCTGGAAAGGAAGGTAAAAATTATCCAGCCCCAAAACTAGGTGGTTTAATGGTTAAGGGCTGGGAATGCAGGGGGCAGGACGCCTGGGTTCTCCCCCGGGCTCTGGCAGGAGAGTGAGGGCAGGTGGGTTAGAGCGGGGGGTGGGGGCGGCTGGGAGCCAGGACTCCTGGGTTCTCCCCCCGGCTCTGGCAGGGGAGCGGGATGAAGGCTGGGAAGTTCTCTCAGGCCGAGGGTGGAATTTGGGGTCACATCCAGGGCCCCCGAGCCGCTCGCTGGCCCGGTTCGGAGCAGGGAGATGAACGTGGGGCGCCCGGCTGCCTGGCATCTTGGCCCTACGTCCTGCCAGTCTCTTCCTTGGCACAGCACCACTGTCCCGCCCCCCCCAGCCTCTGTGCCCCCCCATTTCATCTCGGTTTTCCTGGCCACGGAGCAGGTGCCCCCGGCCGGTCGGGGGAGCTCAGGATGGGGCCCAGAGGCCGTCAGATGGACCCTCTCGGGTTCTCGAACCGTCCCCGAGTCCTTGGGTCAGAGAGGTCTCAGGTCCCACTGGGCTCTGCCTTCCTGTGCGGGCCCCAACCGCCCCCCCGGGATCCCACCGGCCCCCGGGACCCCACTGCCAGCTTGATACGGCACCGATAATCCATGGCAGGGAACGGCAAATCCACCACCGCCCTGTCCCCCGCCCTAACCAACAGCCCCCTACTCCCCTCCCAGAGCCGGGGAGAGAACCCAGGAGTCCTGGATCCCAGCTCCCCGCCCTAACCCACCAGCCCCCACCCCCATCCCAGAGCCAGGGAGAGAACCCAGGAGTCCTGACTCCCAGCCTCCCAGTTCTAACCCACCAGACCCCACTCCCCTCCCGGAGCTGGGGAGAGAACCCAGGAGTCCTGACTCCCAGACCCCCTGCTCTAACCCATCAGACCCCACTCCCCTCCCAGAGCCGGGGAGAGAACCCAGGAGTCCTGGCCTGGGACCAAAACCCCCCTCCCAGGGCAGCCCAGTGCCTCTGCCCAGTTCCCACCCCCCCCCCCCCGCCTGGCCCCCTCCCAGAAGGACGACACATCGGGCATGGCTCAGAGAGAAGGTGTATTTGTCTGCCACGCGGCCGCTGGCCTCCGACGAGCCCCACTCCCCTCCTGGCTGGGGCAGAGCCGAGCCATCGGTGACTGGGCCCAGGTACCCAACATTGAGAGTCCTGGCTCCCAGCCCCCCCCCCACCACTAGACCCCACTCCCCTCCCAGAGCTGGGAAAGAACCCAGGAGTCCTGACTCCCAGGCCCCCCTGCTCTGACCCCCCAGCCCCCACTCCCCTCCCAGAGCCGGGGAGAGAACCCAGGAGTCCTGGCTCCCAGTCCCCTCTCCTGTAACCCACCAGCCCCCACTCCCCTCCCAGAGCCAGGGAGAGAACCCAGGTGTCCTGGCTTTACTTCCCCATGTCCATTAAAGCATTTATTTTTAGGGCCTTCCAGCAAGAATCACCCTGACGTCACCAGCCAGGCCCACACCAGCCGCCCGGTAATTTTTTTTGTGGGGGGGCGGGGGTTGGGGCACTGGGAAAACCAGCTCCTCACGTCCCACCAGGGCTAGGGCTAACCCCATCCCCATCAGACCCCCATCCCCATCAGACCCCCCCTCTTTAACCCCCTCCCCCTCTCTGCGGACCCGCCCATCCCTTGGGAGTTATGGAGACAACCCCCTCCTCCCACCCCACTGGGGAATCCCCCCGCCCCCGGAGATGCTCACTCCCTCGGGAGAACCCCCAGCCCCCCCCAACCCATCTGGGCTCTGCCCCGCCCCCCAGGCCCCTAAAATTTGCTCCGGGCCGCCAGTCTCCGCAGGGCGTCCTCTTTGAAGTGGAAGAGGCTCCAGCCCTCCTTGGCTGTCAGATCCTGGCCGCCCTGCCTGGCCAGGAAGCCCATTTCGTTGGTCTTGGCTATATGCATACGGAGCTGGCCACAGCCCTTGGCCACGGCTGCCTGCAGGGGGCAGCAAAGAGAGAGGGGTTAGACCGCTGCTGCTGGGGGAATCTTCGCTACCGGGGGCAGTGTGGGGCATAGGACACACAGAGGAGCAGAGAGAGGGGTTAGACCATCGCTGTGTGGGGAATCTTCACTACCAGAGGTCAGTGCAGGGCATTGGACACATGGAGGAGCAGAGAAAGGGGTTAGACCAGCTGCTGTGGGGGGAATCTTTGCTGCTGAGGGGCAGTGCGGGGCATAGGACACATGGAGGAGCAGAAACAGGTTAGACCCACTGCTGGGTGGGCTGGTGGAATCTCTGCTATTGGGCAGCAGTGTGGGCCATAGGACACGTGGGAGAGCAGAAAAAGAATTTAGATTTGGTGTTGTGGTGGGGGGGAATCTCGGCTACCTGGGGGGAATATGGGGCATAGGACACACTGAGGAGCAGAGAAAGAGGTTAAATGGACTGCTGTGGGGGAATCTCTGCTACCTGGCAGCAGTGCGGGGCATAGGACACATGGAGGATCAGAGAGAGGAGTTAGACCCACTGTTGCAGGGAGGAATCTCCACTACTGGGTGGCAGTCTGGGGCACAGGATACATGGAGGAGCAGAGAAAGGGGTTAGACTCATTTCTTCAGGGGGAATCTCCGCTACCAGAGAGCAATGTGGGGCATAGGACACATGGAGGAGTAGAGAGAAGGGTTAGATCCACTGTTGTGGGGGGGGAATCTCTGCTATTGGGGGCAGTGTGGGGCACAGGACTGACACAGAGGAACACAGACAGGGGTTAGACTCGTTTCTGCAGGGGTAATCTCTGCTACCTGGTAGCAGTGCAGGGCATAGGACACACAGGGAGGTGTGTGCGATGGCGGGTGGCAAAGGGCTGGGGTGTCTCTCACACACACAGGTTAGTCGCCCCAATCCTGGCCCATTGCTGTGATGAAGTACGAGGTCTCAGATGACACGGGTTGGGGCCGGTCAGACAGGTGGGGGGTGGGGCTGGTGACCCCAACAAAGAGGGGTTTGTTCCTTAGGGCAGATTTGGGGGGCTCAGGGTGGGGTGTGGGGGTTAGAGTTGAGCAGCCCCCTACCCCCCCGCACCGCCAGTGACCGAAACTCACCTGGGCAGCCTTCTCGATCAGCCGCTTCCCGATCTGCTGGCCTGTGGGAGGAACACAACTGAGCCCGGACTCCTGGGTTCTCTCCCCGGCTCTGGGAGGGGAGTGGGGGCTGGTGGGTTAGAACAGGGGGGAGCTGGGACCCAGGACGCCTGGGTTCTCTCCCCGGCTCTGGGAGGGGAGCGGGGGCTGGTGGGTTAGAACAGGGGGGAGCTGGGAGCCAGGACGCCTGGGTTCTCTCCCCGGCTCTGGGAGGGGAGCGGGGGCTGGTGGGTTAGAACAGGGGGGAGCTGGGAGCCAGGACGCCTGGGTTCTCTCCCCGGCTCTGGGAGGGGAGCGGGGGCTGGTGGGTCAGAGCGGGGGAGGGGGGGCAGGGAGCCCGGACTCCTGGGTCCTCGCCCTGGCCCTGGCCCGGCCGTACCTCTGAACTGTGGCTGAACGTAGAGATTGTCCACGTAGAGGTTCCTGCCCTTCCAGGTGCTGTACGTGAAGCTGGACAGGACGTAGCCCACGATGCCACCTGTGGGGGAACCCTGCAGCTTCGGGCTGGGGCAGGATCCGTGGGCGTCACCCCGGGGCCGGGGTCGCCCCTCGACCCCCCCCCCCACCTCCGCAGCGACAGCGGCCGATAGCTGTACGGGGACCATGACACACAGGGAGCCGCTCGGCATCCCCGCCAGCGTGAGGCAGACATGTGCACACCAGCAGGGGGCGGCGTTGCACGAGCGGTCACACACCAGCAGGGGGTGGCGTCGCACGAGCGGTCACACACCAGCAGGGGGCGGCGTCGCACTAGCGATCACACACAACCAGGGGGCGGCGTCGCACAAGCGGTCACACACCAGCAGGGGGCGGCGTCGCACAAGCGGTCACACACCACCAGGGGGCGGCGTCGCACGAGCGATCACGCACCACCGGGGGGCGGCGTCGCACGAGTGATCACGCACACCAGGGGGCGGCGTCGCACGAGCGGTCACACACCACCAGGGGGTGTCGTCGCACGAGCGATCACACACCAGCAGGGGGCGGCGTAGCACGAGCGGTCACACACCACCAGGGGACGGCGTCGCACGAGCGGTCACACACCAGCAGGGGGCGGCGTCGCACGAGCGGTCACACACCACCAGGGGACGGCGTCGCACGAGCGATCACACACCACCAGGGGGCGGCGATCACGCACACCAGGGAGCGGATCGCACGCGATCGCACCACCAGCAGGGGCGGCATCGCACGAGCGATCACGCACCACCAGGGGGCGGCATCGCACGAGCGATCACACACCACCAGGGGGCGGCGTCGCACGAGCGATCACACACTAGCAGGGGGCGGCATCGCACAAGCGATTACACACCACCAGGGGGCAGCGTCACACAAGCGGTCACACACCACCAGGGGGCGGCGTCGCATGAGCGATCACACACCACCAGGGGGCGGCATCGCACGAGCGATCACACACCACCGGGGGGCGGCATCGCACGAGCGATCACACACCACCGGGGGCGGAGCGATCACACACACCGGGGGGCGGCGTCGCACGAGCGATCACACACCACCGGGGCGGCATCGCACGAGCGATCAGGCATCACCAGGGGGCGGCGTCGCACGAGCGATTACACACCAGCAGGGGGCGGCATCGCACAAGCGATTACACACCAGCAGGAGGCAGCGTCGCACAAGCGGTCACACACCAGCAGGGGGCGGCGTCACACGAGCGATCACGCACCAACAGGGGGCGTCGTCGCACGAGCGATCACACACCAGCAGGAGGCGTCGTCACACGAGCGATCACGCACCACCAGGGGGCGGCGTCGCACGAGCGATCACACACCAGCAGGGGGCGGCGTCGCACGAGCGATCACACACTAGCAGGGGGCGGCATCGCACAAGCGATTACACACCACCAGGGGGCAGCGTCGCACAAGCGGTCACACACCACCAGGGGGCGGCGTCGCACGAGCGATCACACACCACCAGGGGGCGGCGTCGCACGAGCGATCACACACCACCGGGGGGCGGCGTCGCACGAGCGATCACACACACCGGGGGGCGGCGTCGCACGAGCGATCACACACCACCGGGGCGGCATCGCACGAGCGATCATGCATCACCAGGGGGCGTCGTCGCACGAGCGATCACGCATCACCAGGGGGCGGCGTCGCACGAGCGATTACACACCAGCAGGGGGCGGCATCGCACAAGCGATTACACACCAGCAGGGGGCAGCGTCGCACAAGCGGTCATACACCGCCAGGGGGCGGCGTCGCACGAGTGATCACACACCGCCAGGGGGCGGCATCGCACGAGCGATCACACACCGCCAGGGGGCGGCGTCGCACGAGCGATCACACACCGCCAGGGGCGGCGTCGCACGAGCGGTCACACACCATCAGGGGGCGGCGTCGCACGAGCGATCACACACACCAGGGGGCGGCGTCGCACGAGCGATCACACACCACCGGGGGGGCGGCGTCGCACGAGCGATCACACACCACCGGGGGGCGGCGTCGCACGAGCGATCACACACCACCGGGGGGGCGGCGTCGCACGAGCGATCACACACACCAGGGGGCGGCTTCGCACGAGCGATCACACACCAGCAGGGGGCGGCGTCGCACGAGCGGTCACACACCACCAGGGGGCGGCGTCGCACTAGCGATCACACACCAGCAGGGGGCGGCGTCGCATGAGCGATCACACACCAGCAGGGGGCGGCGTCGCACTAGCGATCACACACCAGCAGGGGGCGGCGTCGCACGAGCGATCACACACCACCAGAGGGCGGCGTCGCACGAGCGATCACGTACCACCAGGGGGCGGCGTCGCACGAGCGATCACACACCACCAGGGGGCGGCGTTGCACGAGCGATCACACACACCAGGGGGTGGCGTCGCACGAGCGATCACACACCACCGGGGGGGCGGCGTTGCACGAGAGATCACACACCACCAGGGGGCGTCGTCGCACGAGCGATCACACACACCAGGGGGCGGCTTCGCACGAGCGATCACACACCGGCAGGGGGCGGCGTCGCACGAGCGGTCACACACCAGCAGGGGGTGGCGTCGCACGAGCGATCACACACCAACAGGGGGCGGCGTCGCACGAGCGATCACACACCACTGGGGGCCGCGTTGCACGAGCGATCACACACCACCAGGGGGCGGCGTTGCACGAGCGATCACACACCACCAGGGCGCGGTGTCGCACGAGCGATCACACACCACCAGGGGGCGGCGTTGCACGAGCGATCACACACACCAGGGGGTGGCGTCGCACGAGCGATCACACACCACCGGGGGGGCGGCGTTGCACGAGAGATCACACACCACCAGGGGGCGGCGTCGCACGAGCGATCACACACACCAGGGGGCGGCTTCGCACGAGCGATCACACACCAGCAGGGGGCGGCGTCGCACGAGCGGTCACACACCACCAGGGGGCGGCGTCGCATGAGCGATCACACACCACCGGGGGGCGGCGTCGCACTAGCGATCACACACCAGCAGGGGGCGGCGTCGCACGAGCGATCACACACCACCAGAGGGCGGCGTCGCACGAGCGATCACGCACCACCAGGGGGCGGCGTTGCACGAGCGATCACACACCACTGGGGGCTGCGTTGCACGAGCGATCACACACCAGCAGGGGGCGGCGTTGCACGAGCGATCACACACCACCAGGGCGCGGTGTCGCACGAGCGATCACACACCACCAGGGGGCGGCGTCGCACGAGCGATCACACACCACCGGGGGGGCGGCGTTGCACGAGCGATCACACACACCAGGGGGTGGCGTCGCACGAGCGATCACACACCACCGGGGGGCGGCGTTGCACGAGCGATCACACACCACCGGGGTGGCGGCGTTGCACGAGCGATCACACACACCGGGGGCGGCGTCGCACGAGCGATCACGCATCACCAGGGGGCGTCGTCGCACGAGCGATCACGCATCACCAGGGGGCGGCGTCGCACGAGCGATTACACACCATCGGGGGTCGGCGTCGCATGAGCGATCACACACCACCGGGGGGCGGCGTTGCACGAGTGATTACACACACCGGGGGGGCGGCGTTGAACGAGCGATCACACACCACCAGGGGGCATTGTCGCACTAGTGATCACACACCACCAGGGGGCGGCGTTGCACGAGCGATCACACCTACCCTCCTTGTTCGTCTGCCGGGGGGGCAGCTCCGCCACGTAGCAGTCGTACTGGGGTTGTGCCCCGAACCCGTCCTCTCTCAGCACTGGGCAGGGGAAGCAGAGACACGTGTCAGGGCCCAGCGCCCCCCCCCCCGCCAGGGTGTGAGAAAGGGGCACGCCGGAGTGGGGCACCGGTGGGGGGCACTGCCGAATGGGAGGGAGCCAGAGCTGTGGGGCAAGGGGTGTGCAGAGCCAGAGACACCCCCCGAGCACCCCTCACTGCTAGGACTACCCTCCCCGGGCCCCCTCCCCCTCTGCCCCCCATCCCTCCCTCTCTGCTAGGACCCCTCCCCCTCTGCCCGGGCTTCCTCCCCCTCCGCCAGAGCCCCCCAACCCCCTGAGGGCTCTTACCTTCCAGGGTGACTTTCACTTCGGTAGGGGGCACCCTGTAATGGACGGCAATCTCCTGCAACAGACAGCCCCCCCTCTGAGTGCCCCAGAGCCACCGCTGTCCCCTGGGCCCCAGCCCCCTGCCCCCAAGGGCCAGCCCCCTGCCACCCCCATCCTGAGCCTCTCTCTGCTACAGCAGGATCGTAGGGGGGTGGGGGGCGACCTCTGGACGCCTGGGTTCTCTCCCCAGCTGTGGGGAGGCAGCGGGGGCTGGTGGGTTAAAGCAGGGGGGGAGGCTGGGAGCCAGGACTCCTGGGTTCTCTCCCTGGGTTTGGGAGGGGAGTGGGGGCTGGTGGATTAGAGCGGGGGAGGGGGGGGGGGGCTGGGAACCAGGACCCCTCCCTTCCCTGACCTTGATGAACTGCAGGATGACCTTGCAGTCCTTCACCGTGCACGGTCGGATGATGCAGTTCATGGTTCCGGGTCCCTCCTCTGCCTTTTTCCCTCCTGGCCCTTGGACTCCCTCTGCCCCTTTAAGAGCAGCTGCCGGGGGGGGGGGGGAGGTGGGGGTGGGGCTACACAGTCAGAGGGAGGAGTTTTGTCCAACCTTTGAGTCTCAAATGGCTGCGAACCAGTTCCCTCCAGCGCCAGGAGGGGGTGCCAGGCAGGAAGGAGCCATCCCACCATTTACACCAAACAGAGGGGATCCCACCGCTGACACCAAACAGAGGGGATCCCACCTCTCACACCAAACAGAGGGGATCCCACCACTTACACTAAACAGAGGGGATCCCACTTCTGACACCAAACAGAGGGGATCCCACCGCTGACACCAAACAGAGGGGATCCCACCACTGACACCAAACAGAGGGGATCCCACCTCTCACACCAAACAGAGGGGATCCCACCGCTGACACCAAACAGAGGGGATCCCACCTCTCACACCAAACAGAGGGGATCCCACCGCTGACACCAAACAGAGGGGATCCCACCGCTGACACCAAGCAACTTCTGATTGCAAAGGAGCTTGGGACCAGAGGGGTGGTGACTCCATCTCCCCGCGTAGGGAGCAATAGGGGACCTGGGGAGTGGGGGGTGGGACTGCAGCCACAGCTGGGTTTCGGGTGGAGGAAATAGGGCCAGGTTTGAGGGTGGCTCTGGGGAGTGGGGAGTGAGGATAGTGAGCGTGTGTGAACAGATGGGGAACTAAAATGGAGTGGGGGCTTCTGGGTTATGGGCTGAGATCTGGGAGGGGAGTAGGGTGGGATTCAGGACTCCTGGGTTCTCTGCCCACCTGTGGGAGGGGAGGGGGTGTTTAGTAGGTCGGTGGGGGGGCTGGAATTCAAGACACACAATCTGAAAGCTGGGGACAGAGCCCAGGAGTCCTGGCTCCCAGCCCCCTCCTGCTCTAACCCACCAGCCCCCCATCCCAGAGCCAGGGAGAGAACCCAGGAGTCCCGGCGTCCCTTGGCCATGAGCCGGAGAGACCCCGAATGGGGGCCAAGGGTGAGTCTCAGGGAATCCAGAGCTGTTGAGAATCACAGGACATGTCAGGCCCGTACCCTGACCCCTCTGCCCCATGGGCAAGGGACCCACGGTGGCTAGGGCAGCCGCTGACGATTCCTACCCCCTGCCCCACCCCTACTGAGCGACACAGCCCCCCAGAGGCAGCGGCCTCTAGAGCGGACTCGCCCTGTGCCCCATTCCCTGCCCCCCCCGAGCCAGCCAGTCCCTGCCCTGGGGCCAGAGGGGAGCCGGCGCCCCCCAGAGCAGACAGGCCCCTGCCCCGTCCCCCGCCCCCCTGAGCCAGCCAGTCCCCCCCCACGCGGGTCTTTTTCATTTAAGAGTCAGCAGATTCTGATGTAAAACTTGAGCTGATGATTAACATGAAAGGACCAAATCTCGGGGCAAACGTGCGAGGAACGCGGGGGGAGGGGGGCATGGGAGATGATCCCCTAATTTAGGTCTCCCTGCCAGACCCAACTACCTGCCCCTGCTCTAACCACTAGCCCCCACTCCCCTCCCGGAGCTGGGGATAGAACCCAGGAGTCCTGGCTCCCAGCCCCCTCCTGCTCGAACCCACCAGCCCCCCCCCCCCCGAGCCACGGAGAGAACCCAGGAGTCCTGGCTCCCAGCACCCCGTGCTCTAACCCCCAGCCCCGCCCCCCCTCCCCGGAGCCATGGAGTTAGAACCCAGGAGTCCTGGCTCCCAGCACCCTCCTGCTCGAACCCACCAGCCCCCCCCTCCCCGAGCCACGGAGAGAACCCAGGAGTCCTGGCTCCCAGCAGTGCCCCCCGACAACTCTAACCCACTAGACACCGGATTAAATGAAGCCAAAGGATCCGGTTTTACTGTAAACCAAACTGGGATTTATTCAGCCCCAGAAAACAGCCATCAGCACCTCACAGCGCCCTCTGGAGATCACAGGCAGAACTGACGCCATCAATCTCCCCAGGGGCGCAGATCCGGAGTCACTCCCAATCGCGTTCACACGCCCGCTGGCGATCAGCGGAGTGACTCCGGATTCACAGTGGAAGCAGTGGGGCTCACGGGAAGGGGTGCGCGGGGGGCAGGTTGTAGCTGGCGTCGAGGAAGATGGTGAGGGTCCCGACGCTGGTGAAGGTGATGAACGTCCAGAGGAAGAGGCGGTCGACGACCATGGCCACGTACTGCCAGTCCTCCTTGAGCTGGGAGGAGATGGGGGGCAGGGGGAGTGAGGTGGGGGGCTGCTCCTTGCTGCCCCCTGTCTGATGAGTAGGTGCGGCTCGTGACCCCTAACCTCGCCCCACTGACCCTCCTTAAACCATCCCACCACCCCCTAAGTCTGTGCCATTGGCTGCCCCCAACCCTGCCCCATTGTGGCCCCCAACCCCGCCCCACCAACCCCCATAAACCTCCCCCGACCCCCAAGACTGCCCCACTGGCCCACATAAACCTCCCCACCACCCCCTAAGTCTGTGCCATTGGCTGCCCCCACCCCCCCCACCCCCCCCCCCCCCAACCCCCATAAACCTCCCCCGACCCCCAAGACTGCCCCACTGGCCCACATAAACCTCCCCACCACCCCCTAAGTCTGTGCCATTGGCTGCCCCCAACCCTGCCCCATTGTGGCCCCCAACCCTGCTCCACTGGCCCACATAAACCTCCCCACTACTCCCTAAGTCTGCCCCATTGGCTGCTCCCAACCCTGCCCCATTGTGGCCCCCAACCCCACCCCACCAAACCCCATAAACCTCCCCCAACCCCCCAGGACTGCTCCATTGGCCCCCTCTTAACCTGGCCCCATTGTGGCCCCCAACCCTGCCCCACTAACCCCCATAAACCTCCCCCAACCCCCCAAGACTGCCCCATTGGCCCCCCCTTAATCCTGATCCATAGGGGCCCCCAACCCTAGCCCTCAGATCCCCTAAACCTGACCCATTGACCCCCCCAAAACTTGACCCACTGGCCTCTACCCCTGCCCCACCAGTCCCCTAATCCTGCCTCACGACCCCCTCAATTTGACCCTTTGGCCCCTAAACTTGCCCCACAGATCTCCCCACACCTACCCCATTGGCCCAAGCCTGCCCCACTGGACCCCTAACTCTGCCTCACCAACCCCCACAAATCTTCCCCACCACCCCAAGACTGCCCCATTGGCCCCCCCTTAACCTTGACTCATAAGGGCCCCCAACCCTGCCCCACTGATCCCCTAAACCTGACCCATGGACTCCCTTAAACTTGACTTGCTGGCTGCTAACTCTGCCCCACCAACCCCCAACCCTGCCCCACAACCCCTAAACTTGCCCCACCGACCCTCCCAAACCTGCCCCACTGAGCCCCCCCCCAAAACCTGCCCCATTGTGCTCCTCATTCCACCCTCCAGGGGTATGAGCAAAGCCCCCCACCGCGCTCAGCGCTGGACAGAGAGATAAGCTCCGATCCCGGGGAGTGGGGGGCGTTGGCTGGGGCTGGAGTCAGAGTCCACGGATGATGGGCAGCCGGCCGGCCCCCACTCACCGTGTCGTAGTCCTCCTGGTCCTGCAGCTGCCGGGCGATGTAGGTGACGGCGTCCATGGCGGACTTGAGGTCGGGCGGCAGGACGAGGCATTCGCTCGGCCCATCCATGAACCGCCTCAGGTCCTGCGAGAAGGGGTCCTGGTAGAACCTGAAGGGTTAACCGGAAAGAGCTGGGAAGACCTCCACGGGGGCCCAAGAGATGCGGCCACTTCTGGGGTGGGGCGGCCGGTGACCCGGGGACCCCTCGCCCTGCGCCGAGATGCGGCCACCTCTGGGGCAGGGCGGCTGGTTGTGACCCAGGGACCCCTTGCCCGGCGCCGAGATGCGGCCACCTCTGGGGCAGGGCGGCCGGTGACATGGAGACCCCTCGCCCAGCGCCGAGATGCGCCCACCTCTGGGGTGGGGTGTAACATAAGCTGCACCCTATGGAGTCAAGCACCTCACTCTGTGCAGAACAGCGCCCCCCGCTGAGCCTCCCCTGCCCCACACCGCCCCCCCCCCCTGACCTGCTGGGTTTGGGGAAGAGGAAGTCGCAGTTGGGTTTGCGGATGAAATACTCGTCTGTGCCCCGGTTGCTCTTCACCTCCAGTTCCCGTCGGGGGGCCGGGGGAGGTTTCAGGACGGGCTCTGGTTTCGGCCTCTGCAGCCCCAGGTACCGGGGGAGCCGGTGAATGAAAATCTGCCCGGGAGAGAGAATGCAGAGCCCCCCATGAGCCCCCGCCCTGGGGCCGGAGGGGAGCCGGGGGCGAGGAGGGGAAGGGGGTGCAAGGGGAGCGTTACCTGCTTGACCCAGAAGGGCATGTCGTGGGTGTTGGGCGAGCGGTGGTGCAGGTTGAGGACCACCACGCTGAGGATGACGGAGAAGGTCACCAGGATCATGGTGAACATGAGGTACTTGACGATGATGGGCACGGCCAGCGAGGTCTCCGGCACCTTGTCCGCCAGCAGCAGCAGGAAGACGGTGAGGGTGAGCAGGGCGAAGATGGACAGGGTGATCTTTTCCCCTGGGTAGAGACCGCGGAGGGAGCATCAGCCAGGCCCGGGGAGGACTGGGAGACCTGTGCCCACCTAGCCTGGCCTCTGGGCTCTCCCCAGTGACAGAGGGCCCATCTCACATGGCCTCTGGTCTCTCTCCTGGCACAGGGGATTCTGGTGCTCATCTGACGTGGCCTCTGGTCTCTCCCCAGCAACAGGGGGTTGTGGGGCCCATCTAGCATGGCCTCTGGTCTCTCCCCACTGACAGGTGGTTGCGGGGCCCATCTATCATGTTGTCTGGGCTCTCCCCAGTGACAGGGGATTCTGGTGCCCATCTAACATGGCCTCTGGTCTCTCCCCAATGACAGGGGATTGTGAGGCCCATCTAGCATGGCCTCTGGTCTCTCTCCTGGCACAGGAGATTCTGGTGCCCATCTAACATGGCCACTGGTCTCTCCCCAGTGACAGGGGATTGTGGGGCCCATCTAGCATGGCCTCTGGTCTCTCTCCTGGCACAGGAGATTCTGGTGCCCATCTAACATGGCCACTGGTCTCTC